GCATGCATAGAAGATGAACATACAATGCTCCCAACACAGGGTTACCGGATACACTCAACAGAGGGAATAATAATCGAACAAAAGGGAATACCAAAAAAATAAAAACAAAAAATTGAGCAAGAGATGCACATTTTTTTTTTAATTACACGGAGTCTAATCCTTCACCTTGCTGTCGAGCTAGGTATCTTTCTCTTCTTTCTTTCTGAAAAAGGAAAGAATTATATTGTAAGAGTCATGAAAGGATGACCCACAGATATGTTTAGAAACAAAATATGCCAAAAGTATAAAACGAAAAGTATGCAACTGTTTACCCATTCATCAATTACAAGCCCTTCACCGATAATCTTCGGTCCTGTGTCTTCTGGAGGCTTCTTGCGTGCTTCCAGAGCAGCCTCTGCCTCTGCCAGTTGGCGTTTGAGTTTTTCAAGGGCCTTCACCAAGAAGCGACTTTTGGTTAGTACTACACAATGGCCATTTTGAAGCATAGCAATCAACATTAGAACACTAGGCAGAACAACCAAACTACATTGCACATCAGTAATTAAGAGGCAAATATTAACATACTGGGGTTGGACGCTCCACATCAAGGAAAACCACCCGTAGAATCTGTTCCACAACCACTTGATCCTTCTGCTCATCAAACTGGAAAAAAAAAAAAAGGAAAAAAAAGAAGAAGATCATAACTATGAACTTATTGAAAGCAAGCCCAGAACAAAAGAACACAAAGTTAAGATCTGCATTTTCACATAAGTTTATCTGATATGTTGTTGGATGGTGATATATGCAGTTTAGTTAATTTTTAGATAAAAGATTTCTATTTGTCCATTCCAACTTTTATGCCGTGCCCAATATGTCAATCCTAAATTGAATTTGAATCCTTTTTATTGCGGTGTAAAAGCAAAAACAGACAGCGAGTTCTTGTAGGATCAGCATCTCGTACATCTCCAGGGGTAAAAAAACTCAAAAAACCAAAAATTGAAAGGACAACTGAAAACCATGATTTTGTTTCATACCAGCTCAGGAACATAGTCCATGGGTCCCTTCACCTTTAGACTCACGATTTTGAACTTCACCCTACTTCTCTGGTCTGTGGGTTTTTCATTGTTTTCAGGGTGCTCTACAAACTTGAATACTACAAAAGCAAATAGCCAATATTAAAAAAGAAACTTGTAACTTCAAATTACCACTTGAGAAAAAAGTTCGGAGAAAAGACTTCCCAACACACCGACACAACAATTACAAGTGTTGATTATCTCGATAAACTCTTACCAGTTGCTATTATACTCTCGCCTGGAGATAGTATAGCACCGGGAGGACGCATGAAACAGCTTTTTGGAGCAGTAGTTTGAAACTATGAGAAAGAAGACAAAGGAGAATTATTAGACCATACACTTTTATGTACAGTGAGTGGCAAGCTTTAAAGATTGATGTATAAAGTTAATGAATGAATGGTACAGAATTCGGCACTTTGTCTGATTCGATCATCACTAAGCACAGACTAGGCAAACAAAGCTTATATAGGAGAATACGTTCCAGTAATGTCCATACCTTGAATGCAACATGAGATTTGCTGGTGTTCTTGATTCTAATAGCACTTCGCACTTGTTTACCAGGCTCATCTGGGAAAAATGCAACATAAAAGAAGCTCAGAAAGTTATCCATAAACCTAATAAGATCTTTTTTTGCAAACTATATAACATGAAAACTTCCAACCATATTGAAAGTCATCAAAGTTTAATGTCAGTTGTTACTAACTAAAAACGTCTGAATGAGTTAAATATTGATCTGAACCAAAGGAGATTAAGAGCCCTGCTAATGATCACCACTTACACAATCACAATTAGCACCTCCGTACACCTGCATGAAGTATGTGTGTGCATTTAACCATTTAATCACATTCTAGCATCCAGTAAGCCTGCCACGCCAAATTCTATAACTACAAAGGACCATGCCGCAATTCAACCATCTCACCAGATCATATCTATGGCTGTTACTCAAGGGCGGCCAGTCGTTCGTACATTTGTTATGCCAATACTAGTCTGCTTAAGCAAACGTACTTCTAAAACAGTATCATCCATTACCACGACACCTTCCCCAGGGTGAAAGTTTCCTGTGTTCCACAATCAGAGGCGTTATGCCCCTTTGCATAGTTATACCAGGGGACTACTTTCAGAATTTACTTATGCTTTATTTTTTTAACAACTAGGAGTAATAGCCACTATTCATCCACCAGCCCAAGGGAACAGCCCGTTTGTCACAAATTTCCCTTACGACTAGCATCTAATCTTACAAGAGGTACATTTCTTTGAGTGAATTATGTACACTAGTAACCTAGTCATAACCAGCTTAACATGCTTCTCCCAAGCATGCTTACTGTTTAGAACACAACTAAACAAAATAACTTATGAAGATGAATAAACATTATTTTAGTCATTGGAGCGATCGTCTTTCGGCTTTTAATCTCATAAGGTTTCAAGTAAAGACACAAATCAAGAGGCAAGTGAGGCATCATTCTAGCCCACCTGAACAAAAAACTTATCCAGTCCACCTAATTCATAAATTTGTATGTGTCAAGGAGAGCAAAATTGGTTGACTTGGTAATAATAGTTTGCTAGCCAAGGAAAACAGTTTCTCTGCACCTCTGCCTCAGCAAAGGACAATTTATCTTATATCCTTGAGTGTTTAAAAACAGAGGAGTACAACTATGCTTCCATAAGTATGAAAAGCTAATCTGAGAATCTTTCCTCAGATCATGGCACCAGCTTAATACCAGTACTCCTAAATATGACATGGATCCAGATGGATATATAATTTCCTTCTTTGGAATTAGGGGATTGCCATCTTCAAACCCCAAAGTGAAAAACATACAAGTAGCAAGAAATTATGGTGTGCACTGTGCAGTTCTCCCATTTGAGATAAATTCCTATATTTTGCATTATCCTATCACTAAGGACTAAAGATTCTGCCATTCATTCCAAATACAAACACACAGTTTTAACATTCAGAGCGTGAAGTAAACCAACATAGTGTACAAGGATAATTTGAAATTAAAAAAATTTCTGATGATGACAAAGAATATGACCTGACAAACTGCAAAATTAAAGTTTGCAAAGTGACTCGTGATTTTCTCTTTCTGAACTATACTACAATCAATGTCCTTCCAACATAAATAAGCGGGAAATGGAAGCCTGATCACCATGATTAAGTTATCCTATCCAAAAAGATTCAAGAAGCACTCAATCCTCATTACAATTAAAGGTTCCAGGCAGCAATAATTAGTTATTACTTATTAGTAATCAAAGGTTTTAACAAACTAATTAATTTCGACCAGTTAAAAGCAATCAAGAAGATTAAAACATTCAAGAGCACTATTAGATGAACACAATCAACTGAAAAAGGGGAAAACAAAAATCCAACAAAAACTTGAGCACAAAGGAAAGAAGAGCTGAATTTACATGGAAAATAGAGCTTATTGGAAGGGTCGAGCTTGAGACGACGACGCATAGGAAGAATAGATCTGGCAACCGAGGAAACCGAGCTGGAACTGTGGTTGATAGTGGCATCCGATCCATCGGCGCGTGCATTTTGCTGCTGATTCTGATACTGTGAAGACGACGAATTCGCGGGGTGAGAGTTTCGGAAAGGAAGCTTAAAGAGGCCCCAAACTTTACCGTTCGAAGCCGACCTGTCGTCGGCGATCGCCATTAACGGTGACTTGGAAGGTGCTTTTCCGGATTCACTTTTTAATCAGGGAGATTCGTGCGACGGCGTTTTGATGACGGATTCTATAACGGGAAAGTTGTTTTTTTGGGAGGAAGAGAGATGAGAAGTTGTACATACGTACAGGTCGGATTTTTGAAGCAGATATATATAATAATAAATATATAAAAGCTGCAAGAACTTAAAATACTAATTAAATTGGTTGGGTCCACATAGACTCGGTTAATCCCTTTATTTATTTATTACTATTATTTTAAATTTGAATGGGTTTGGTTATGGAACAAATTGACAATTTGACATCATTTGATTCATTTCTAGTCAAAAAGAAAAGTTTATCTCTTTACACTTCATGAAAGCAATAAACACTTAGGACACGTGTCAGTTTCACAGAGTTTTTTTTTCCCGTCTAAAACAAAAAACTCAAGGATTTTCCCAAAAAATACTGCACGTGGCAAGGGGTGCTATCACCCGGGAAGGTAAAAAAAAAAATACAGTACAGGTAAATCTCCCCTTTAAACTGTCTCCAAAAATACAGACCCCAAAATCCTCCCCAATATAAGGGATATATATACAGTCCAGGTCATCTCCCATTTAAACTGTTTCCAAAAAAACAGTCCCCAAAAAATTAAAAAGATCACATCATAATAATCACGTTATAATAACTCCTCCCCAATATAAGAGATATATACAGTCCAGGTAATCTTCCCTTTAAACTATTACAAATAGGAGTTTAAATTTTAAAAAAGAAACTACAATTATAATGAAGATCATGCGAATTATCTCTCCCTGATTCAAAGCCCTCCCAATTATCTCTGCCGGTTTCAAAGCCCTACAAAAGATCACAAATTTTTACAGTTACCATCTCCAAGCATTAACGAATCAAGCCATGTTGGTGTCCAGATTCATTTTTACTGTGTTTACAAATCAGTAAAACTCAGACCATAAATCAATCAACATTAATACTCAAGATCATAAATCAAATTTCACCCAAAATTATGCATATATATCCATGTATCCTGATCATCATACATACAACCATGATAAACCGAAAATTCATGTAACCAAAATTGTGCATATCCGATCATCATATTTTAGAAAATATGCCATATTTAATAGCCATCAACTGTTATCAACCAACCATGCTTATCAAGGCTATGAAATATACCTGTATAAATATGTTTATATGGCAGGAGTTATAGCCACCAGTCAACCAGCATCAAATAACGCTGAATCACCTCTTTCGTGACTTTGGCACCTATTTTTCTCTTCATCACCTTTCAATGGTTGCTGCTCAGAGGTATATTGCAGACATTAACGGCTTGATAAGCACCAAAAGTCCACACTTCAGAATCGTAGTTCGTGTCATGTCAATCTGGAAGATGTACAAGAAGGCAGATCAGAAAGAAATCAAGTCACTTGAACTCATATTCATTGATGCTCAGGTATAACACATTGCGATCTTTTTAAATATTAAATTACTATGAAGTGTATAGAAACCAACTACATCACTGTATACTAATCTGTTTTCCGAATATAGGGTGGAAAAATTCAGGCTACCATCCCTAAAAGCTTTATGGACAGCTTTATCAAGTACTTCGCAGAAGGCTGCCTTTGGCAAATAGCATGTTTTGATCATGCTTTGAACATTGTTGGTGGTTACCGTTGTTCAAAACACGAATACAAAATTGTCTTTGAACCTAACACCATTGTGGATACTGTGGATGATGTTGTTGATTTGGATATTCCTAACCATGTGTTTGAATTCACTCCTTTTTCTGAGATATCAAATTTCATTGCGAATTTTGATTTCTGTTTTGGTATATATTTTATATCCTTATATTATTACAATTTATGCTTTGATTTAATTAAACATAACAACCTTACTAAATCTTTTGTTTAATCTAGATGTTATTGGACATGTTATTGGTGTTAGTGAGGCGATCATTGATGGGGATAAGAAGAGGATATCTGTGGAGCTGGAGGATGAAAGGTATATTCTTATATCTAGATTTAAAATATGATCATTATAGATATCCAAACAGTAACAGAATAAGTTTGAACAATCATGAAATTTTACACAGGGCTGATAGGTTAAAGATAACCCTGTGGAATAGAAATGCTGATGCCATATCAGCAATGATGGCTGATCATCCAGTAATGTCGGTGGTGCTTATTGTGCAATATGTGAAATGCGAAAAGTGGAACTGTGAGTCATTTCATTAGCATCCAAATTAAACTTTCTATTTATTTAAATACACTGTTGCCAACTTTAATATTTCTTTGTCTTTTAAATCTTAACAGCAAGAGCTTCAGTCACCACTAATATGTACAATGGCAGAATCTTCCTAAATGACATGTCTATGCCTGCAATTTCTGAATACAAAATGAGGTTCTGTTACATAAATGTGTCTGTATACTATCTTTTGGCCAATCATATTCTACCTATTTTTCCAAATTCATGATATTATTCGTATTTCACAGATTGGAGGATATTGAGGATAAAGATGCAAGTGTCCAGCAGATTTCTATACTTTCTAACATATTTGGATACAATACTTATGAAGACTTTGTGAAGGATGCATCAATGTTAACTCTGTCTGAGATAAAGGAGTTAGAGGAGGTAATGACATATTCAGAAACTTTTCTTCAAAATCTTATGTCTATGTTGTAAGAATCTAACTACTAAGTTGATCTGAATTCAAACAGCCTTGCTATGTGGTTACTTTTGCTAAAATTACTGGATTGGTGAAGGAATTTGATTGGTGCTACTTAGGATGTAGAGACTGCAACAAGAAGGTCACAGAAATAGGTAAAGACACTGACACCAGGTTGGTAGGATTGCCTAAAAGTAATCAACGTGGGAAGGGGAAAAAGGTCACTAGTGAAATCAATGGTGAAGGTATCAAAAAGTTTCTATGCAGTAAACATGGTCTTGTTTCTGCTGTTACTCAAAAGTAAGATCATTATCATCATATAAAAATGACCAATTCAGTGCCTGTATATTTCAGAAATTATTTTTCACTTAATCACTATCTAATATTATTTTGATTAATCTATGAACAGGTTCAAGATACATGCAATTGTTGTTGATGGATCAGGCAGTGGTATAGTAACCTTATGGGACAGACAAGTTTACAATTTAATTAACAAGAATGCATCTGAACTCCTTGAAGAGGTATTAGTCTATATTTTTACTTACGGGATTAATATTCATTATCAATATATTCTGATTGAAAAATCCACAACTACAGGAACCAGGAGTTTATTATCCAAATAAGCTAGAAGAACTTAAAGGAAAAAAGTGTTTGTTCAAGCTTGATATTTCACAGTTTAATATAAGGAACAGGGACAGTGAAATGTCAGTTGCTAGGGTTACTACAGATGCTGCAATTATAAAACAGTACCTACAAGCTGTAGCTGAAGATCTGGTAATTATCATTAAATATTCACTTTTGTAGGAATTAATTTTATTTACCAGCAAAATAACAAATATGCAAATTGTATAATGTCTCACATATCACATGTACTCCATTTATGCTGTAATAATGCAGGAAATAGATGCAGAAACTAGTATTGAATTTGGGCTCAGTATGACCCAAACAGATGATAGTACTGCAAAGGTGATCCGTAAACAATTTCCGTACATTATGGACTACTGATTATAAAATATATTCCAGAAAACTGAAACATATATTTTCTTACATGTATTTTTTTGCAGACTGCTGTATCATGTATTGGTGATGTTAATATCCAGAATGCTGATATTGGAACTCCTCTGGAAGATACTGCTGATAGTCCCCCACCAAAGAAGTCCAAATCTACTCAGGACCTTGAGAGTGTCAAATCCCACCAGAATAAATGTGTCAGGAAAATCTGAAGAAAATTCCTTCTTCTTGATCTTATTTTCATTTGAATTTAAATTTCCAAATCAAAACTGCACTACATCATATGTGTGATGTTGTTGTCTACAGCCAGAACTCTCCTTTCATGGATTTTAACATATTTAATAATTTATAAGCACCATGTTTAGTTCTTTTTAATCTCGATCATTTTTTGCCTTATGCAATACAAGGATTGGTCTTTATTGTTAAGCACTTCAGATTCTTAGATAGTTTACATGTGTGTTTTTTAATTTAGTTTTACAGAATGTTCAATGTTAAGTTCATTCCATAAGGCTTAAAATTTGAAAACAAAGAGTATTTTGTAACTTTCATGAAAGCAATAAACACTTTATCCGTAATATAACATTAAATTTTCATTATCCTCATTTCAAAGTTTTGAAAACTCAGTCAAATATATCTACTGTGAAGCAAAAATAATTAAACTTGCAAATATGTAATCACTGATAAGATTTACTTTAATATAATTCACCATCAGAGTAAGAAATGTTGTAAATTTCATGAAAAAACTTTTAAAGTGAAAAAAAAACGTGTTAATCTTATCAGTGTGAATACAAAATATAATCGTATGAACAGAACTGGCACTAAATACGTTATAATTAATTGTTATCCCTGTAAATCAGGAGTAACCATATTTATATTCCCAATCACATATATTAAGGGCTTTAATATCACTGTTAAAAATACAATAAGCCACCCCTTTACAAATTCCTTCTGCAACTTACATTATGTTTCTGAACAAAATCCGACAGCCAACAAGGAACAATGTCAAACAAGTGTTTTGTGAGGGTGGAACTAGGGTTTGCCTACTTTCAGGTAATGTTTAAGTTCTGATAATAGTTTATTTCTCATCAGTTTGTATTTCTGATACTACATCTGTAATAAACTTTTGTGGTTGTTATCATCAATTAAAAAATGATGTAGGAAATTCCTTTGCCTTCAACTTTGCTCATTCAAGATGAAGATAGATCAAAAGAGATTTTATTGATCAGTAACAATAACGAGTACAAAGTCAGTGGCTTCGTTAATAAAGACTGGACACACGTGAGGATTGGTGGTAACAATTGGTATGAATTTGTGAAGGCTCACAAATTAGTTCTCAATCAGGGACTCTACTTTATTGTGAGGGAATTAGGGATTATGAATGTTTTTGTGTTTGATAAAAATAATGTTCTCAGCAACAGTCCAACACCAAATATGTCATGGAATTACAGCAACAACATCAAAGTTCAAATGGTATATTGTTTGTAATTTTTTTGAATTTGGACAGATATGGAAAGGTAAAAATATTGTTTCAGTTTTGTTCAATTTGGTCACACAGGTTTTACCGGTTGGATTAAGTAGTTGTATCACAGAAGATCATGCAGATAACTTTGGTTATTTTTCAAACTGGTCGGTTGTCTATGGGGAGTGTACATATATCAATCAAATAGCATATTCTCCTCATAAGAATGCTGCAAGATTGGTTGTAAGTGGTTATCAATGGGATAAGCTTTTAAAAGACCATGCCAACATGGTACAACATTCTGAATTTGCTGTTTTCACATATACTGGAAAAATGCGATTAATTATGTATTTTTTTCAGTAAAGAAGGATTTGAACAAAAGCCTACTATTACTGACACAGAAGATGACTGCTTCGAGATCCCCATAGGAGATAACCACTGCCAGCATAAAGCCATTGTAATAATATATTATGCCTTTTACTTTCTGTCAGCTTAATCATATTTACTTTGCTTATCTTTTTCCTAATTTTTTTTTACAGACTGTTCCATTTGAATTCTGGAGACGACATAGGAGTATCCTTACCAAAAACTTGGTTGTCATATACACTAATGCAATGATGTATAATATGGAGTTGCATAAATCATACAATCCGCTGCATTATGGTAAAAAAGTGTCCCAGTTGAAGATTGTCAGGAATTGGAACACACTGATGCTTGATAATCAGTTTCTAAAAGGAAGTGTTCTTAAATTTATGCTGGATGTCGAAAGTGTACACCCCAGAAAGAATGATGTAACTTTTTCTATTTCAGAGATTTCCTAGATCTATCTTCATCATGATTGTTTGAATTATTTCAAAATATTGAAAGTTGTTTTAAATGTCTGGTGGGAACTAAATAACTTTTGCTTATGATATATGTGATTTCTTCATGAAATTATTTTATTCTTTAGGTTGGTAACGATATTTTATGGAGGAATGTTTTACTATGACTTCAACTGATTTGTAATTATTTATGTTAATAAAGATAAGATAAGACTCTATGTAAAATAAATACTTTTACAGTCTTAAAAATATTTAATAGAAATAGTTTCCTTAAAATGAAGATTATGATAAAATCAGATAACAACTAAAATATCACAATGAAAATCATCTAATCATTTAAATGAGATTCCTTGCAGATGTAAAAACTGAAACACGATCAATACTTAAAAACATGAGATAAATACCATATGTTACAAGTTCAACAACATCTAAATGTACATTGACACATTCACAGAAGTTTAACAATTCAACAATGGTGAACATGTCAGCAAAGGCTGCCAGAAAAAACCGATCACAAATTTTACAGGCAAAAAGAAAGAAGATTCAAGCCAAAGCAGCCAGAAAGAATCGAACCCAAATCATAAACAATTAAAGGAGAAAGGTGATTTACATATTTATTATGCATGGTTTCTTCAAACAGATTTTAAGCAATAGCTTGAATCTTACTCCAAAGGAGTGTCAGTGGTTCAGACGTCAACTTTTGAACAATAAAAAAGGCAAAATTGTTAACGATCGACATTCCCGCATGCTTACACACCACAATCATTATCCGTTTTTCATGCCAAATGTGAACCAACAATCAGTTTCAACTTCTTCTGTAATTTCAAAAGGTACGTAATTTGGCTTTACTGTTTATATTTTATTTTGTGAAGTGTGGATTGCATATGTTTATATTTTATTTATGTGTATAGATTCAGCTTCATTTGGGAGTTCTACCTCTGAGAATCCCAGAATGAAAAGGAAGGAATTATTGGATAAAAAAAAAGGGAAGATTGTTCAAACAAAGCCATGCATTTGAATGGATGGTTTCAACATATCTAATATAGATACTTCAATTTCAAAAACTCATAATAATTCAGCACTGCAAAGGCACAGTTCTAACGGCAGGTGCTTTATTATTATCAGTCATTATCCATTTTATATAAGTTATTATTACTGTTATGGTGAAAATATTTAAACATAAGTACCAGTAACAAAACAAATTTCTCCACAGATTAAAAACTGATAATAATAATTCAATTTTCAAGAATTCATAGATTATGAGATATAGAAACGTAGGACATACCTCTGATTTTGTAACATTCATGTACTATGGTCTCCTTACACAGCAACATCAGATACCAATCTAAAAGGTTTGAAGCGCAAGTGCCAACAATCTGGAATGAATTTGAAGAAAACTGTATTGCATCCTGGCAAGTACAAAGTCAAACAAAATGAGATTAATATAATTAACGCAGGTATTTTATACTTACATAACAGTTTTTTTTATATTTTTAAACACAGTAAATTAGTTTTTTAAACAAAAAATGTTCATGCAGCTTATGATGATCTTGGTGATCCAGATTATGTATGTAGATTCTGTGTGGCTAACATGTGGTATGCTGAGAGGACTGAAAAAAGAAGGAGACCAGCAATCCCCACATTTTCAATATGTTGCAGGAAAGGCAAAATCCATCTACCCTTACTCAAGGAACTACCTTCAAAATTAAAGGAGTTGTTTATGTCTAATGACAGCAAAAGTAGACACTTTTTAGATAACATACGAGCCTACAATAATATGTTTGCATTCACGTCCATGGGAGGAAAAATTGTTAGCACCATAAACAATGGACGTGCTCCATTTGTTTTCAAAATGCAGGGACACAACAGTCATTTAATGGGTAGTCTTCTCCCACAAGATGATTCAATTCCTAAATTCTCTCAGTTGTATATTTATGACACTCAGAATGAAGTCAATAACAGAATAGGTGCTCTGAGGTACAACTCTTACTATATCTGAAGAAATGATTTTCCATTTAAATATAATTCCAAATGTTTCATATATATATATATATAGTTATAACGCCTTATTTATCTATATTTATGTTATGAACTGCAGTTCTGGTCAGAGTGGAGACAGTTTGAGCACACTAGATGCTCAAATTGTTAGTGACATAAAGGAAACATTAGATGAACACAATGTCCTAGCACAGACTTACAGAAAGGTACGTGACACAGTTCAGGTGGACTCTTTAACAGAAATAAAGCTTAAGCTTATTAGTGCTAGGAAAACGGATGCAAGAAGATACAACATTCCAACAGTTGATGAGGTAGCAGCTATAATTCCAGGAGATGAGGACAATGAATTTGAGACAAGAGACATTATTGTTCAATATAAGTCTGGAGAATTGCTGAGAATAAACGAGTTGCACCCTTCATACCTTGCACTTCAGTACCCGATCATTTTTCCGTATAGTGAAGACGAATTCAGAATCAATATAAAACTAGGAGATCCAGACACTGATTCTGATGATGATGATGATCAAAGTGATGATGATGATGAAGAGGAAAATCAAAATGAAGAAGAAGAGTACAAGGGTCCCCGTAAATGGATGAGTATGAGAGAGTGGTTTGCTTTCCGTATAATGGAAAAGAATGATGATGGTAGCATGCTATTGTTTGCACGAAGGTGTTTCCAACAGTTTTTAGTTGATGGTTACAGTGCAGTTGAAGCTGGTCGTATCTTTTTTGTGAAGAGAAATCAGAAAAAACTACGATGTGAAACATATGAAAACATCAGAAGATCTCTAGACACAGGCAACAATGATGCATCAAACATTGGTTAGAGGATTTTACTGCCATCCTCTTTCACTGGAGGCAACAGATGGAAACGGGAGAACTATATTGATGCAATGACAATAGTGAAGGTTTTCGGCTATCCAGACGTGTTCCTAACATTTACATGCAACAACAAGTGGCCTGAAATTGTTAGATACTGTAAAAAGAGGGGATTGAAGCCTGAAGATAGGCATGATATTGTTTCAAGGGTTTTTAACATGAAACTTGATAGACTGATGAAGGACATTAAAGATAAGCGTGTATTTGGTCGTGTAGAAGCAGGTAAACATATTATTCCCAATGATTTGTACTTTTACATCATAAGTTCAAGCATTAAAATTCTCATATTCCTATAAATTTAATTACTACATTGCATAACAGATTACTCACCATTTCTTAAATTTCATTGTTGCAGGTGTTTACACTATTGAGTACCAGAAAAGAGGTCTCCCACATGCACACATAGTTGTGTGGCTACATCGAGATGATAAAATAACAAATGCAGAAGATATAAATAAATATATAAGTGCGGAACTACCCGGCAAAGATGATGACCCAGTCCTATATCAGATTGTAACTGATTTGATGATCCATGGACCTTGCAGTGATGATTTCCCTCACAGTCCATGTATGGTGGATGGAAAATTTTCTAAGAGATTTCCCAAAAAATTTAAAAATTTTACAAGCATAGGTGAAGATGGATTTCCTGATTATATGAGACGTGATGATGGCAGATCTTTTGAAAAAAATGGTTCAGCATTTGAAAACAGATGGGTAGTTGGTTACAACTGCTACTTGACTCTTAGATACCGCACATATAAATGTCGAATGGTGTAATCAGGCTGGGGCTATAAAGTATTTATTCAAATGCTTGAATAATGGATCTGATCGTGTTTCTTTTAAATATACAAGAAATGGGGAGCCAATCAGAGAAGAATATGATAATGGTCCAAAAGATGAAGTCAGAGATTGGTATGAGGGCAGGTATCTATCTGGTTGTGAAGCTGCTTGGAGAATGCCTAATTTTAAGCTTTATTACAGATCACATTCTGTAGAGCGCTTAAGTTTCCATATGCCTGGCCAACAGAGTATAGTTTATAATGAGGATTAGACTGTTGAAGATGTCGCTGTGAAAGCTTCAACCAAACAGTCGAAATTTTTGGGTTGGATCGAGGCTAACACATTGTATCCTGAAGCAAGAAACCTTACTTATATAAATTTTCCATCCAAGTTCATATGGAAGAAAAAAGACAAAGTTTGGGTCCTAAGGAAAAAAGGATCAAGTATTGGCAGGATACATGGAGTCCCTGTAGCTTCAGGTGAACTTTTTACATGAGAGTTCTTCTTAATGTAGTCAAAGGTCCAACATGATTTGAGGACATAAGAACTGTGGAAGGCACTGAGTACTCAACATTCAAAGAAGCTTGCTTTGTAAGAGGTTTACTGGATGATGACAAAGAATATATTGCTTGCATACAAGAAGCATCTACTTGGGGTACAGGTAACTGTTGCAGGAATCTTTTTGCATCTCTACTGGAAGCTAATTACCTATCAAGTGCTGAAAACGTTTGGAAAGAGACGTGGAAGTGTTTCACATGTGATATCCAAAACAAGCTCAGAATATTGTACAGGAAACCAGGTAATAAAAAATACTATTTGAATCTAATTTGTACAGATAATACAGTATTTTTATTACATTACGTTTATGGAACATTTAAAATTATTTCATATGCAGATTACATTGTATCTGAAGAAGAACAAAAAATTCATGCACTTAAAGAAATTGAGCTTATATTAAGGTCTCATGGTTTAAGCTTGAAAAATTTTAGAGACATGCCATACCCAGTGGACGTGTTAGTAGAAGATGGAAACAATGTCATGATACATGATGAACTTGACTATGACAGACCAATGCTTCAATTATGATTCACTCTATGCAAACCTGACCGATGAGCAAAGATCCGTTTACAATGAGATTTTAACTGCTGTTGAAAATGGAAATGCAGGACTTTTTTTCTTATATGGTTACGGTGGGACAGGTAAGACATATATATAGAGCACGCTATCAGCTGCAGTTCGTAAGGAAGGACATATTGTGCTTAACGTCGCTTCAAGCGGAATTGCTTCTTTATTGCTGGTAGGTGGTAAGACGGCTCATTCAAGGTTTCAGATTCCTATTAATATTACAGATTAATCCGTCTATTCTATTAAGCCAGGAAGTGATCTCTGTGCATTATTAAAGAGGGCAAAACTTATTATATGGGATGAGGCACCTATGATACATAAGCACTTTTTTCAGGCATTGGACAGATCTTTAAGGGATATTCTAAGATCCTCAAATCCAAACAATGAAAACCAACCTTTCGGTGGCAAGGTAGTTGTTCTTGGTGGTGATTTCTGTCAGATTTTACCAGTTATTGCAAAGGAAACTGGAGCTGATATAGTTAGGTCTGCAATCAATGCATCATATTTATGGCAACACTGTAAGGTACTTAGGCTGACTGTTAACATGAGATTACGTGTTAGAAATTCTACTGATGATCCGCAGGAAATACGTGAGTTTTCTGATTGGTTACTAAAGGTTGGTGAAGGAAGGATTTCAGAACCAAACGATGGTGAAGCAGAAATTGAGTTCCCAGCAGATGTAATTATCCAGGAACCGGGAAATCCTATTGAGGTTATTGTCAATACTATATATCCAAACTTGCAGGCTAATTTGAAAGAACCAGGTTGGTTTCAGGAAAGAGCTATTCTTGGACCTACACATGAGGTTGTTGACAAGATCAACGATTACATGGTTGAATCGTTGCCTGGAGAAGAACGAGAATATCTAAGTTCAGACAGTATATGCAACTCTGAAAATGCTTATAGACAAATATCAGGAAATACAAGTACTTCTGAACAAACAACAGGACCAGGTTATGAATGTGATCAAGGAGTATACAGTCCTGAATTCCTCAACAGTGTAAAGGCTTCAGGTCTCCCTAATCACAGATTGGTTTGAAAAAGGATGTTTCAATTATATTGCTACGTAATGTTGATCAAAGGAATGGTCTTTGTAATGGAACGAGGCTTCAGATTACACGTATGGGACGCTATGTGATAGAGGGTAGGGTCATCTCAGGCAGCAACATTGGCCATGTTGTGCCTATTCCTAGGATGGACATTGTTCCTACTGATAATAGTATCCCCTTCAGACTGAAAAGGAGACAATTTCCTATAGTAGTCTGCTTCGCAATGACGAGCAACAAAAGCCAAGGACAGTCCCTATCTACGGTTGGTCTATACCTGCCTCGACCAGTGTTCAGCCACGGACAGATATATGTGGCATTGTCAAGGGTGACAACTAAAAAAGGTCTGAAGGTCTTGATTTGCAACCCTGACGGTTCGCGATCAAATCACACAATGAATGTTATTTACAAAGAAGCTCTACGTAATGTAATATAGAGTGGGTTATTCATTTAAGATGTTTTAGATTTAATGAAATCCTAATTCTATGAATTTATATACTTTTTAAATATATTCAGTCAGCTAATATATGTTTAACCATCAGATTAAAACACAATTCATAGTTACCATCATTAAAATTACGAAGTTATAATTGAATTTATTTATTGTAATAAAAAGTAATTAACAAATCTAATGTCTACCTTTACAGTACTCTGTATATACAATTCTGGAAAGGATATTTCATTCTTAAAAAAAAAGCTATTAATAATTACTGAGCCCTACAAATTAGGGTTAACCCTAATTATAGATATTTAATTCCTCGGGACAACAGTCATGCAAACTACTATAAACCACCGTTCCCATTCACATACAGGCAGTCAACACACGTTTCTCATTACGAAGGGTCAGAAGAAAGGTTGCAATTTATATACAACTGAGAGATGTCTGTTTTAGTACATCCTTCGGTACAGAGATATTCAAAATTCCATAGATCCTTCAATTTTTATATTACATATAGATATAATCTATGGAAGAGGCCTATGATCAATTGGTTAGTGTACCAATAAACATCCGCAGGAAAGGATTGGTAAGCCCTTTTTATCATTATTTATTTGTATTATGATTATTATTGATTTTCATGCATTCTTACTGACAAACATTATTTATATAAATTAACAGATCCTTAGCAGCAACCTAATTTCAATTCTGAGACATGTTGGAAAACAGATCAAAATTCAATTTCAAGGGAACATATTTTTGTTTGCAAACATACATATCACTAAGAAAAGGAGATGTCAGATATGGGGATCTAATCTGGAAGCCTTTTTTCAGGAGTTTGCTGTATGTTCCAGATCCAGATTTAATGTTGTTTATCACAAATCTTCTAATGTGATATAGTTATTTCCTTTTACTTATGATGGCTGTGAAAGGATTCACACAGATGTCAATGCAAATACTGGTAACCGCTATCTACTGAGTTTAAATGATAGCACATCCAAACAAGCTGTAAGTCTTTAGATTCTTGATACACCTGTTTCTTCTTTTCCAATGTTATCTTAACCTTTTAATGTAAATATATGTTTTATAATATATAGTATCAGGACTACTAATAATTGAGATTCAATTACAGGTTATCGAAAAACGTTTCGTTTATGGTATTGATTGGCCTTCAGAACTAACCACAGCAAACTGTATTGATCTGAAGCACAATCAATGGAAGTTTATGGTTATGAAGTTAAATAATGAAACAGTAGGTTTTGAAGGGCCGAGTTGGGAAGATTTTCATGACTATTATTACAATAGTTTGAAATGTGTCAATGTAATTGTTGTCTACACTGGAAATCTTTTATTCCATTTAAGGCTTTACAACAATGAAGGCTACTGTTGCAACCTAGACATTGTTGGTTCGGATACATCTGAAGGTTTGTATTTTATAATCTTCCACTTAGTAGTTCAATATCACAAATATTATTATCATAATGCATATTTTAATACAAATCTAAATTTACATTCAGGTGAAGTTGACACAGTAGATTATCTCTGCAGCAACGGTGACCAGAACACATTTTCAGCAACAATGACTGAAACTGTGATTTCTCATAGCAGATTAGTATGAACCATATTATACCTACAAATTTACTACAAGTCAAAACCAATTTAATTATGTGTCAATTCTAAACTATTTATTTCATTACATTACAGGAGATACCTTGGCATATAGTCCGAAGACTAAAGTTAGAAGATTACACAAATGCTATTTTGTACTATGATGGAGTTCCTGCACTTAACATGCATCGAATTGTGATAAATGACAATCCATATCGGTTTGTCATTGAAGGTGATCTCAAGTACATGATGGATTTGAAGAAGATACCTTTGGGTATAACTTTAGGTTTTGGTATAGATGCTCGCAAGGCAGTTAATAAGGAATATCTGATCCTAGAAGTTTTGTAGGTGACACTATTTGGCATTCTGTTTTTGCATAGAATTATTATGATGCATGTTCATGACCTAATAATTTCCAGCACAGAATCTATTATTTAAACCTCAAAATTCATTTGTATTTTTATACAAAAGATTGCAATTTTTGGTTTCTGGTTAACCAAAAACCATATACCTTGATGTGAAGTAACCACAAATCTTTGTTACATGCAAATACTGTTAACCAGAAACAAGCCACCAAAAACCAGGAAATCTTTGCAGTGAAGTTTTTTTACCATCTGAAATTGTAATTACAAAAAAGTTTGATTTCAAGAAACTATCTCACTTTTATTGGATGTTTGAGTTTTATATTCCCGTTGACCGTCCCAAAAACATCAATAACAACATTGTAGAAACAGTAGCAGCTCCAATCCCAGCTCAAACACCAAAAATTTGACCAATGAAAAAAAAAAAAAAACAAACGTAAGCTTCAAATCATCAAATCAAACTTTCACTGATAGTTGCATATCTACAATTCAAATAAATCCGAAGATAATAAGAGGTTGAATAAGCTATATTACCATATAGATCTAAACCGGATTGAATGCATATGCATTCTAATGAATAATGCAGATCTGTTGATGACGAAGATGAGATTTTAGATCTATAAGGAGATTTCCGAACGACATACAGAATTACAGCTCAGTAATGATAGATCGATGTTCGAAATCAAACTGACACCATTAGATCAAGAATATTGAATTCCTCCAGATTTCAAACAACTTTTGGCTCCCGTTGAGCGTCCCAAAAACAACAATAACTTTGATATTGTAACTGTAGCAGGTCCAATCCCAGCTCGAACAACAGAAATTTGACGAATGAAAAAAAAAAAAAGAACCATAAGCTTCAAATCATATAAATGGGATTTGACTGATAGTTTCATATATACGATTCAAACAACTCCGAAACTAACAAGAGGTTGAATAAGCTATATTACCTTATAGATCTAAACCGGATTGAACGCATATGCATTCTAATGAATAATCCAGTTCTGTTGATGCCGAAGCTCAGCATTTAGCTCAAACAAGAAGATTTCCCAACGATATACAAAATCTAAGCTCACTAATGATAGATCTAAGCTGGACTTCATACTGACACCATTAGATGAAGAATCTGAGAATCCTTCAGATTTCAAACACATTTTCAATAACAACATCAGATCTCAAATTCGCAGTGTAAATGATTCGAGCAAAAAACCTAATCTGAGCTAAAAAATTGGGCAGTGCTTTGTATGGATTCAATTTTGGGAGGAAGGAAAGTAGAAAAACTTCGGTTTGTCTGAAGTGAAATACGCAGAAAGGTTAAAATGCCAACTTAATGACAAGTCAGGCAAAATATCACCACATTTTCATTTGTCTTTTTAAAATAAAAAATAAATTTATTAAATGTGTGGATGCCCGGAACCGAATGTGTCATTAAATGGGCTGTGTTTGGGTTTCTTATTTAACTTGGCCCGTGTCCTGGGCTGACGTGTGGACATTAAATGGGCTGTGTTTGGGTTTCTAAGTACCACATTATAACAGGCCTGGAACCGAATATCTAATGACTATTATAAACACACAGAATTTAAATTTTGGGCCTTTCATATGTTAGAGAATATTAAACCATAAATATATAATTTCCTTAATTTACAAATTATTGAAGAAATTAAATGTAAACATTTTATACAATTACTCTATAATTGTCACATACATTTTATATCAATACAAAATTGATGACCTATAATTTTAAATGTTTCAAAAATAGCAATAACATGTAATAACAATGTCTTTCATAACTATTCATAATTCGTACTATTGTAATAAAAATTCAATCATTTACATGATTACATAAATTAAACTTATAGTATATTTAATAAACTATTTGTAAGTCAAAATACATATCAAAGTTAAAAAATAGGGCCGGCCGGGCATCGCCCGGGTCAAGCATCTAGTTAGAGTTTATAGTGATGCAATGTTGACAAAACATCAAAGAGCCTATAAAAATAAATTTAGGAATATATCATCTATCTTCTATAAAGAAAATTTGATTCCTAAAAATATCAAATTTAATTAGATTTTCATATGTAAAAAAGCAACTATTCCCTGAATTTTTTTTAATCAAGTTATTATTCATAATCCTCCGACCTTATCCATTCGCTTTATCCTCCCACCCCATTAATTTGTCTAACTTATATCCATTTTTTTTTTTAAAAAAAAGGACTAAATCAATAGTCATATTTCTTCTATTTTATAGAAGTGTTTTGTATATAAAGAATAATAGTCATATTTCTTCTAAATTAATTTGACTTTGTGACTCTAAAGGAAACTCACACGACCGCATAGAACTTGATTTTTGAAAGTTGAACGGAAGAAAGAAAAATACTACAAGAGATAATAGTCATTTTCAAGCCAATTAATTACTTGGCTTCTTTGTTTGTTTGTTTTCTTTTTAAAATAATTTTGCCCCTTGAAAATGCTGTTTACATATATTCTTATCAGCTGAAATCATGTCCGGTGGTTTTTGTAATACTTTTTTCATCTCATAAAAATAATTCAATTAGAATTATGAATTGTGTATTTTTAGTATTATTTATCGTCTATAATGTAGTCTATTTTGTTACGAAGATGATATACATAAGTACGACATTCAAAGGGGAAAAAAAGAAATATGTTTTTGAATTTTTTTTTCCCACGAAGTATATGGATTTATAATTGAATGAATGACCAATTTAATTAATTTGAACCTGGAACAGAATGTTAAATATCAAATGAATTAATTTTTTTATTTTTTCTTTACACTTAAAATGTTCTTTTTAATAATTAACATTTAATTTATATTTTGATCTTTCTTGTTTTTTCATTAAAATTGCATCAAATTCGATCAGGTGATTAGTTTTTTCACTAAGTCAATGTATGTTACAGAAAATAAGGATTAAAAAAGTTAATAATTTATTGGTAAAAAGTAGAAATTTATAGACTGATGAAAAACATTTAAAGGACAAAAATGTTATTAAAAAAATTGTAGTTAACGAACACCATAGGACAATAATGATCCAAATACAATATGTAAAGATAAATGAGAACTTTGTTAAATGTTAAGGACAAGTTTTGCTACAAATCAAATCACCAAGCGTGTCTTTAAAGTTTGTGATTGAGTTTGCAATGTAATTTATCGGTTTACCTATAGTACAATGTACAGGACTACTAAAATTTTCTTTTCATCGAATGAAGGGAGCAAAAAAAGGAGAAAGATAAATGAGACTCTTTATTATATTTTTTAGTATATTACGCATCCGGTGTCCGAAGTCATTGCTATGACTAATCCGGATTCGAGTCGGGTAGAATAAGACTCTTTAGTATTAATCTAGGGCTCATCAAAAATTAATCATCTAACTAAGCCGGATTGACTCCGCGTTCTGACCTTGAAACTCTGACTTTGAACGAGGAATTGGGAAAATTTGGTATTTCCTCATAAATTTTTTTTTCCGTATGGTTGATTTTTTTATTTAAAAAAGGGTGATTTGTATGTGATTTGATTTGATGCGTAGTGTTTGCATTTTTTTTTACATTTAAGGTTTCAGTTTCAATTTAGAAAACCCAATAAACGAATTTAGGATAAATTAAACGTCTTATAATGATGACAGGGAGAGTACTACACATTTGATTTCATCGGGCAATTAATTGAAATTTGGAAGTACATTATGTTTGCTTGTTAGCTGGACAGAAGCATATGTACATATGTCCGAGGTTCACAAACATGCTTGTACTCTCTGTTTCCTAAGTAGTTTTTTTTTTTTTTTTTCCCAAAACTTATTTGAGTACTAGAAGCATTGAAGTTTATTATGAATAAATTGAGAATTTTAAAATGCAGGCTCGACACGTGCCGGAGGAATCCGCGTTATTACCTGGTAAGTCTGACTTTGAATGAAGGAAATTGGAAGATTTGGTCATCTCAAATTTATTAATCCGTCTTCTTTCTTTTTAATATTTATTTTTTGGGTATGATATGGTGGATAAATATTTCATTAGTACAACGACCAACGTATGCTTGTGATTAGTTTATGATTAGGTGCGGCTGAAATGGATTAGTTTTCGGAGGACAAAAGAAATGTGTTATTTATTTGTTTATTTTCAGATAAGACAGATCATGCATTTCATCCTCAAATAGCCAAATGAATGAAGTTTTAATTTCAGGTATATTTCCTCTCTCCCAAAATTATTGTGTTAAGGTATATTATCTTGTCTCACATTGTCACCGCGAAAAGAAGTGACTCTGTATATAAGTGTTAAAGGCCACTCCACTCATTGCCAATTGGTTTTGAGATGAGAGCCCAAAGTACTTATATACTTTAACATGGTATCAGAGTGGTTTGGGCCTGTGGTGGAGTTCTAGGCCGGTAGTATATTCTCACACTTAGCGTAGACTCGTGGACTTGTTGTGGACTGGTCCAGCGGTATAACTATCTTTTCTCCCACTTGAGCGTTGACTCGTGGGCTTGTTGTGACTGATCCAGCGGTATAACTGGCGCTCTCTCACTTGAGCGTTGACTCGTGGGTTATTCTGTTCTTATCCTGATCCAAGTCCATCGGACCAAAACAATTCAAAGACCCATTGGACTTGAGGATGGGCTTGTTGTGGACCGATCCAGTGGTATAACTGGCTTTTCTTCCACTTGAGCGTTAACTCGTGGGCTTGTTGTGGACCGATCCAGCGGTATAACTGGCTTTTTTTTTCCACTTGAGCGTTGATTCGCGGGCTTGTTGTGGACTGATCCAGCGGTATAACTGACTTTCTCCCACTTGAACGTTGACTCGTGGGCTATTCTGTTCTTGTCCTAATCCAAGTCTATTGGGCAAAAAAAGTTCAAAGACCCATTAGACTTGAAGGAGGTATTAAGGTGTATTATCTTGTTCCACATCGCCACCGTGATCCAAGTTCATTGGACAAAAAAAGTTCAAAGACCCATTGGACTTGAGGGAGGGTATTAAGGTGTATTATTTTATCCCACATTTCTACCGTGAAGAGAAGTGGCTCAGTATATAAGCGCCAAAGGTCACCCCACTCATTGCCAATTGGTTTTGAGATGGGAGTCTAAAATACTTATATACTTTCGCATATTGTCCACTTTTAAGAGAAGGACAACATCTGGAAAACAAAAGGTCTATGACATGGGTTGATTGAGAATTTTAAGAAACAAAACGAATTGAAAGAGGGAAAAAAAAAAAAGAAGAATATTAGATGATGATGCTAAGAGGTGCACAATTGCAAACCATGTTTTCTCCATGGGAATGGAATTACAGGTTATTCTTTTCTGGAAAAATAGAGCACGAAAAAACAGAGTTAGATGGAATATGGATACAAGCATTAGAGATCCTACTCAAATCGAAACCAAATGGTTGGATCCAAACACAAGTCATTTTTCCGACTAAGGTTGGAGCCAAGCTTCTCCGTCATGTCTAGCAATTCAGGTTTTGTTCCATCTGGAACTTTCCAGTCAAAATGGTACAAAAGTTGAGCCAGAGCCAGTTCCACAACTGGAGCCGCAAATGAAACTCCAGGACACATCCTTCTTCCCGCCCCAAATGGAATATACTCGAAATTGGGTCCAATTATATCAATTCCATTGTTCAAGAATCTCTCAGGTTCAAATGTTTCAGCATCCTTCCAGAACTCTGGATCCCGGTTGATTGTCCAGGCATTCACAATGATTTTGGTTCCAATTGGGATTTCATAGCCTTCGATCTCACATTTTTCCCTGCATTCCCTGGGAAGTAACAAGGGAACAGGCGGGTACAACCTTAGAGTTTCTTTGATCACCAGTTTCAAGTAATTTAACGCTTTCAAATCTTCGTCGCGGGTTCGGGTCTTTCCTTGGAGTAAACCCCTCACTTCAGCTTGTGCTTTCTCCATGACTCGAGGGTTCCTCATCATTTCTGACATTGCCCATATGATAGTTGTAGCCGATGTTTCAGTCCCCGCAATAAACATGTCCTGGAAAAAAAAAAAGCACAAATGTAAGGATAATGAATTGTCAAGAATGAAGTTTCTAGTTTAGTTGGTTTTTAGTGAGATTTGAATTAGTTTGGAGAGTTGCACCTACAACTACAATGGCTTTTATGCTGTCTGTTGTAATTGGAAAGTCGAGGCCACCTCTTTCGTTGATCTTCAACAGCACATCAACTAAATCTTCTTCCCTGGATGGAATTATATTGTTAGAATTAGTACCTGATATTTTCTTCTCTCTGTGCTCCTGAATTATTTCATCAAGTATTTCGTCCAGGTTTTTGAACAGCTTCTTGAGTTTGAAATTTGACCCGCTAATGACTTTGATGAATTCCTTAGAAGGAAACAAATCAGCTAGGTCAAAACCACTACTCATCTCTATTATCCGATTTGATAACCTGATTAATTCATCGTGCCGCTTCTTGGGTCCGATCCCAAATGCTGCTCTGCTCGTAATAGCATTTGTCAATGCAAAAATTCTCTCACTTAAGTTAACTGATGACCCGGAGGATGAATCCTGGATTGAAGTGATGGTTTTCCAGGTCTCATCTTCCCGGATGGAGGCGAACCCGCGAACATTTTTGACACTCAGGAGCTCCATCACGCAGATTTTACGCATCTGTCTCCAGTAATCACCATAGGGTGCGAATCCAACATCTCTATAATTATAAGTGATGATCTCTGCGGATGCAAGTTTTGGCCGGCTCGCCAAAGCGATGTCGTGAGTTTTCAGTACCTCTTTCGCCATTCGAGGTCCTGAGACGACAACTGCAGATACTTCACCAAGTTGAAGATGCATGATTTGGCCATATTTTTTGGACAAGTCTCTGAGGGCTCGATGTGGAAGTGAACCCGCCAGGGCCAAATGGTGTACGCTTCCAATAATGGGAAATTTCCATGGACCTGGAGGCAATTTAGAGCCTGATTCATCCCTGGATTTGGTTACACTCAATTTGTACTGTATGAATTTCAGAGAAAGGACAAGTAGAATTGAAAAGATGAAAAGTGATGAAAATGTGACCTCCATATAGTGATGAAAAATAGTACAAAGGAAAGCAATCACTTTCTAGTTGTACTCTTGGAAGCTACGTTAGTAAGTGTGCTTGTTATCTAAGTTTTGATGAGAAGAATCTGGACATGAATGGAATAATGTTCGTTTTGGACTGGTGTTCTTGAAACATGCTTTTGTCCAAAGCAGATTGAGATGCTTTGGCTGGGTTAATTAATCGAATATCATTTTTTGGCATTTTGGAGTGGAGGCGTCATCGAATGAATCATGTGCCCTTATCCTTTTAGATGATTTAGATGGTTTGGTACTTTGGTTGGTTAACCAATCAATTTTCGGACATTTTGGAGAAGGGCCTCGTAAAATAAATTTCCAGGGACCTGGAGGCAGTTTAGGGTCGAAATCATCCCTGGATTTGCTTAGTTTGTTTTGTATGAATTTCAGAGAAATGAAAAGGAGGGTAGAAATTATGACAATCGATGAAAATGTCAGCTCCATAATGTGATTTGATTTTGATTGAGAGGAAACCAATCACTGAGCTTTTATATATACTTCTATATGTTTTTGTTGGAGTTTCTGGACATTTATGATCATTAGACTTCTCGAAAGATACCTGTGATTTTATGAGTAATAATACTTTGGCTAATCAAATGAAAGATGCCATTTTGACATAGTACGGGCTCATAGTTTTTATTTATTTATTTTTTTCCGTCTCAAATCAAAATAAAAATCCAAACTAAACAATAATTTTGAGACATAGAGGGTATGAAAATTAGATATTGTGGAAACCATCATGTCTCTTTGTGTGGGAACTGATGCTACTAATCATTGTTAGTATTACTTCCGGTTATTATTATATGGTATTTTTATTTAAATTTTATTTAATATATTCTTACAATTGATAAAATTTTAAAATATTTTATAATAATTGAGGGAACACAATAAATATAAAAATATATTTAAAATTTTATTTTCAATTAAAAGAATAAATTAAATAAATTTAGAACAAATCAAAATGTCTTATAATAAAACGGACACCGTAGGTGACACCCAATTCGAAGTGTTACAATTCTCAGTTTTTGCCCGGCCTCGTAATGATGATCCTAGCTAGTTTTTCGAATATGATCCTAGCTAGTTTGTGATATATATATATATATATATATATATATATTGAGCTTTTTCTACTCCTTATAATTGTAATAATTCGGAAAACGTTGAACTACACGTATCTATCCCCTTTTGGACGCACTTACTTGGAAGATGCCTTGTACTTGCTAACTTATATGCTTTACTTGGTTTGTCAATAAAATTTTGGCATTTTTCAGGGGTTTTGGCCTTTTGGGTGCTTATGGAATGAAGATTATAAAAATCATCTTGTCTCTTTCCATGCAAACCGATGCCATTTGAATCGGTAAATGATTCCATAGTTCCCTCTGGCTCTGGATACATGTTTACTAACAGCCATCAACCATGTTGGTTTCAATTGGGATAAGTTAAACAACGCAAAGTTGTATTCATCTGTCTCACATTAGACATTGTTAATCATATTAAGGAATATATAAGCATCATCTGCTATTCCCTTATTACCAATTATTTTTTTATATAAAACTAAATGTGACCTTGTATGAGATTTCAAGATAATAGCAGAACGGGCTTTCGATCTGCAAACTTATAAGAATATTTTAATCGGCATGGCGGTACATTAAAAAATCTGACTGTTCTAACGTATATTAACCTGAAAGTGAGACCTCAGGAGCAGTGATATATTTTTTTCTTTCTTTTTTCTTCCCCTTAATTCTTGAAGGCATATATTATTCCACGGGTGGATTATAAATTAATGTAGGTTTTTTTTTTTGAACATATGAAGTATCTGATTACTATCATAGAACCGCCCAGTTTTCCCTACATTCCCTGGGAACTAACAAGGGAACAGGCGGGTACGAGTTTCTTTGATCACGAGTTTTAGATGACTCAATCCTTTCAAATCCTCGTCGAATATTCTGGTCTTTCCCTGGAGGACAGCTCTCACTTCAGCTTGCGCTTTCTCCATGACTCCAGGGTTCCTTATCATTTCTGACATTGCCCACGTTATGGCTGTAGCCGAGGTTTCGGTTCCACCAGCAAACATATCCTGCAAAATGTTCAAAAAAAAAAGAAAACAAAAAGAGAATAAGAAACAGCGCTGCATAGTTACCGTTGAGAATCAGAAGCTTTACTGGATATGGATTGTTCAAGACAACAAGGGCTCTTCTTGAATTCTTGTTGATGCAGATTTCTCCTCTGTTTCTACTTCTTTGTAAGCAAAAGCAAAGCGCTTGAGATTAGATTGTGTATCATCCCCATCAATTATACTGCTTTCTAATGACATCAGGGGTTGATGAAATGAGCAGCAATCTCAATACCACTTTCTGAATTTGTGGATTGGAATTGGATTTTGGGAACTGATTTGGTTTCAGCGGGGTATCACTTTCATAAAGCCTAATGTTGTGAACCGAGTTCGTGTTTTGCGTGTACCAACTCTATATAATTTTGCACAGACCTATAATACAACCTCCTTTTAATTGTAAAAAATTCCTTTCTTCCCATATTGAAACCTTAATTTTTTACATCTCCAGGAAGACCCTCCACCTATTTAATCCAGTCCTTCCAGACTAATTAGCTCTCCAGCAACCGCTTCATCAAATCTTGGAGAACAGTCACCGCATTTTCGAAAAGGGGGCTTAAGAAATACAGATAAAATGGAATTAGATGGAAACCTTGAGACCCTGATTTACTAGTCGAATCCATAGATTGGTGTCACAAGCAAAGCTGAATTGCAGTCAATATCCTCTTCAAATCAGGTCACTTTCTGCTGAGAAACGACAAAGAATTTTCATCCATTCGTAAGTTGTAAGTGATGCTCCAAGAAAGAAGCTCTGTTGGTGGCATAAGAACATGCCGCGTTTATGAAGGAGAAGAAGAAGAAGAAGAAATTAATTTGGATCCAAAGATCGATCTTTAAACTCGGCATGTTCCAAGGGCTTTTTTCGGCATAGTTGCTGCCCTGACATCTGCAATGGCTAGGGAGAAGGCTCCCCTTCTAGATCACTCGTTGCACAGTGATGCCATTGCTTTATACTCATCCCGAAACCCCTTCTCAGGTTGTCCAATCACATGTTATAACCATAAATTGTCGCCGTGCTCATGAAGGCCTGCTGCAAGTTGTTCTTAATTGGTGGAAGAGAGGGAAAAAAAAAATCATCTAGACCAGAGTGAAGGTGGTTGCAAATTTGCAAGAATAATTTGCATATATCTTAGAATATGATACTTTATACAGTACATAAAATTAACTAGAGACTTTCTATCTTCTATGTAGATTGCAAAGAAAAAGTTTGCATATCATAGTTTCTTTATGAAATCATGATTATTCTGAAAAAAAAAAAAAAAGAGAGAGAGAGAGTTGCTTTCACAAACAATGTAAAAGCATCCGTTCCTACTCAAAAGGAACCCGAATGGTTGGAGCCAAACACAAGGCATTCTTCCTACGAAGAACGGCACCAAGGCACTCCATCATGTTTAGTGATTCTGTCTGTTTCCCGCCAGGGATTTTCCAGTCGAAATGATACAGTAATTGAGCCAGAGCAAGTTCCATAACTGGCGTGGCAAATGAAATCCCAGGGCATATCCTTCTTCCTGCCCCGAACGGAATATACTCGAAATAGGGTCCAATTACATCAATTCCCTTGTTCACGAATCTCTCAGGTTTGAATGTTTCGGCATCCTTCCAAAACTCCGGATCCCTGTTGATTGCCCAGGCATTCACAATGACTTTGGTTCCAATTGGGATTTCATAGCCTTCAATTTCACAGTGTTCCCTACATTCCCTGGGAACTAACAAGGGAACAGGCGGGTACAACCTTAGAGTTTCTTGGATCACTAGTTTTAGGTAACTCAATCCTTTCAAATCCTCGTCGAATATTCTGGTCTTTCCCTGGAGGACAGCTCTCACTTCAGCTTGTGCTTTCTCCATGACTCTAGGGTTCCTTATCATTTCTGACATTGCCCACGTTATGGCTGTAGCCGAGGTTTCGGTTCCACCAGCAAACATATCCTGCAAAATGTTCAAAAAAAAAAAAAAAAGAGAATAAGAAACAGCGCTGCATAATTACCATTAAGAATCAGAAGCTTTAATTTGACTTAGTTTTTCTATCCAGAATTGAATGAGTTTGTACAGTAGCACTTACAACAATAATTGCTTTGATGCTGTCCGTTGAAACAGAAAAATCAAGACTGCCTTCTTCATCGATCTTCAATAGAACATCAACGATATCTTCTTCCCTGGATGTTTTAGCAGCTGAAGGGTTGTTAGAATTACCTGAAGCTGATATTTTCTTCTCCCTGTGCTCCCTGATAATTTCATCAAGTATTTGGTCCAGATTTTTGAACACCTTCTTGAGTTGGAAACTTTTCCCGCTAATGACCTGAATGGATTTTTTGGATGGAAACAAATCAGCTACATCAAAACCACTAGCCATCTCTGTCATCCGATTTCCCAACCTGATTAATTCTTCCTGGCGTTTTTTGGGTCCAATTCCAAATGCTGCTCTGCTCGTGATAGCATTTGCTAATGTAAAAACCTTTTCAGTTAGGTTGACTGACGACGACCTTGATGATGTCTGGATCGAACTGATCATATTCCAGGTTTCATCTTCCCGAATGGATGAAAAACGGCGGACATTTTTTACGCTAAGGAGCTCCATGACGCAGATTTTTCGGACCTGTCTCCAGTAATCACCATAAGGGGCAAATGCAACATCTCTGTAATTATAGGATACGATCTCTACAGCTGCAAGCCTTGGCCGGCTTGCCAAAGCAATGTCATGAGTCTTCAGTACATGTTTCGCCATTTGAGGTCCAGAGACGACAACTGCTGATATTTCACCCAGTTGAAGATGCATGATTTGGCCATATTTCCGGGACAAGTCTCTCAGGGCTCGATGTGGAAGTGAACCTGCCAGTGCCAAATGGTGTAAGCTTCCAATAATGGGCAGCTTCCACGGTCCTGGAGGTAATTTAGAACCTGATTCATCCTTGGATTTGCTTACACACAGTTTGTAACTAATGAATTTCAGAGAAAGGAAAAAGAGAATGGAAAAGATGAAGATTGGTGAAAATGTGAGCTCCATAAAGTGATAAAACTAAAAAGGGAAGCAATCACTTTGTAGTGCTACTTTTTGAAGTTACTTTACCAAAATTGTACCAATTATTCGTTTGAAGATAAGATAAGAATCAGGACATGAATGGGATAATGTCCTTTTGGACTGGTGTTGTTGAAAGATGGCTTTTGTCCCAAAGCTGATTTAGATGCTTTTGCTGGGTTAATCAAATCCCATTTTTTGACATTCTGGAGTGGACACGCTATTGAATTAATCATGCCTTTATCCTTTGCAGATTTAGATGGTGCAATTGCACCAGATATTGACCTGATAACTTTGCTTTTTGGCCCAAGTTCAGCTCAATCTCCACATAACGATAATTTTGGATGGTCAGCTTAGCCAGTTAGCCTAGAGCCAAAACAGTGGATGGAAGGAATGAAATCAATCAATATGCAATGACGAAGGGTCGTAAGAATCTGTAACTAAACACGGAAGAAGGGAAAGAAATCATTGCAAAAAATTCTTGGAAATCTTCATTTATAACTGAAGAAGTGGAGTCAGAATAATTAAGAAGTATGCCTGAAAATCTGCAGCTTGAAATGAGTAACTCAAAAATCAGGTGTAAGCAAGACAGCAACGGCTGCACAAATCATAGAGACCGGTTAGTTATGTATTCCTTTTGGAAAACCCCACCGGAAACATACCACACAAAAATGGAGTTTGTCTGAAGTATCTTGTCAAGTGAAAATTCTTGTATTGTAAAACAATAACGAAATTACTCATGGCTTAAAAAAAACCTCGAAATGTTGTTTTATGACTGTTTTGTTTAAGTTTGAATTGTGCGATAAACCCGAATTCTCTCTCCAAAATCATCGACAAACAAGCTGTTAACTAGTCTTCATCCAAAACATATTCACAAAAGTGACAAATTTTTCATATCATAAATAGTTCGAGAGTCGAAGGTACCAGAAGCAAGTTGCCAAATGATCTTCGAACTGCAACCGAAAGCAGCTGTTGATCTACAGAAAAGACCAACTTCTCAGCTAATTGGTTACGTATAAAATTGATAAGCAGAGCCAAGAGCTTGTAATTGATAAACAGGATGTCGTCCTATTTCAGGATTACATGTTCAAGATTTTGTTCACATCTTTCTTTTAAAACCAAATCAGAAACTATTCAAGCATTAATTGTTGTACACAGCAACCTCATTATTCTGATAACACTCTAATGAAATGAGTCGGCATTACAGGAGGCACTCATTGCCTACTCAAATGGAAACTCCAGGGTTGCATCCAAACACAAGCTGTTTGTCCTAACAAGATTGACACCTAACCTTTCACTCATATCTAACTCGGGTTCTGAATCATCCGGGATTTTCCAGTTAAAATGGTAAAGAAGTTGAGCGAGAGCAAGTTCCATGGTTGCTGCAGCATATGAAATTCCAGGACACATCCTTCTTCCTGCCCCAAATGGAATATATTCGAAATTGGGACCAATTCTGTCAATTCCATTGCTCATGAATCTCTCTGGTTCAAAACTTTCAGCATCCTTCCAAAACTCTGGATCCCTGTTAATTGCCCAGGCATTCACAATGACCCTGGTTCCTTTCGGGATATCGTACCCTTCAATTTCACATTTTTCTCTGCACTCTCTTGGGAGTAACAAGGGAATTGGTGGGTATAGCCTTAGAGTTTCTTTGATCACTAGTTTCAAGTAACTCAGTTCATTCAAATCTTTGTCGCGTATTCGACTCTTTCCCTGCAGGACACCTCTCACTTCTGCTTGTGCTTTCTCCATGACTCTTGGATTTCTTATCATTTCTGACATTGCCCATGAAATGGTTGTTGCAGAAGTTTCAGTTCCAGCGATGAACATGTCCTGCCATATGAAAAGAGAAAAAACAATTATAGATAAATGAAGCTTTCAGTCCACAGTTAGACTGATTGGAATCGATTGAGTTTTCACTTACAACAATGATAGCTTTTACTCCATCGGTTGAAATTGGAAAGTTGAGATCGCCTCTTTCATTGACCTTCAACAAAACATCAACTATATCGTCATCGTCCCTGGATGATTGAGCTCCTCCTGGAGTGTCGCTAGAACTAATTCCTGGATAATTTGACATCTTCTCTCTATGCTCCTGGATAATTTCATCTAATATTTGGTCCATTGATGAGAACAATTTCTTGAGTTTGAAAGATATCCCGCTGATGAGTTTGACGAGTTTTTTGGAAGGAAACAAATCAGCAACATCAAGACCACTAGCTATTTCCATGATTCGATTTGACAGCCTTATTAGTTCATCTTGGCGCTGTTTGGATCCGATTCCAAATGTGGCTCTACTAGTTATAGCATTTGTCAATACAAAGAGTTTGTCAGTTAGGTTCACTGATGACCCGGAGGATGCCTGGATCGAACGGATCATTTTCCATGTCTCGTCTTCCCGGATGGGGGAGAACCCGCGAACATTTTTGACACTAAGGAGTTCCAAAACACAAATTTTACGCATCTGTCTCCAGTAATCACCGTAAGGCGCGAATCCAACATCTCTGTAATCATAAGTGATTATATCTGCAGCTGCAATTTTCGGCCGGCTTGCCAAAGCGATGTCGTGAGTCTTCAGTACCTCTTTCGCCATTTGAGGTCCTGAAACAACAACTGCAGATATTTCACCGAGTTGAAGATGCATGATTTGGCCATATTTCCTGGACAAGTCTCTCAGGGCTCGATGTGGAAGTGAACCCGCCAGAGCCAAATGGTGTAAACTTCCAATAATGGGCAATTTCCACGGACCTGGAGGCAATTTAGGATCTGATTCATCCCTGGATTTGCTTAATTTGTTTTGTATGAATTTGAGAGAAATGAAAAGGAGGCTAAAAATGATGAAAATCAATGAAAATATCAGCTCCATAGTTGTAAGGATACAGAGGAAACTTATCAGCAACGGTACATATGGTAAGCTATGTACGCCTTCTAAAAATAACTGCATGTGGACTGATATTTTTGGACAGATGTTATTATTGAAAGATGCCCTTATACTTACAGATTACATGATTTGGTTGCTTTCGAATCTCATGGGCTCCTGTGATTGATTAATCAATAATCATGCCCTGCCATTTTCGTTTAGTCTTTCCATAAAAAGTAAAGATTGCTCACACATTTTAAAATCCTGCCATACCATTTTCGTTGTTGTTTCCAAATCTCATGGGCTCCTGTAACAAAAAAAAAAAAAAAATTCACAAAAAAAATAGACCATTTGCTTGTTTTGTCCGTATCATCCTTGCACGGGGACCTTGTTAATCTTCTTCGGAAACTTCCAATTTTATCTGATGTCCCTGAAGTGACAATATCCCGCACTAACTATAAACACGGATGTGGGAAGGAAACAGAGAACACCTTATGGAATATGCCCAATATGGGGTGGGAGGGTTGAGTGTGGTTAGTGGATTAAGATGGGGGTGGTTATTACCAGCAGGTCAAGAGTTCGATTCTTACTGGGCCATTCAATTTATATAAAAAAAAAAAGAATATGCTCAATATGAAAACAGGGGGAAAAAAGAAGAAGAAAAAAAACTAGGAATATCCAAGCAATCAGACAATTGTGTTTCACCTTGAATACAACAGTTACATAAATCCTTCCTTCATTTGACAGATGCATCACAAGTATCATAGATCATCCGAAAAAAAGGAATTGATTAGGAGAGGACAAGCACTTAACGGCGTGCAAGACACAAATAAAATGGGACAACACTAAGTTTAATATTGACCCGAGATTTCAGAATTTTGGCTTCTACTTCACTGGAAAGACCATGAGTACAAAAATCTGAAAACCGAAGATCTTGCGCGGTTAAAATCCCAGTACTTAAGAGATGTGATATACAGATACAATGATCTAACATACTAAAAATTTATATATTTAGTTGTTTTACTTTTTTGTAGTCCACAGGAATTTTTAGACTAGTGGGTTTTCTTCGGGAGGAAAGATCTGGAAAGTTAAAGATATCGCTTTATTGGGCTGAAATGCCAAGACTGCATAGCTGCTGGCCTGCAGCCTTGCAGGGTTGCTTAGAATATGATACTTTATATAAGTATATGTTGAGGGTCATGTGCTAAGAATTATGAATCCCATATCGGAGGCATAATGACATGTGAATCAGTTAATAAGTAAGGTGGACTCAGAACCTATTAACTTGAGCTTTTGAGTTCAGATGGGTCTTATCTTATTTATTGGGCTCCATGTCGAGTTTTCTCCTCCAAATAAATTCCCAACAGTGGTATCAGAGCTCAGGTTGGGCCAGTTGGGTGGGTGATTTAGTCCAAATTATTTCGATTGATCTGATTGAACCCAGGTAGTCAAAGGTCCACTACAAGCGGAAACGTAGGGATGGGCAACTCAATTACTCAGGTGGAATACAGATTTGGGCTTGTTAAGATAATTTGGAAACCCGATGTGGAGATTGTCCATGACGGTAGAGAATGTTGAGAGTCATGTGGCAAGAATTATGAATATCACATTAGAGTCATAATGACATGTGAATCAGTTAATAAGTAAGGTGGACTCATAACCCATTAGCTTGAGTTTTTGAGTTTAGATGGGTCTTATCTTACTTATTGGATTCCATGTCGGATTTTCTCCTCCAGATAAACTTATCTTACTTATTGGGCTTCATATCGGGTTTTCTCCTCCAGATAAATCCCCAACGGTAGAAATTAGCTACAGATTTTTTCACCTTCTATGTATATTACAAAGAAAAAAGTTGCATATCATAGTTTCTTTAAGAAATGATGATTAAAAAACACAGAAAAAAAAAAGAGTTGGTTTCACAGAAATATACTCCATTCGTTCTATAATTATTGTCCAGTTTAGATTTTCATTTTTAATACAAATTGTATTAAAAGTGAAATCTCAAAGTGGATAATAACTTTGGGAAAGAAGGAGTACAAGCATCAGTGTCTACTCAAAAGGAACCCGAATGATTGGAGCCAAACACAAGGCATTCTTCCTACAAAGATTGGAACCAAGGCACTCAGTTATGTCTAACGATTCTGGCTGTTTCCCATCTGGGATTTTCCAGTCGAAATGGTACAGTAATTGAGCCAGAGCAAGTTCCACAACTGGCGTGGCAAATGAAATTCCAGGGCATACCCTTCTTCCTGCCCCGAATGGAATATACTCGAAATTGGGTCCAATTACATCAATTCCATTGCTCAAGAATCTCTCAGGTTCAAATGTTTCGGCATCCTTCCAAAACTCTGGATCCCTGTTGATTGCCCAGGCATTCACGATGACTTTGGTTCCAATTGGGATTTCATAGCCTTCAATTTCACAGTTTTCCCTACATTCCCTGGGAAGTAACAAGGGAACAGGCGGGTACAGCCTCAGAATTTCTTTCATCACGAGTTTTAGGTAACTCAATCCTTTCAAATCCTCATCGAATATTCTTGTTTTTCCCTGGAGGACACTTCTCACTTCAGCTTGGGCTTTCGCCATGACTCTAGGGTTCCTTATTATTTCTGACATTGCCCATGTTATGGTGTTCGCCGAAGTTTCAGTTCCACCGATGAACATGTCCTGCAAAATGTTCTTTTTTTATTAGGGGGAAAAAAAAAACACGCTGCATAATGAACCGTTAAGAATGAGTTTGCACAGTAGCACTTACAACAATAATTGCTTTTATGCTTTCTGTTGAAATGGAAACCTCAAGACTGCCTTCTTCATTGATCTTCAATAGAACATCAACTATATCTTCTTCCTTGGATGTTGTAGCAGCTGAAGGTTTTTTAGAATTACCTAAAGCTGACATCCTCTTCTCTCTATGCTCCTTGATAATTTCATCGAGTATTTGGTCCAGGTTTTTGAACAGCTTCTTTAGTTTGAAACTTGTCCCGCTAATGACTCGAATGAATTTATTGGAAGGAAACAAATCAGCAAGATCGAAACCGCTAGCCATCTCTGTCATCCGATTTGACAACCTGATTAATTCATCTTGACGCTTCTTGGGTCCAATCCCAAAGGCTGCTCTGCTCGTAATAGCATTTGTCAATGCGAAAATTTTCTCAGTTAAGTTAACTGATGACTCGGAGGATGCTGCCTGGATTGAACTGATCATTTTCCATGTCTCGTCTTCCCGGATGGAGGCGAACCCGTGAACATTTTTGACACTCAGGAGCTCCATCACGCAGATTTTCCGCATCTGTCTCCAGTAATCACCGTAAGGAGCAAATGCAACACCCCGATAATTATAAGTGGTGACCTCTGCGGCTACAAGCTTTGGCCGGTTCGCAAAAGCGATGTCGTGAGTTTTCAGTACCTCTTTCGCCATTCCAGGTCCTGAGACGACAACTGCAGATATTTCACCCAGTTGAAGATGCATCATTTGGCCATATTTCCTAGATAAGTCTCTGAGGGCGCGATGTGGAAGCGAACCCGCCAGTGCCAAGTGGTGTACGCTTCCAATGACGGGCAGCTTCCATGGCCCTGGAGGCAATTTAGAGTCTGATCCATCCTTGGATTTGTTCCACTTTAGTTGTATTAGTTTCAGAGAGATGAAAAGGAGAATGGAAGTGATGAGAATTGATGGAAAAGTCAACTCCATAACACGGAGGAACACTCAAAACAGAGGTCAGAGGATATCAGAAACAGTAATTGGCGTTGTAAATTATGTAGGTGGAGTGGATTTGGCCGTATAAATATAATACTGATCAATCCATTTTTGGTCACCAATTTATTAATGTCAAAGAAGATCAAAAGTCTATATTGCTTGTAGAGTTTTAATTCAACAAGTAGTACGTAATTATAACAATAGATCCGTTCAAAGTTGAAAACAATCATTCAATTGAATGAGGAGTTGACTTTGATGCAAATGGATCCACAAACCTCTGATTTTTGTTTTTTGGTAAACGTAAACCTCTGATATAGTGATATCAACTGGAGGATGAGATGATGACGGGAAAGAGAAAAGAGAAATTAATAATAGAAAAACACATGAAAGTTTAAAAGTCAACCCAGAGAAGCAGAGGCAAGTTAACCCACATCATCTCCTGGGTTAATTTTGAAAGTTTTACTGATCCAAACAGAAATCGAAAGCAGCTGTTGACCTTGACACATGTAGAAAAGAACTAACTGAAGTCTATAACAACATTCGAAGCTAATTAGACTGAAGTTAATCTGTCTCTCAGCTAATTGGCAACCTATAATTGATGAACAGAGCCAAGAAATCAAACTTGAAAAAAGGGTCATCCGTCTCCCTGTAGAATGGCAGATTCCAAATTCTGTTTACCCTTTAGCTTTATCCGTCAAAAAACCAAATTCACAGTCTCCCAGTATTTTAGATGTTCAATGATCACATATACAATTGGGTCGACTGAAATATGTAACTTTCTCAACTTCAATATGTATTTTTCAGAAGATTCATCGTCGTTATTACATGAATATGGGCAGAGCTAATACAATTGTGCAGAACCAAAAAAACATCAAACACTTAAAATCCAAAATCAGGATCATCCCATTGCAACACCGCAGATCCCAAATTCTGCTCTCTTTTCAGCTTATCCTTCAAAAACCAATCACAAATCTTCCCAGCATTCAGTTCCTCTATACTACAACCTTCCTGTTCTGATATCACTCTTAGAAGATTTAGGGATGATATCTGTCCAATTCACAACACAAACAATAATATATATATGACTAAATTATCAGACATTCATCAAATAAAGCCCGGTTCAAAATTATTAAAGGGAAAGCATATATGTACAAGTACCGTTAATCTGCAGAGAAATCGCTCGTGGGTGCTAAGCCCAGATATTTCAACAAGACCGGCTTCTTCTAATGACAAGAAGCTGCGCTTTTCGGACTTTTTCTCGCCACCACCACCACTGTCAGAACTACTACTGGAACACGCTAAAACTGATAGCTTTTGTTGATTTAAGAGATAAGAACTAGGATGCCCTTTTCTTGAGCTGAGTTTTGGAAAATGGTAAAAATGGGTAGCAATTTTGGTTGAAGGAGTTGCATATGCCAATGCATTCATGATTTGAGGTGGGGTTAAAATGAATAATTATTACTTTTAGATTGTCGAACTCGAACAGAATTTGAGATGAGGGGTTCTTTTTGGTTATTGTGTGGTGGAAATGGAACCACAGATTGGATTGGGTTTGGATTATCCCCTGCTCCTGAGCTGACATGAAAATTTTTGTTGCTCCTTTTTCATCTTCGAAGTCGTTTAACTGATTAAAATTGTCTTAAAAATGTCTCTCCAAGAGGCCTATAAAAAAACCTTTTTGGAGCAAGGGCACTCACTTCGGACATCTACAACGGCCCAAATCCATTATTCATGCTCCCTCTATCCTTTTTTTTAAAAAAAAAAAAAAAAAACTCAAATTGAATTTTCAAATTAGTATTTTGTACAAAAGAAATGAGGACTCTGTTCCTTTGGACAGGGTGAGTATACATATATCCCAAGGTCAATTTCTCTTTTTTTCTGAGAGAGAGAGAATTTTATTTCAGGAAAGTAAGAAAAACCAACAAACAGATATATGCATAATGGATTTGGGCCATTGCAGTAAAGAAAAAAGTCATGGTGACTTGAAGGTTTATTAGTGAAACATAGATATTGCAAATGTTACCTCAATGTTCTTCTCTTCTTGTACGCTTCGAGTCATTTTCACAATGCTCCAGTAATGATTTCGAGTGGTACTTGGGAAAATTTCTCTGCTAATGCTTTTATTTAAATGTTCCAAGTTACACAATCTGAATTGTTTTAGTATCCTTAATTCTCGAAATGATAGTCCTGTTTGAATTTTTTAAAGAGAATAATGTATGGATTTTGTGACATTATTAAGTCGTATTTGATAAGCAAAACTTACTAAAACAGAAGTGCTATGAATATTAATAAGCAGGATTACAAAATCGATTATGTGAAGAAATAAATTAATTAGCATTCACAGTTAAAAAAAAAAAAAAGTAAATCAAGGAGTGCTAGCGAAATTACCACTCAAAACACTCATGAATCATGATGATCCAGGTCCTGAAACACAAAGAGAAGGTGGAATGGAGATAGGCCAAGCTGGAAGTACATGACAGAGAGCCGATGCATCCCTAAAACGCCAACGTGTCTCGATACTCTCGGTTTTGATATTTTGTATGATAATATCCTTTGCGGGTTCCACGATTTAAACAGGATAATATCAGGATCACATGGATGAATCGATGAATATATTGATTGATGACTTATGTTCAATCATTGATTCACGTTCAAGCTGCCATCGACAATCATTCTGGAGCTCCCAAATCCTCAAAGTCTTGTAATCATAAAATTCAAGATATCTGAGGCGGCCTCGAGAAACACCGAAATGGCAAGACCCCCAGCCTTCTGAACCTGTCATCAGGAATTGGAGACTTAATGATGTGACAAGTATTAGAACCACAACAAGGATCACAGGCCAAGATTCTTCCCTTGACGTCCATCCAATAAAGCGTGTTGTTCAGAATCACGGGTTTCTTACTAGAGATTTTAACCGGACGTTCACAATGTAGCCTTAATGTTGTCCATTCCCCTGTTTCTGAACAAAACACCTTGAACTCGATGGATTTGGAAAATTTAGGATAAATAGGTACCAACACTTGATAACTAATCAAAACTCTGTATTTCACTTGTGTGATAAATCCGGCATTGTGGCGCAAGGATCCCGGGGAAAAATCGCACCTTGGGAGTGGGAACCACTGATTTGTAACAGCATTACAGATATTCTAGTCAGCATAGTAGTAGGATTTAGTGTGGTGATTATTAATACCATACCTCTGCTTCTTGATCCTGGCACTCATTCTCAACAAAACAAATCCCCTGTCTGCTGCTTCGATCCATAATGTTCCGTCTGGTGATCTTTTTCCCAGACTTGGTAATATTAGCTGAGGGAATTTCTCGATTTCAACTTTGGGTTTGGGTTTGGGTTTGGTTTCGGAATTGATTGGGGCGAGCAGAGATTTACCATCTTATTCTTCTTGATCTGGTAATTGAACTCTTGAGGGGAAAAAGACTAAAGCTTGTGACGAGACTTGCCGCCGGGAAGAGGAGTACCAATCGGCAACAGATGGATCAGAGATTAAAGTGAGCCATTGTCTTGAGACACATTTAAACCTGAACACATCATTCACCGGAAGTTTGCATAACAATTCCGACAAAAACCACTCAGGTATGGAATTACGATTATCGATGATTGCGGCCTCCGTTGTTGATGGTGTCCTTGGTGGGTGTAATCTGGGCTTTTTGCTTGGTTTCTCATCGCCACAGCTCTCCCCGAGACTCATCTGCCCTGTTTTCATGATCAAATCTTTTTCTGATGGAGGAATTACCCTAGGATTAGGTGTCTGAACTGATCTGGAGAGAAATTACCCTAGCGACAGACATATATACATCTAACTTATGCGTAGACGTCGCCAAATCTTCAACTTTTGGATGAATTTAGGGTAAGCGTAAGTTTGAGTCTTGCATTGTTAGCGTATTGGAAAATTTTCTCGATTTTTTTTTCCTTCTCTTTCTTTTTTTTTTTCTTTTGTTTTCTTTATTTGTTTTTGTTTTTTGTAGAAAGGAACTACGAATAACACGTTAGCGTAATTAATATAGTTTTTGTCAAATTTTGTGACAAGAAAAGAATGAACTGAACAATTTTAATGTTCACATGTAGTTTTTTTTTTAAAAAATTATTATTATTACAATCACTTGTAGATTTTTTATCAGAGTAATAATTGTTGCAGGGAAAATTTACAAGGAAAACATATCGGGAATGAATGATAACTGTTCATAATTATATTATCTTACTTTTAGGGGCTTATGGGTTAGAGGATAGTTAAAATTCAGGTATAACAACGGTAACTTTTCCTTGAATGTATCAACACTCTTTTTATTATGCAGAACAAACATGGTGATCGCCTTGCAAATTAATTGATAATGACTAGAATTTACAATTTCAACTAGTAGATGATTAAGTGAAAAATCTATCTAACTATGCAAAAGTGATTATTATTTTATTATTATTATTTTTTTATATACACATGATTTACGAGAAAGGGATTGTGAATTTAGGATGGTTTTCTACCCTTATACTTGTTTAGTGCTTGGTTCAATGACTTAGATATGATAGATGTATGGTTTGATAACTTCTTAATTTCAATGATTCATGAGATTCAAACCCTTCCAATTAGTTGGGTATAGAAAAAGATATTATAAATTAGAATAAATCCCAATTTAGTGGGTCATCATCATTCCAAGCAGGTGAACCAAGCAACCAAAACTCCTATGAAATCCATACCCAAGATATGAAACCTTCAAAACAAGCACCCGTCTTTTCTATAAATGATGTGATGATGATATTCACAAAATGGTGATAATTGGCCAAAAATCAAATCAAAATAACCATAACAAAGCCAGAACTCTCGGGAAAAAAAAAAAACCTTATCACCTATCAATGTTCATTCATCATCCATCAACCCGAAAACATAAGAGAAGGTGGAATTGAGATAGGCCAAAGTGGAAGCACTTGGAAGAATCCCATCAGTGGATGAACTCCAGAAGGCCAACATTCATGGACATGAAGAAATTCCATCTCCTTGGTCTTTATGTTGGAGGATACCAAGCTATTGGATTCCCCGGCGTATAAAGAGAGTACATCAGGATCAGATGGTTGGAATGATGGAAGTAATGTGATACAATCATGATACCCCGGAGAAACAGGTAATGGGATATCTTCTTTAATCTTAATTGTATGCTTAAGCTGCCATTGATGGTTGTCTCCGATTTCCCATATCTTTAAAACCTTATCGTAACCGATAATAGCAAAGTTTTCGAAATAGTTAAGGCGTTCTTGATAGACACTGCAACCATAACAACACCAATACCCGATTTCATTCTGGTCGTCGTCGTAGGGATACTCAATAACGTGAAATTTGAGACGATCGGTGTAAGGATCATAGGCTACCACTCTTCTAGGTGATATCGTCCAATAAAGAGTGTTGTTCACTACAACGGAATTTCCCAGGGAACCAAAAAAATCATGTGCAAATTCGAAGGGCACAGTATACTCTGACCATTCCCCAAATTCTGAAGAAAAAACCTGGATCTCAAGGAAACTTTTATTCCGAGTTGGATGCGCAACCAATAAGACTTTATAACTAGTCAAAACTACTCCAGTTTCGACTCGTGTGATAAACCCTACAAAATTGATTGGAGCGATGATGAATTTATGGGCAGGAAGAGTGAACCACTGCTTTGTGACTGCATTACAGATAGAGTATCTGTAAGTAATTCCAATTCCAAGTTTATTCTCCCTGATTCTAGCCTGCAATAAAAGAAACCCTTTGTCTGCTGATACAATCTGTAATGTTTGGGCTGCTAATCCTTCTTTCATACCCGGAAAAACAAGCTTACGAACCGGTGGGAAGTTATTGGTTTCGGTTTGGGGGACCTCTTCTTCATTAATCAATTGAAGTATTGAGGGCAAATAGACAAAACTTGGCGATGATGAGACATGCTCAGAGATGTACAAATTGCGGAAACCAGAATCGGAGATGAAAGAAAGCCATTGTCTTGAGGTGCACTTAAGTCTAAACACATCCTTCATCGGAAGTCTGCGTAACAATTCATACAAGAACCACTCAGGTATGTAATTATTACCGTCTTCTTGACCGCCGCCGGTGTATTCAGTTTTGGACTTTCCAAGGCTTCTCTTTCCGCCACTTCTCTGTCCGTTTCCATTGTTCAACTCCCTTCGGGAGGAGTGGATCTACCGAATTTTCGTATTTCAGAGCTTTTGGGCTGAAGAGCTTTGTGATCTGATGTAGGCGACGGAATCGGATAATTAGCCAAAACCTTTAAACTCCGACTTGAATGGAATCTTGTAATCTGGTGAATTTGTCCCAAATTTTAGTGGATTTAGGTTTTTCTCTTCATCAGTATAAATATAAATATTTGGCTTCCTTCCCCGACTTTGTCTATAGACTTTAAAAAAAAAAGAAAAAAAAAAGAGAGAGAAGGGAATAATAAATCAAACAAATAACACATTGGACAATCATGAAAATTATGAAGCAAATTAAATAATCCAACGAAAAGAAACATTGGGGTGACTCTGTTTTCAGTTGAACATTAGAACAAAGGAAGAAATTGAGGCTCTATTTATTTCCTTTTTTTTATGATTTTTTTAGAATAATATAATAACAAATATCTCTCCAACATATATTTTTATATATTTTTACATTTTTAATACAGTTTTTTACATTTTCAAACACACCCTAATAAACAAAACAAAGAACATTAACTATAAATATATATACAGCCTTCGAAGCAAGTTCCTGGTTCTGGTAGTAGTAGTATACATGTACAGAGGAAAGCGTGTATAATTATCCTATCTATACATTTCATCCAACCGAAAAGAGGAAAAAAAAAAAACCCAAAAAAAAGAGAAGATTAAGGAAGTAGGAAGAACACGAAACCGGAAAAGTCCTCTTTCCCTTTCCTCTGCTTTTAATTGGGACCCCAACAGCTCAAAAACAAGATCGTCCGGAGGGATTCTTCAGCTTGTTTGAACTTGTAATCGCAAGTCGCCGCCGCCTTATCAAGGGCGCCACCCGCCGACGACGAGAACTTCCTCGCCTGATGCTGCTGCTTCTGCCTTGTCGACGACGATGACGTGGCGGCGGAGTCCTTCAAGGTCTTGGTTACCCCGTCTTTCATAAACTGCGCCGCTCTGTTTCCTGCCTGAAACACCACCCGACTCATGTACCTCAAACTCATCAACCGGTCAGGCAAAGATATTTTCTCTCAGAAAATTTTTTATCTTATTTTTTTCGATGAATATGAGAGAAATGCAATGTGGGCTTCTTTTATATAGTTTTTGAATAGTTTATTTAATTTGTGGAATTTGTCAGAATGTTTGATGGATTTATATGGGAAAACCGGTGTCCACCGGGGGAGGTTTCGCAGTGAAACAACCGGCTGTAGGGAGTGGCTGAAACCGGTGGCTACTTTATGTGGGTAAACATTTGGTTCTGTGGGTGCCTGACAACTGCCGGTTGCCTGTTGTTTTGTATTTATCCATTTGGTTCATTTTTGAAAGGGGAAAAACAAAGGGAAGGGGATTATGGACCTATTCTTTATCTGAACATTCTGACTCAATTGAATATTAGGAAGCAAAAAGGAATAATTTTAGTCAACCAGATATTATCTTCTGACTAATTAAAATCATTATTATCAGAAGCGAGAAAAGGAAGAGTAAAAGAGAGAATTTATTTATAAACCCAAGGGTTTGACAAAATTGCGGGATTATCCAGTAATCCCCGCTCGCTGAATGATCATAAATCAATGGCCTTCAGTTTGGTAGCATTGTGCAATTTTTAAGACATCCAATTTTGTGAATTATACATTTCATCAATGTCAGGTGTCAACAATTACGATATTATAAAACGTGTTTTGACCCACCGATCAAAAGTGAGAGCACGTCATTATAACCAATGTCACCAAGCCAGGGAATGGCTGCTGAAGCTTATCCCATGCCAAGGAAGCTTTTGGTACTGGGAGTGTTCTGGAAAGTTAGGATAAGTAATCATTTTGAGAATATCCCGACTTGACAATTTTTTTGAACAAATGGCAAAAGAATCTCTTTTAACATGTGTCCTGTTCTCGGATTCACACCTGTCTTTATTTGTATCTTTTTTGGTCTATCTAATTACTACTTAACTTTTCTAAAAAAATAAAAATACCGTTTATACTGTTAAATGACTGATTAAATTACGCTCTTCAAAAGAAAAAAAAATGATCAAAACACTGTTACAAATACATCGTTTTAGTGATGAACAGCTATAACATGAAGACCAAGTTATATGTGTGTGTGTGTTTTTTTTTTATATAAAAGGTGTCTTAGAAAAATAAATTTATTAATTAAATTATCAAAAATTGACGAAACAGACCAATAAAAACTTTCTGTTAATGACTCATGTGAATTTTGAAATTATATGCACATTTTAAAAAAATTACACATATTTTTAAATTCTATTTACTACTATATAAAAATCGATTGAAAGTCATTTTTAAATATGTAGTTTGACGTATTTATTTATGTTTACTAAGTAGAGTAGTAAAACAAACTTACTTGGAAAACATATTGAATTCCACTTTAATTTCGCACAAATATATTGCGCTTGGGATAACCATAAACTGAATCGGATTTAGATTCAGGATCCGAAAAGTATATATATACAGGTACTCCGTCTCCAGAAAAAACCTTTACCGCCGACCGTTCTAGGCCCTAAAATAGAGTTTCTCCTTCCCCAACTCAAGATTCCCTTTCAGAAAATCCGCTCCTCCCGATGGCGGTCGTTGATTCGTCGCCGGTTTTCACGTCGGCAGCACCTGCCAAACTTGAGCCCAGCGAAAAATCCTTGCAATACGAAGAAGGGGTTATCCAGAATCGGTACTTATTGAAACAATGGTGGAGCAATCTAATTGCATTATCCGATGCTCCGTTCGTGGAACGCCAAGGTATTTACGAGAATGCTCTAACCTACCTGCCGGGGAGCTATAAACTTTGGCACGCCTACCTCCGGGAACGCCTCGAAACGGTTCGGAACCTTCCGATTACTCACTCCAGGTACGAATCTCTGGATAAATCTTTCAAACAAGCCCTTTCTACAATGCATAAATATCCTCGAATTTGGATTCTGTACTTGGATTTTTTAATTGAGCGGAAATTCGTTACAGCCACTCGTAGGACTTTTGACCGAGCACTCTGTGCATTGCCGGTTACTCAGCACGAACAAATTTGGAGTCGTTATTTGAAGTTTGTTAACCAAAACGGCATTCCCATTGAGACTTCCCTTAGGGTCTATCGTAGGTACCTCCGATTTGACCCTAGTCATGTTGAAAACTTTATTGAATTTTTGAAGCATTCTGAGCGTTGGCAGGAGGCTGCTGAGAGGTTGGCTAGGCTTTTGAATGATGATCAATTTTTTTCCATCAAGGGAAAGACTAAACATCAGTTGTGGTTGGAGTTGTGTGATTTGTTGACTCAACACTCGGCTGAAGTTTCGGGGTTGAATGTGGATGCCATCATTAGAGGTGGGATTAGGAAGGTCAGAGATGAGGTTGGGAGGTTGTGGGCATCTTTGGCAGAATATTATGTGCGGAGGGGAATGTTCGAAAAGGCTAGAGATATTTTTGAGGAAGGGATGGCCAGCGTGGTGACTGTTAGGGATTTCAGTGTGATTTTTGATGCGTACTCACAGTTTGAGGAGACTGCAATTTCTACCATCTTGGAAGATACAAGTGAGAACGAAGATGTTGAGGGTGAGGCAAACAGAGACGAGGAAGAAGATCCATTCAATGTGGACAAGTTGATCGAGGATTGTAAGACATTTTGGTTAGGGGACGATGTCACTCTGAAAGATGTGGATTTGAGGTTGGAACGATTGGAAAACTTGCTGAAACGGAGGCCAAAATTGGCGAATAGTGTACAGCTCAGACAGAACCCGCACAATGTAGAGCAATGGCATAGAAGGGTTAAACTGTTCAATGGCAAACCCTGGAAACAAATACAGATTATCAAACATGCTATAAATACAATCGACCCCATGAAAGCTGTGGGAAAGCTGCATACTTTGTGGGTGGCCTTAGCGAAGCATTACGAAAGCCTAGGTAAAACTGATGATGCCAGGTTAACTTTTGACAAGGCTGTGCAGGTTAACTATAAGGCAATGGATGATTTGGCTAGTGTTTGGTGTGAATGGGTAGAGATGGAGGTCAGGCACAAAAATTTTAAGAAAGCATTGGACTTGATGAGTCGTGCTATTGCAAAGCCATCAGTGGAGGTCAAACGAAGAGTGGCAGCCGATGGCAATGAACCAGTGCAGATGAAGATTCACAAATCTTTAAGACTTTGGTCACTTTATGCTTACTTGGAGAAAAGCCTGGGAAATCTGGAATCCACTCTGTCAGTTTATGATAGTATATTGGATCTCAGGATAGCAACACCTGAAATCATTATAAATTATGCTGCACTTTTAGAGGACCATAAGAGGTTTGAGGATGCTTTCAGAGTGTATGAGAGGGGGGTGAATATTTTTAGATATCCGCATGCAAAGGATATCTGGGTAACTTACCTAACTAAATTTGTTGAAAGGTACAGGGGTTCAAAACTACACAGGGCACGGGATTTATTTGAGTGCGCTGTTAAAGTGGCTCCTGCAGAGGTTGTCAAGCCGCTATACATGCAATATGCCAAGTTTGAAGAAGACTTTGGCTTGGCCAAACGAGCGATGATGGTGTATGATCAAGCGGCAAAGGCCGTTCCTGCTGCAGAGAAATTAAGCATCTATGAAATTTACATCGCTCGTGCAGCTGAGATTTTTGGTGTTCCAAGAACAAGAGAAATATATGAACAGGCAATTGAGTCTGGTCTCCCAGACAAGGATGCGAAGATAATGTGCTTGAAGTATGCTGAACTTGAGAAAAGCTTGGGAGAAATTGATCGTGCCCGTGCTTTATACGAACACTCATCTCAGTTTGCGGACCCAAGATCTTTTCATGACTTCTGGTTGAAATGGCAAGAGTTTGAAGTGCAGCATGGTAATGAAGACAAATTTCGGGAAATGCTTCGTGTTAAAAGGAGTGTTTCTGCGAGATACAGCCAGATGCATCTTATTGATCCGGAGCACTTGATTGCGCAAAAGGATGTCCCAGGTGCTGTCTTTGGTGGTCTTGTGCGCAAACGAGAAGAGACTGATGTAGAAGAGGTTCTTGTGGGTGCCCTTGCAAGACTCAAAAGGAGTCGCGGTGATTGGTGAGGGTTGAACGTCCAGATACATTCCTGTCCTTTGGCTGTTAATTCTTCCTCATCTTCTTGGAATTATTCAGAGTAAGAGTACTTGGATGACAGTAGTTGTTTACTTGCTAATTTTGTGTATTCTGACTAATGTCTCTTACCACTATCCAAGTCGCAGCCTCTTGTGATTGTTGATTGCAAGTCATAATTGTTGGTTTAATTTGTCGGCTTTTCTGTAGTTTTGGTTATTAGCGTTTTACTTCTTTTTTAGCACAGGTGACAATACTTTCTCATATGGTCTTTTGTATTCTCCTTTGTTTGAATTTGATGTGCTTATAAACTAAGTATACAGCGATTGGGAGATTCTTCCTTTCAACCACCCAATTCAGGTTGAAAAATGGCTCAACCCACCAGAATGATTGAATTTAGAGTTCTACACGTCTCTGTTAATTGCAGTGTTCTCTTCTTTTTTTTTTCCTTTTCTTTTGTTCAATCAAAGTTTATTTTGCTGTTTTCTTGCATTACGTTTGCCATCAAAAGAGTTCGTGTAAGGAAATCATATTTCTGTGACTCAAATTGTACATTGGCGGTTGCAAAGGATGGCCCACTGAGTAAAATTTTTGTTAAACTTGCGTTTTATATAGGTTTATGCTCTTTTGTTCTCAAAGTTTAGCTAATCCTTTTTGGTATTGTGCTTATTTTTTGTTTCGCTAGATTCAGTTGTTGTAATAAGGGGACGTACGGGAATGGGCTTAATCATGGCCTCCTGGGGACAACTTATGATAGTTTTTGTTGAGCTACCTTATCTTCAATGCTAGAGCAGTAGAGCTCCATGGTAAGGGATACTGTGTACTCTTATTTGGGGGAAGGATGTATCACTGAGAAGGATTCTAGGCAACCTAATCGCGATTTGGTCCGTGATTAACTCATGAGTTCCTGAATTTGTTTCCTGAATCCGTTTGAGGCATGGGTTTAATTGTATTAACTTTCGCTCATTTTGTCATCATGTTTCGCTGTTTTGACTTCATAATGTCTTTGCTGCACCTGAGGACGTCAAACATTTTTAGTTTTTTTACAGAGTTCTAGCCCAGGAGGATCACATTAGTACATAGAGTTTCAGATTTTAGCTGATTGGGAATTCGTGTGCTTTCTTCATTTATATCTGTTGTCCTTTAATTTCCTCTTTCGAATTTTTCATTTTTTCGCGTTTGCGATTAGTAGATTACAAATTTCGTCCACCCGTCCCAATTTTTGATAAAATAGTGATACGTACAGAAAAAAAATGACAAAGAAAATTTACAAAGAATGATGTGTCAAACATTAAAACTAGACCTTAACCTTAAATACTTAAACTCTATATGGAAAATTTTTAAAATAGATGAGTGAAATTATTTCATTGTTATTTTTCCTTGTACTTTTTCCTTATACCTATCATTATTCTTTTTTATATGAATAGTGATACGTACAGGAAAAAAAAAATGACAAGGAACAAAAATAATTGTTGATGAAATAAACGTAATTTATACGATATGGCATCATTCATCTCTGTTTTCCTGGAGCTATCTGTGACGAAATTGGTAAATCCTCAAATAATGGTTCAAGTTCAACACTACGGAATTGAAATCTATTGAGGAAGAATTTGGAACTTTGGATTGCAGCACCCTAAGATCTAAACGCACAATGGCCTCAAGCTCAAAACAATATCAAGAGCCACGCCTTTAACTGAGAATGTTGCCTTCCAGCCAATAACATAAAAACCGTGTTTCAGTATACAGGGTTACAATCCACGCCTTCAAAAGTCCGGGCGGGTGTGAGAAGCAAAACCGTTTAAAAAAACGGCCCAATTCCAACTAACCAACCCAGCCGTACGGCGGAAAAGAGAGTTGTTGTACATTCATGGATCTCCTCCGTTACTCCGCCGCTGGCTTCCGTCCAGCTAAACCTCACCCTTCCTCCCGTACACCTCCACCACATCGAGGCTTCATCGCCGTAAGGTAGGGACTAGCGGCGAAATTTTCTAGAATTGTTCAGAGTAAGAATATCCATTTCTCATCTTTTCTTTTGGAATGACTTTACTACTAGTAATTTTTGCAGGTCGAGTTTGAGTCTGCCTTTTACTGAGCAGAAAGCGGCTTACTTTAAAGAGCTGGAAGCCGCCGTCGGTGTCGTGGAGAGAGCTTGCCGTCTTTGCGTCAATGTAAATTTTGCTATTATTCTCATTTAACTAACCATTCAAGTTTCACTTTGTGTTCCATTTGAGGCGTGTTGGAAAATTGTTGTTCATATTGTGTTTGATGATTTGTTTAGGTGCAAAAAACTTTGCTCTCTAGTGATGGGAGGATTCTTGAGAAAACCGACGATACTCCAGTCACCATTGCTGATTTTGGAGTCCAGGCCCTGGTTAGCTTAGGTAATGTGTTATGTGCGTCCTTAATTCCCATGGCATGGAATTTTCGCATTTGACTACAATCATTCTAACATTTGTTAATTATTATTGATTGACCTTGTATTCGCATGGACAATGTTTTTGGTTTCATCTTTGCCTTGCTCTCAAAGTGTGGCAAGTTCTATTCAAAATGGGATTGTTTATAATGCGAGATATGAAATTGAAATCAAATCAAAAGACATAGCCGATGCAAGGCCTTCAAAATTCTCTGTGGTCCTTCATTTATTAACTCATTGGCAAGTTGATGGTTGCCTCTCTCAGTAGTTCTTTATGCATTTTCACTCACTGCTTATTGATGATTGCTACATTCACATTCCATTTGTATAACAAAACTTGAGAACTGAGTGTCCTTGTTTGAGTCATTTTACCTCACTTATTAACTTGATATGTTCCAAGGAGTGAACCAAGATGAGCATCAACCAGTTGTATATAACAAATTTTTATGTAGAGAAGAGGAGATGCACTGGTTCAATTCTCCCACCCATTTTTCCTGATTATCTATTTCTTTATGCTGGCAGAAATGAGCAAATTATTTCCATCAATTCCGTTGGTGGCTGAAGAGGACTCCATGTTTTTGCGCTCAAATAATCTGGTTGATGCTGTTGTTAATGTGGTAAATGATAATTCCGGAGATAGTCTTACACAAGATGAGGTTCTAGAGGCAATTGACCGAGGGGGAAAAGATGCCTACTCTTTTGGACCTGAGCCAGCCACTTACTGGGTGAGTTAAATTGTTGGTCTTTGTTTGAAATGAAGGGTGTTTGAAGATTGAATAGAGAAGTTTGGCGACTTGCTCACCTGGATTTCAGAGTATTTAGTGTCTCTCTCTCAACCTTAATTGAAACCTTTAGTATATCAGATGGTCAGACAATTACGCCCAATGAAGAAGCTGCTCTTTATTGTACTGTAAACTGCAACAATCTTATTTAAGAAGTGTCCCCATACATCATGTTGATGCATAATGACTGTAAAACATAAATTTCAATTAAATTAAATTGCAGGCCACACTGATTGCAATTCCATTTATCTGGAGACATTTTGTGCTTTTTCTCACATGTTTAAGCATACGGGTGGACTTCCATGTTCCACCTAGTTTCTTTTTTGATAAATGATTGTAAAGGGGTTAAGTGTTTCCTTTTTATTTTCATATTCTTTTGGAAAGGGAATTAACTTTGGTTAGCTACTCATGTCTTCGATTGTATGTCTCTTGAACTTCATGCAGATATTGGATCCCATTGATGGTACTAGAGGGTTTGTAAAAGGTAGTGACGCACTTTACGTGGTATGATATTCTATTCTTATTGTCCTTCTACATAGGCATAGACTTTCAAATACAATTCTGGAGTTTCTGCAGAGTTAAATGTCAGATTATACATATACGACTTCATTGATTAGTCAAGTTGCTCTATGCTACTGTTGCTCCTGCTTTGCAGTTATTGTAACTTTTACTTACTAAGGCTTACATATCTGCAATCTCTGGATGCTTTGAAATTCAGTCCGTTCTCTCCTTTTACACCCAGCTGATTGTGTGGCTGGTATTTTCAGGTAGGCTTGGCTCTTGTGGTTAATGGGCAGATTGTGTTGGGAGTTATGGGCTGCCCTAACTGGAGGGATAGTCTTCTTTCGAGGTCTAGTAATGACCCCATGCCTGGAGTTTTGATGATCTCTCATATAGGATGTGGAACATGGAGGAAGACACTTTGGCTCAATGATGCTGGTTTTTTATCTGATTATTGGAACAGATGCTTTGTTGATGATTGTGATCTAGTGCAGAGAGCACGCTTTTGCATTCCGGAGAGTCAGACATGGAAATCATTGCCACTATCAGCTTTATACAATGCCACATCTCAAGCTGAAAATATTGGGAATAAAGAAATTCTTCTTCTGCGTGCTTGCTGTGGAAGGTTTGACTTCATTTTCAGAAGATAGGAATTGCTTCTCTGGTCATTTACACTTAATTTAAACTTCTACATGTTCAGTTTTTTTGCAACCTTTCGAGTTCCTTAGTTTGTCATTTTACTGTGGAGCTAAGATAAATGACCAACTCTCTCTTGCATCTTTTCACTATTTTTTTCATGCATATATTTCTATTAAAGAGTATTGTGTCATGCATCTGTCTTCATATAAAGATACATCTACGATGTTGTTTGTATTTATGAATCGTAAGCATGGATTTAGAGATGCTTTGGTAATTTGGTTTTCTGCCTATTTTTTATTGTGAACTGTTGGCTTGGAAGTTTGTGCATGCATTAGCAAATCATAACACATATTTGCTTCTCTGATTTCATTTTCATATATGTGACTGAGGTCTTCTTTATCAGGTCAAATTCTGTCATGCAACCTATAACCTCTAAAAATCATTATCTAAACTCTTTGCAGCTGACTTGGGCTTTCTTCAGTCCTCTAATCAAAGAGGATTAGTGTTCAAGATCTTGAGAAAGATAAGATAGTTTTTACTTGATGAGATAGCAGTTATTTTATCAAGGACTTAACAACCTGTCTATATCTGTTGTTTGTGCAGTTTGTGCAAATATTTACTGGTGGCTTCAGGTGGGGCATCTGTTTTTTATCTCCACGTTAAGGCTGGAAAACTTATCAAGGTATTTCTACTATGTCCATCCATTACCAAGTGATTTGTAGCACTATTGATGTCATCTTATCCAAAAATGCAGGCATGGGATCATGCGGTAGGAATCATTTGTGTCAATGAGGCAGGGGGAAAGGTACATATTAGCACCTTACTTTCATTTCTATTTCCAAGTTTATAGTTCGTACTGTTGTAGCTCTTAGATGAGGCTCTGAACCCATTATCTGAGACAAAATGAAGTTGACGCAAAATGAGTATATATCTAGTAAGATGTAGTTTTATGTTTGGTTATGGCATTTGTTAAAATCAAGGAAAACTGCAAGTTTTTTTCAGAATATGGTATCATTTGAGATATGGCTAAAACATGACCAGAAAAAGGATCACATCCCTTATATGTACTAGGCACATGCGACCAGGGGTGGATCTTGTACGTACAAGTGCACCGAAATGTGCTAGCATTCTTGGGAGAAAAATAGGAAAATAATATCTGTTTGATTACTTTCTGCATAAACAAAAATTAGATCTTGTCAAATGCAGAACTCCATTGGTGTCCTAGATAAGTTTTTTTAACTTTAAAGGTAGACTAAAGCGAGGCTTCTTGATAGGTGAGTGACTGGAGAGGGAATCCACTTGATTTCTCGGAGGATAAAGTTGAAAGGAGACTCATATACCCCTCGGGCGGTGTGCTTGTGACAAACGACAGTTTACACGAGCCGATTTTAGGTATAATTTCGACAGATTCATTGCTCAACATATAGTATTGCCTTTACCACACCTTTTTCCCTTCTCCCCCCCTAAGCTCATGTCGGTAGGGTGCCCTTGTGTATAATTCTTCTGCGATTTGGCACTTATTTGTCACCGAGGCTTTGGTTGCCTCAATTTTTTATTTTTATTTTTTCAAATTCACCCTGATGTAAGAACAAATTATTAATATATAATGCATCATTGGCAAACACAATGTAGATATATGTATAGAAAATTTGACTTTGTATAAAAATCACAAAGAATTGAATCTTGTGTTCAAACAAAGAGAAAACTAGGTGATTTACTAGCAAATTGCAATAAATCTTTCTCGCAGCTCAGGCCCTTTGAAGATACAGATTAGGAATCATCGGCTTCACCTAAATAAATGTCTAGTTGTGTTCTGCGTTTTATGTTTTAAAATGTGTTTTGTTATTATTATTTTAAAATGTATGAATAATTAATTCGATCCTTTCTAGCTAGCCATCTCCGGCGACAGGTTGCCAAATCTGGTTTATGTGATTGGGTCCTCAGGAGTTTAGTGGGGATTTTGTCTCATTTTAAATTTTACTTTGTTGAAATTAAAATGAAAAAAAACTACTAAGTCATTAAATGAGGTCGAAGGAGTAGAACATGTCTATCTAGAATCTAAATTTGAAGATTTCAAAGATCGAACATGCACGTGTTTCGAATATTTTTTAACGAATCAAACCACCAAACAGGTCTCTATTTTTGTTTCTTAAAAAAAAAAAACAAAAAATTTAGAGAGGCAAAGTTTATTGTTATACAGTAGTTACATTTTGAAGAAGTGACGTCCCTAACATTATGATTGACCTAAGTTTTCACTCAGAACTGGTAAAACTAGATATTGGTATCCCATGCCACAGCCACTTGATTCCGATGCTGAATTTGAGTTTCAGAAAATGTCAATGAATATTGATATGTCAAATGAGAGCCAACCATAATTTGGAGGCACTGCCTATGCCCTATGGAGTACGGAAAAAGGTGTCTATTATTGGGTACTAGACAATTTATGATCTTCCATTTGTCCCTTCCGACCACAGAAGTGTCCATGCTTTTTAGTCATTTAATACTAATTTATGTGCCCTAAGCTATTTTTTGTTCAAAAACCTGTGGTTTAGCTTCAATCAGAACTGCGATATTCTACCTTAATATAGTTTCATCATCATTACATAAGCAATTTTCACCAAACCGTAGTTCTGTTAAATTAAGGTATAATTCTGTTCTCAACTTCTCAAAACCCTACTCCCACAATGACACGTCCTTGGAGCAGGTAAATACTTCTACCATGATTTCGTTGGATCACCCAAATTCCACAGATTCTGAATTTTAATCCTTTCTGAAGCAGCTCCCACACGTGTCACCATCCTTATTCTCATCATCAATTTGTTCATTTTTTCTTGGAATGATCTCGAATTTCAAGAAATCCCACATTGCCAGGTGTATACACTTTCGTCCTCCTTTTTCCCTTGATCAATGATCGTCATCATCGTATATCCAAAACAGTATTCGAAATTTCAATGTTTTTTTTAGCCAGACCCCATTAAACTAGTGCGTATTAGGTTAAAATGATTGTATTTGTTAATACATTGTTTCATTTGTTACCATAAAGTATGAATACGGGATGTCTTAAAATAGTAAGATCAAATCTGAAGATAGCTCCAGAGACGATTAAACTATACATGTGAAAATCTTACTTTTGTTAAGATTTGTATGGCTGCCATGCAGAGCTTTAGTATATTCAAGAGTTTGTTGGGAGTAATCCAACAGCTCGAAACAATAAAATACGACTAACATTTTAGGATAATATTTTTCTGCTACCTAATGTTATATTATGTGTACTGTGTAAACATACATCTCTAGTCAATTTTTAAGAAAAATTAGTTAAGCATTTTGCTAACCAAGTAAAGAAGAAGAAAGTAACGTACACTTACACTGGGAAAATACGTGACGATGAAGGAGGATTAATTAATGTAGTAAATTAATGTGTAAATTTGCAAAAGTGGCAAGATGGTTGAATAATTTATCATTTCTTTATTTGTGTGTGATTGATTTGTCCAGTTTGACTCCAAGCATGGAGACATTAACCCTAGGTTTACGGCCATATATCGATTCTTTGGTCATTTTAATAATGGGAATTTCACGTCTATACATGGAAAGTGTTGGAGCGAAATTTCTAAGATTCTTCAGCAGAATCAACAGAAGGACGTCGAAGAAGGGTATAGAAGCAAGCAAGGTCTTTTGGTCAAATTTGAACAGTTAAAAAACATAGTTAAAAATCACCGAGAGTGTATCCAAAAACACTTATAAAATAATATTTGACTCTAATACAAGTTACGAATAAGTCGTAGTGAAAGCAGAAAGTCGGGCGACTGCGTGAGAGAGTTTGGCACATTTGTTTTTCACGTTTCTAGAACTAGCTTCGCCCTGAATTTAAGTTTTCCACTCAAACAAAAGAGTTAATAAACGAGTATGATGGAGTTTGTGAAACTATATTTCAATGTGTGTTTTTTTTTTTGATGGTGTAAGGGAGTTAGCTAGGACCTAGCTAAGATGATAATCGATTTCTTGTTGTCACATTCATGATTTTGGAATCTAAAATAGAAATGGTAGATATCTAAGTTGGAAATGGAATTGGATTGGCATCTGGAATTGAAAATTGCAATTTCATATTTACCATAAATGCAGCTGTAACAAAACTCGGTTGTTCAGTTTGTAAATTTCGTTATGCATTTCGACTTAAGATGATTAAAAAAAGGAAACACAACAACAGTCTAAGAACGTTCCAGAAATTAGCAATAATCATCATCTTAAGGGGACATTTTTAATAATCTTGAAACGACTTAGAATCGCATCTCTCTCTACATAGTAATGGGCATTCATTGCCCAAATGGAAGTCTCTCTAAATGTCCCGTTCTGAAAAATAAATGCATTATCCATAACCTAATATAAGAAAACTCAAACAAAAAAAAATCTACTGTACAAGTATGATCTAATCTTGTTTAAAAGTTAAAACTTCTATTTATCAAAACTTGAACGTTTGATCCAAATTCAACCCACGAGTGGTAGATTTTAGAGATCTCAAGTACATCAGTACGTAGGTTTTTATAAAACCGATCGATAAGATAAATAACTTTAATATTGCAGGACCGTGCAAGCAAATTATAGCTAGTTATAAGTAGTACATACAATAGATTTAGATATTCATTACAAACTCGAACTCGGAAACTCTACACAACAAATAATGAAAAACGCAACTAATGTATCGTTAGTGATATTAATGAGAATTCTTAATCAGATAAATAATGTAGAGTAAGCTAGGTCTTAGAATTAATTTTGATGGCACCGTATCAAAGAATTGTCAACGTGTCCCATTGTTGATGGGGTAAAACCGTAAAGGAGTCGGGGTTTTTCATGGTGGTCCTAAACATTGAGGATCAAAGGGATGAGTATGGGGTATTGCTTAAAGACACGTATCAGGTGTTCTTGGTTTTAACCTACTTACTAAGCATTGTTATAAAATGATTGTCATAAAATCATCAAACTAAATGATTTTTATTTTAATCAATCTTCAATATATTAATAATTAATGTTGTACGGGTCAGATTGAGTTGTCAAACAGTTTGATTTATCATACATATCGATCTATCATCATCATCATCTTACAACCATTTTGACTTTCTGTTTACTGTTTGAGATAGATGACTATAATGTTTTAATTTGATAAAAGTTCGAAGTTTGTAAATAATAATTCATTATCTTAAACTAGCGGCCTTTAATTTTTTTTTTCTGGGTACGGAATTGGGATCTAGCTAAGTAGCTAGCTAGGATGCATTGATTTTATGCACATTGTTCATTAATCATGGGAAGTCTGTTCACACTTAATTTTGATGCTCATTTCTTTTCTATGTATAAAGTCAACATTAATCGACTGTTATTTAGCTTTAGTTTGATTTTCCTGAAAGCAAACGTTCAGGATTATAAGTAAAAGTTTCTATATAACTTCACGAGGGCCGGTTTGTTTATGATGATTTATCTCTTTCAATACAATTTATTAATATTGGAAGGGTTTCACCCAAATAATGATGTTCCATTCCCTGATCCCCCCCCCCCAAAAAAAAAAAAAGAAAAGAAAAGAAAATAGGTCAATTTTTACGAATATTTCTCATCACCTTATTATTTCATTTCAACATATTAACTTGCTTCAATGTACATATTTACATAGCTATGCCATTATTCTTGCCTCCAAACTTTTGTGATGTGAAACTTGTAATAATCCGTATTCAGACACAGATCTATGATTTCTTCTTCTTCTTCTTCTTCTTCTTCTAATAATTCTTTATTATTATTTTTTTTTGTTTGATTTCAAATGGATATGCTGGCTAATTCGTTGACATCCTTTTGCTTGCCTATAGTAGAAATAAAATAAACATACAAGTATATATTCCTTTCGTCCCAAAATTATTATTCAGTTTGAAATTCACTTTTAATATAATTGAAATTAAAAATAAAAATATAAATTGGATATCATTACATGATAGAGAGTATATATATATATATATATATATATATATATATATGTGAGAATGCTAAAAAATTACTTAGAGACGGAGCAACGGGACCAAGACAAAAGTCAGGATGCGAGACTTAGAGGCATTACTTGCTTGTTCTTCTCTCTGGACATCAATTTTTCCTGTTCTTAAATCTTCTATATTTATAATACATCCATCAAATATGTCGTTTTCGGTTAATTTATTTAGCTTTCATGTTTGACCAACAGCCGAAACATAACCTCATTTTTCCATCTATTAACGTAAGTGTAGCTTAAGATAAAAACCAGGCGGAAGAGAGACAGAGAGTGTTGAGTAAAATGAACCATTATCACCGCGAGATATGAGATTGATGGTTCGAACACAGTTTTATTATGGTATTAAATGTAACCAAAATTATGTTGAGGCTGGTGTTGGTGATTCAATTATTCTCCTTTATAGTTTGGTTATTAATTAGGATCCAATAGCGTCACGATGAGTTCTTTTTTATTTTTATATCTTTAAAACAACGTTTTGGATGCGCTCACCAGTCACTACATCCAAAATCTGAAGTATAGTACATTATTACTACTATTTTCAGCCAACCAAACTCAATTGTCATGGCCCTTGAAATAAATGCTAGCCTCAACACTTCAAATCTCCATCCCATCATTCATATTTCCATATGTTTCTAAAATATATCAAATCCATATTATTATAAAATATTTCAACAATTCATTCCATCCATTAAAATTACTAGGAAATACGTACTAATGTTATATATCGTTTTCATTTCATCGTCCCAACAAAATAGTCTCCTTCAGGATCAAAGAAGTGAAGATTTTGGGTGAAATTTTTTGCTCCCTAGATATGGCAATGCTTAAGGAAATGGTCATATGAGATAATTAATTAAGGTCTACCAATGCTTTCAAAAAGTCGGCTGAAAAATGAATTCAAAGGGTAATAGTCCATGCCAAAAACAAAAGAAGAGATTGAAAAGCCGTGGAATTGTAGCAAAAATCTTTTCAGTAGAAAGCTAAAAATCCCCAAAGACTAAGGCTAAAAAAAGGACATAGCAGAAATCAAATCAATTTGATGATGAACGTGAGGGGGGTTACGTGTCCTTTTGTATGGTAGATGACAACTAATATGAATCCATTCCAACCATGTTGTAGTATCTGTGTTCTAAGGAGTCGCACAGCCCTGCTTCTAGCGTTCTTTGGTCTGCGTTAATTTGGCTCAAGATTCAAATATACAGAGACTAGCTAGCTAGCTTGTCCGAAATTGATTTTCCCTTTTCCATAGGAAAATAGAATATTTCTTCTTCCGTCTTAATAATAACACAGCCATATTTGTTATGCAGTTTTAATTTGATAGATCGAATAATTTTAGAGTTGGACGGAGGTGCATGCATTCCCTTCTTTTAGTTTTGTAAATTTAAGATTTTCTAAAAAAAGAAAATCAAATTTAGACTTGAGTTCATTAATTCCATATCCCCATTAACACTTTCTACAAAAAAAAATTAAAATAAAAAACTATTTTGTGATAGCCTTAATCATTGAGTATACTGTCTCATTAACCAGGACTGGTAGATAATTTATTTAATGTTTGTCTTGTGTAACTCCAGTCTGCGTGCCTGCCCCCCTCCAAATATTAAAAGATATTTGCATATTTTTAGTAAACTTTTGGAAGAATTGATCATCAAGAAGCTTGTGGTCCATTTCTATTCATGGGTTTGTAATGATTTCGAGTTTTTTTTCCTTCTCTTTTTTATTACTACTCCCATGCATGATTCTTTCAAGAAACACACACACTCACACACTCATTACTCAAAAACTAGGGAAAAGGGGAAAAAAGAAAAAAGAGGTTTCATTTTCATTTTTTTGGAGAGTTTAATTTCACACTTTTTTCCAAAAAGAGGGGACACGTCGCGTTTGTGATAAACACAGGGCGGCACCGAATGCCTTTGACTTCTCCATTTAGGCCATTGGTTTGTCTCTATATATATACCACATCCCACTTGTTGTATTTTCAATTCATACGGACCTACAACTTTCTTCTTCTTCTTCTTCTCTTTTGCTCTCTCAAAAAACACCAACAATCATCATTTTTGTACTCTCCAAAACTTACCAAAAGAAACAAAACAAAAAGTGAACCAAACCAACCAAGTTGTGATTAAAAGAACCCAATTTAGTAGTACTATAATTTTGCTTTACTTTCTCACACACATAAGATTGGTTGATTTCCAAGAACATGGGAAGATCACCTTGTTGCGATAAAGATGGCCTGAAGAAAGGTCCCTGGACCCCAGAAGAGGATCAAAAGCTCATCGACTACATTCAGAAACATGGCTATGGCAATTGGAGAACCCTTCCTAAGAATGCTGGTAAGTGTTAACTCTTCTTTGTCTCCATTATTTATCTCTTTATTAATATGCTATTTTTATTGCATGGTCTTTTCAAGTATTGGTATCAATAACTAATGATAATATTCATCCGCTTGTGTTCAATAGGGTTGCAAAGGTGTGGCAAAAGTTGCCGACTTCGCTGGACAAATTATTTGAGGCCAGACATCAAAAGAGGAAGGTTTTCATTTGAAGAAGAAGAAACCATTATTCAACTCCATAGTATATTGGGCAACAAGTGAGTATTACTTTCTTTCTTTTCTTTTTTTTTTTTTTGTCAATTTTTAACAATTGATATATGACTTTTTTGGTTTGAATTAATCTAAACCATTTATTAATTTGGGTGAATTTATTATTATGGTGTAGATGGTCTGCAATTGCTGCCCGGTTGCCAGGAAGAACTGACAATGAAATCAAAAACTATTGGAACACACACATTAGGAAAAGACTTCTTCGGATGGGGATTGATCCCGTCACTCATAGCCCTCGTCTTGATCTTCTTGATCTTTCTTCCATTCTGAACTCATCTTTTTACCACAACTCTTCACATCATCAAATTAACCTCTCAAGGTTGTTGAACATGCAACAACCTCTTCAGTTGAACCCTGAACTCCTAAGGTTAGCAACTTCACTTTTCTCATCGTCATCTCAAAGAAACAAAAGCCACCACCAATTCCCCATGCAAAACCAAATGTACTGTGGTAATAACAATTTCAGTACAACAAACACGACAATTATTCCTGGTCATCAGAACGATCATCAGTTGCCTCCATTAGTCCACCCTAATACCCAACTTCATCAAGATATCATCCCTCCTCCCAATTGTGGTGATTTGAGTACAACAACTTGTACAACCACCGTTACACCTTCCATGGTACCATTTCCTAGTGATCAAGAAGCCGCCCAATTAATGCAACCAAATGTGGACCAATTCAATCTCTCCAACTTGATGACTTCATCATCACAACAAGGGTGTGAATTAATAAACGACTGGCCTTCTAATTTCGTGGATGATTTCATTCTACCGTTACAAAATTATGGATACTATGGCGGCGGTGCACCGGCCGAGTACAACCCGGTTTTCGACACGACAACCACTCCGTCGGATACAACGACGGCTACTTTTCAATCCGGCAACAACGACAACAATTTCAGCTTCCACTCGGTTTTGTCAACGCCGTCGTCGAGCCCGACTCCGATGAACAACAGTAGTAGTAGTACTACCACGACGGTTGAAGACGAAAAGGAAAGTTATTGCAGTAGTAACATGTTGATGAAGTTTGAAATCCCTGATCATCTTTTGGATGTTAATGAATTCATGTGATTTGATGATGATAATGAATTGTAATTAGGACCATAAGAGAATTTCAATGGGGTGACATTTTTTTTCCTTCTTAATGTCGCGTGTAAGTTCTTACTAGAATTAATTGATACTTTTGCATTATGACCAATTTTTACTTTGTTTTTTTCCCCTGTTATACCCAATAATTCTTTCACATGTTATTCAATTATTATGAACAATCTTACACATATTATTACATAACGCCTCCTTAGGGTAAGTGTCAAATTCAGGTCAAATCAAGAAGTATTACAAACACAAGTAAGCCTGAGCCATGCAAGCATAGATTTTCTTTGTTTCTTCCCTCAATCAATTAAGATATACATATATTGTTGAAAATAGTAAAACCCTTTTCTTGATGCAATAAAATAATTTGCATGTCCATGAAACTAAAGTATTGCACTAAAATATTGCAGGTGTCATCATCACTTCAAGAACGTTCTTTCCATAAATTATACGTACCATTTGTTTAAACGCATGGAAACCCATTACTCATTCAAAGATATGTTAATTAAATTGATGACGCAGTGCCAATTTAATATTTTTAGTTAGTATATTACTCATTTTTGCATGGATAGAAAACCTGAGTAACGCATGTGATGATGACTGGTCATGAAATAAAAAATGGAGGAAAAATATTTGGTCTCTTCTTAAGCGACTTCAATTTAAAAAAGAATTCTAAAAGAGCAACAATAATCAATAATGAGCTAAAATTGGAAAGATAAAATCTACTAGAAAGTGTTGCATGGATCCCAACAGTGAGTTTCCGGCGACAACGCCGACGATGGTGGCCGGAGAGTGGGAAAGTGGCTATTAATTACTATTAAAATATGTGCCACCTGTGCTATTTAACTGTCAATTCACGTAGTAAATAATTTAACATTTTCTTGCATGGCTGTGTCCTTGTTGTGGGGGCTTAAGGAGATGTTTGACTAAATATTCATTTACGTGTCGGCCTGTCATCGGCCGATCATGAGGATGGGACCACTCAGAAAAAATGTCGAAGTACCTTTAGAGATAGCGTTCGACCTGTGTTTATATTTTCTTTTCTTTTGATTTAGTAGTATAATAATAATTAAAATTTGTTTTAAAAAAAAAAATACTCCATTTGCCTTTTGGGTCGTTTTTTAGAGCAATTAATGAGGCCGTGTCAAACTATGCCTTCCGTCAGCGCCTTACACACGTGGAGATCAATCATTCACACTGTGGTCCCGGCTCCAGGGAAACTCGTTGACTTATCCAGTTTGCCAAACATTGCTGCGTTTTCGATGATAAATATAGTCGCCAGATTAATTCAAGTGCAGACGTACTTACATTATCAGTTATCACCAAAGGTAGAAGAAGTCTATAGCCTTTTTATCATCGTCCATCGATCATAAATGCATTTGAAAAGAATAGAGAAATAACAAAAGTTGTAATTAAGTCATGTATTTTTTTTATAAAAAAAAAAAAATTAGAAATGTCTTGGTACAATGATACAAGTGAATGATTAAACGTCCAATTACTACTACGTCATGACAATAGCAAGATGATACGCCACTTAAGAGTAGATCGAGCAAAAGATAGTTTCTCCTTCTTTGTAGTACATGTTTAGTTTTATGTTCTTACTTTGGCTGTATTTGTATATTAACTCTCATTTCATTTGGACATCTCATAATGGATGCAAGCGTTGGATCTCAAACAACGAGAGTTTCAATGTTTACCCTTCATTTGATATCTTTGTGAGCCACAATAAATAGATTGATTAAATTATTCCATGTAGTGTAAATTTTTCTTAAGTAGATTGCCCCATTTAGCCATCATTTAACAGTGAAAACGGAACGGAGAGTCTCTGTTCGATCCGCGTTGCATAATTTATGGACGAAAGAAATCAAAACATACTCCCTCCGTCTCAAAATTATTGTCTAGTTTGGAATTTCTCTTTTAGTACAATTTGAACTAAAAATGAAAATCCAAACTGAAAAGTAATTTTGGGACGGAGCGAGTATATCATTAGCAGTATTATAAATTTATTGATATTTTGACTTAGGAGCCCTCAATATTCGAAAATGTTACGCATTGTATTCTTGTCCACCTTACAAGTAAATTCAATCGCATAACTTTTGCCAGGGATTCATGGACTGGAGGCATAGTGTGATCATTTGATAATAACATCTACCCATTATTTTCCTTCCAACTCCATTGGATTTTTGTACATTAATACTATATCTTCTCATCTATATATGTTCAATTATTGAGCATTCCTATATTTAATATCAGTCCCTGTATCTGCATCAAAAAATGAATGTTTAATTTAAATTTTTATTAATAACATAAATTACATTTAAAAGTAAAAAAAATTTGAATTAAACAATTATTTTAATACAAAAGGAGTAAATATCCGATATGATCCTCAAAATTAAAAAGAAAATAGCTCTGATCACATAATAATTGCTTGATTTCCTTACTTCTCTGTTTTTCAGAGCATCCTCTATCATTTAGCTGATCTCTAAGGTTAATAATTGATAGAAGTACTTGGATCTCCTGATGTATCACGAAATTAGTCATTTGTACTTCCAAAGTTTGAAAATTCCAAATGGAAATCTATGATAAGTTCAGCTTATATGTGACTTGATAAGCCACTCGATCACATGAAAGTCGACAATAACTTAAAAGCAGTGAAGTTGATCGACACACACAAGAAAAGATGGATGCTGGTTCAAATGATTAGACATTTAGAGTAGAACATTTAATGACTGAAATTTCGCTCCAAATGGATTCTTTGAAATTCACAACATTCAGAATGAAATAGGATCACAATGATGAGTTATAAAAAATAAAAAGGAAAAAAGGAAAAAAAAAAAATCAAGATCATCTTGAAATATAAACTCTTTTTTGGTTTCGTCTCATTTTTTATTTTTATTTTTATTTTTTCAAAAAATTGGGCCACCAAGCTAGTAATTAATATGTGATATAGGTGTAATTATATGAACTAATTAATCAGAATAGCGCATATAAGCATGTGATAGAGAATAATAAAGCATCGAAACCAAAATGAAATATACGAGCTAAAACTTAAAACTTCAAATTTGCAAAAGTCAAATCATATTGTCTCCACAAGTTGAGTCACGTACGTAAGTACAATGTCATGCATGCGTCAAGTTACGCACAGCACAGCAACAAATACAACTTTCTTCTAGCTAGCTAGCAAAAGACATGATTATATGCATACGGTATATATACGCTGTCAATCAGTATCGCATTCATTTTACTTCTTTTCTTCTTCTTCTTTTTTTTTTTTAACTTAACTAGTAGCGATATGTTAATTCTTCGCAAAAAGACACATTTAACGTGATTTCATACCTATGTCCAAATAAAAAAAATATTCGAGTATTAATAGTTATGTACTATCGTAAATTATCTCATACTTTTTTCGTGAAATTTTTTATTTCGTCATTAACAGTCTATCACAATTTATCAGAAAACAAATATCAAGAACTTTATGATAAATATAGGATCGTCTCTTCGATATCATATCTATCTAGTAGTAGTATTAAAGAAATTAACGTGTAAAAAGATGCCAACGTATTGAATGTATAACGAGGGTTGATTTATTACGGCTAGATGGCGTAACCCTTTTGACCCATGAAACCGACCACGGGGATAAACGGGGCAAAAGGGCGCAATCCTAATTTTTGCAATAATAATACGTATACTCTCCTTTTCAGACAGGTCTCTCTCCCTTCGACCGTCCAAAGAAAAAGCGTAGGCATAATCCAGTGTTTTTATTGACTTGACTTTACTATACACAAAAGTTGGTTTCTGTCTTCTCTCTTCAATCTTTCATGCGTATGATTAATGGCTTGATTTTGGGTTCTCAATTATCGTCATTTCTTGGAGCTATTATTATTGATACTTGGACCTTCTTTTTGTTCCTTTTTCTTGGATGATTTTACACCACTAGTGGAATTATGTGTTCAGATTGGAGAAAAGTTTGTCCAAATCAAAAGACATTTGTAGCAAATGAGACATTGGTCATCGGCAAAAATTTTAACATCGATTAATGTTGATTGATTAGTAGTGTGTCAAGTTTTATTTTATTTTTTCTCGAACATCTAACAATGGGGTCCAACCTTTTTTTAAAAAAAAGAGAGAAAAAAAAAACAATGGGGGTCCAAGATGTTGAGTCCCTTTTTTTAAAAATCTTCAAAGAGTAGTACAAGAAGCGAAATACTGGAGCGATCAATGAGGGAAATAATAAGGATGAAAAAAATATTATACTACTATAAAGTATAGAGTTCAAATCTTGTAAATTGTCAGTTTTTTTTTATAAAAATAAAAATTTCGAAACTTTCTTTCAAAAGCGGTCCATTGTATAAATAGCTTTAGATGCAATTTCCTATTTTTCCTTTTTTGGGCTAGGCAATTAAAAGCAAAATCAATCAAAAAATAAACCGAAGTAACTAAAATGGACAAACATCATCGTCCTTGAACCCGTACGCCAATTAATTGCTGAAACAGAAGTGATGGTTCTTCTCAATTCAAAGCTAATAATAATGAAGCATGCTGGTGAATGTATGGTAAAATTCAAGAATTCGGTGATCATCTGAATCAACTTTATGCATTATGACACACGAGGGAGATTAAATATAAGAACGTATATTATACTATGCGGAAAAATGGCTTCTTGGTCTTCTTGCTTCCATTTATACTTTCCAGAATATGCTCATTATCATGCAGAAATTAAGGGCTTAATAATACAAGACTTGAATTCACCTTTCATGTGGAGACATCGTCAAAAACAAAATCACATTTTTCTTGCTTTTCAACCCTACATGCTCGTATAGTAGTCATCAATGCCTCCCAAAATCATGATGACCACCTTTTTCCGAATCTAACCAAAGATTTGCAGCAATGTTCTGTACATATAAATGCTTAATACGTGTATATGTTTCGTTCCACAAATGATGCAAAACCTTTGAAGAATCGAAGGAAGATCATGAGATAGATTATGTACGTATATAGCTAGGTTGAGGGTCTCACTGGATCACTCAAATTTTAATTCAAAAAGTGTATACTTGTCGTAGCCATTTATTTTATCGATTTGGTCCAAACTCACAAACTTGGCCACATTTGCAAAAGGGGTCAAGCTTGTCGGATTCTAGAAGTCGTTTTTCAGAATGATTACTAGCTTTTCACTTTCCGGCAGAAAATTAAGTGCAACTTTTAGTATAAAACATTCAACCGTTGTCATGTCCAAATTGTTCACGTTGTAGTTTGTACCTCCATGGAAAAAAAAAAATCTTGTGAGATTTTCCTTATCTTATTAATATCTAAGATGAATGAACCATGTTCCACGGTAACAATCACGAACATATGCAACGAAATTTATATTAATAAAAATCTTTCGTTACGTCACGGCCGAAATAATAATAAAGTGTAAAAAATTGGAAGAAAACCGACATGAAATTTGACTGTGATGGATTATGAGAAACATGGATGACATGAGAGTTTTACCGAGAGGATTATGTTCGTAATTCATTAGTTTACTCTCTCATGATTAGTGAAGCTGTCAATTACTTTGTGTCTAGCAGCTAGCTATCAATTCATAATGTTATTATCAAAGACATTTCTACTGATATAATTAATTAGCAGACAGTTAACTTTAAATTTATTCAGGTCCATTGTATGTTTATAAGGAAAGTACAATAGAGGGTCATATTTATCTCTTACTATCTTTTAATAATTAAGGTGGAAAACAGAAACGCATTTGAGCTACTTTCTACATTTTGCTGAAACTAAACTACTGGGTATAGTGAATTAGTGATGCAATAAACTTGAATACTCTCATCTCTGGCTGCTTAAGATTTTTGTTTAATATTGTACCGCGAAATTTTATTTTATTTTTTGTATAGTATAATCGCTGGCTCGTCAGCAACAACAACAACGGTCTCTATGATTCCGTCAAGATTGAAAATTTCGTCATATTTATCTTCTGATATATGAAGATGATAAGACAAATCTAATAAATCTTCATACTCTTCATTCGTTATAAATATCAAGAATATATATTCATATCTTTAACTGAAAAGGTCCTCCCACATTGTAAAAAAAATGCTTTCTTGTACGCTCTTGGCAGTTATCAAAATAATGAGAAACTGAATTTTGTTAACAAAAAGTTTTTTTTTTTTTTTTGTTAATAATGAGTTTTTTTTTTTTGGGGTATTCTACGATATCTGTTTGGACTTTGGATTTTATTATTTTTTCCCAGCTGATTTAGATCAGATACATTTTGTGATTAAACATAAGAAAATGAAATTAAGTTCTACGTGCCGCTTGCGAATGTAAACCTGGCAGTAAATTGGTTTGATTGTTGAACTTGAAAATCCTAAGAAATGGTGTTAAATTTTTAGCTAGATTTAGTATAATAAGCATATACAAGTTTTTGCTTTCTTTGTTCAAAAATAATTGTCAAGATTAGCTACTAATATAATTATCACAATCAATATTGGACAATTAGTTTGATGTAGAAGACTAGAAGGGGTACAAAAATGTTCAACATAAATGTTCATGTTTGCTCGAATAGGAGAAATTTTTTTTTGGTGTTTTATGTAATCGGCTGTGGGATCTATGGATAAGAAAAATCATCATCCACTGTGAGAAAATATTCAACCACACCATTACTTGTCGAAGAAGTTTGGCGACAAATGTTGCCACTATGTTCAAGGATTTTAAGTCTGCAAATAGACACCCTGAACATTAGTTACCTGTATTGCGTTCAAAACACTTGTTTCCTCCGGAGAATTTGCAAACTTGTATATTTTTTTATGGAATCGTTTCGAGGGTTAGGAATTGTGTTGTTACATGCATTTATATCCGTGATCAACATGATCATTTTGTAGTTGCCAAGAGACGTTGTATGCATGGGTCTCATTCTTTAGAACTTACGGAAATGATGGTTTTGAAAGATGCTATTTTACTGATGAAGGATCTTAATCTTAACAATGCTACTATTATGGGTGAGGCTTAGGTGAGAGTGAGACTGATTGTTCGTCTATTTATTTACCAGTATTGTTAGAGATTAAGCATTTATTGTTAGATCTCTCTTTCATGTGTATATATTGGATTCCGCGTCAAGAAAATGAAGTAGCTCATATTATAGATGCTTATGCGAAATCGCATGTAACAAATGATATAACTGAGCTGAATCCACCAAGTTATTTGTATCATTCATGGCTGGTTGAGTTTCAGCAAATTTAATATAATCTACTTCTTAAAAAAATAAGAGGTACAAAAATGATCATTAACAAAATAAGTAGGTTTCGTGAGTACAAATGTTCAAAACAAGTACAAGATTATCAATATAATTTTAAAGGCTTTCTCTAGGTGCGTTAGCTGCAGCCCATGAAAGGAAAAATGCACATATTTGATTTGGGCCGAGAATTACTCTTTAAGTGTAAAAGTGAGATCTTTGTACGGGCCTAAGGCCCAGAATCAGCCCCGTCACAAGCTGGCTGATGCCTGAATGTGCAGCACGTGTCCATCACAAATGTATAATCACACATGGAAAGCACGTGTCAATAGTAGGCAATGGTGCTCGACGTGTCCAACGCAGTATATCTTCTCTTTCCTACTACTAGTCTATTACTACTTGTTACTATTACCTGTATTTTATTTTTCACTTGAAAATTAGAAAGAAGAAAGAATAATAATTTGAAAAATCCAAAACGAAGCCTAAACTTAACAGATATTTAAACCTTTTGTTTCCCCTTTCTTCTTCCTAATTTGGGCAGCAAAAAAATGGCAAGGATTGAGGCACTGGTGGTCGGAAGAGTGATCGGAGATGTGCTTGATATGTTTGTACCGACTGCTGAATTGGTAGTGCGTTATGGGTCTAAACAAATTGGAACTGGCTGTGAGATTAAGCCTTCTTTAACTTCTGTCAAACCTACGGTTCGCATCACCGGTTCTCGTGACCGGTCCGCTCTCTTTACTCTCGTGAGTTTTTTTTTTGTTTTTTTTGTTTTTCCTTCTTCTTATTTGTTCGCTTTAATTAATTTTTTTTTTTTAAAAAAAAAATGAGTAGCCATTGCAAAGTGAAAACTCATATGATCTTAATCGAATTTTGATTTCTGCAGATAATGGTTGATCCAGATGCACCAAGTCCAAGTGAACCAACTTTAAGAGAATGGCTTCATTGGTATATATGATTAATAATTTGTCGATGCTCTTGTTTACTCCGTCTGTTTACATCAGAAAAGGGAAAAGGAAAAAAAAAAAAGGAAGGAAGAAAGAAAAATCAACATGCATGAAAGTTGAAACTTTTTACTTCTAGCTAGCAAAAAGGAGATGGAAAAAGAGAAGCTATTAACATCTCAAATTAATGGGAGTCAATTAAAAGTCTAGTAATAATTAAACTATTATCCATAACTTATTTGGCCGTGTTACTGTGTGCACCTGGAATACGTAATTTCATGCATTAATTTTTCAATCAAATATCTATTATTTAATTTTGAGACAAAAGAAAAAAGAAAAATACTACGTTATCTGTCTTAAAATTATTGTCCAGTTTGGATTTTCATTTTCAGTTCAAATTATACTAAAAATGAAATGTTTAATTGGACAATAATTTTGGAACGGAGGGTATGCCGTGCACTCTAGTTTTCTATTATTTCAAGCACCTAATATTCCTCGAGGAAATGCGATATATATTCACTGCGGACACAACTGGAAAACACAGGATAGAGCGCTCTGTGTACATGTATGGCTTCTTGGTTTTGTTCGAAGTGTTTTGACTCCTTTAATTTTTAGTACTAAACTACAAGCTACTTATTATCCGATCTGAGATATCTATACTCGTTTAATATATTAGTTTTTTGTTTCAGAATGATTATCTTAATTGATTTTTTTTTTAATGTTTGCTAGTACAATTTGTGTAAAATGAAAATTTAATGAAGTGGATAATCGTTTTCTAATTCACTAATCAATGTTAAATCATCAAACTTTGCCTGGATTTGTATCTTTGTGTTGCAGGATGGTTGTTAATATTCCAGAAGGAGGTGATGCAACTCAAGGTCAGTTTCCTTCATTTTGTACGTATCATCTTTTTTAATTTCCTCCATAAAACTTTGTTATCTAAGCCACTTTTTTTCCCCTGATGTGTTACAACTCAATTCATCTTTTTTCTAATCATAGATTGCGTGTTTAAGTTACTAGCTAGTACTCCAGTTTGAGATTTTACTTTTAGCACAATTTGAACTAAAAATAAAAATTTAAAGTAGACAATGACGGACGGGACGGAGCGAGTATCAAAATAAATTCAACGCCAATCAACCTTTTTGCATATGTTATGTATAGAAGTCTGTAAAGGTCCCATAATCTCAATCTCTAGCTAGGTAAAAATAGAAATCAGTATGATGTATGTGTGTGGGTGTAGGGAAAGAGTTGGTCGGATACATGCGACCTCAACCACCAACGGGGATCCATCGGTACGTGTTTGCGGTATTCGAGCAGGAAGGCGTGATTGAAAGGCCCAAAGATCTTCCCGGACCACGCCAAAATTTCAGTACACGCCGTTTCGTGAGAGAAAACAATCTCGGAGTTGCGGTTTCCGCAGTCTACTTCAATGCTCAGAAAGAACTGGCTGGAAATAAGAAGCGTTAGCTATAATGTACCAGCAGCTAGCGAGCTCGATCGGAGATTATCCGCAGTCTTCTTTCTTTGTGTGTGTATGAAAAATGAATATGTTTGTGATGTCTTTTTGCATGCCTAGCTTATTTTGTAGGTTTGTGAAATTGGATGTCTGCGGTTTTCCTTTTCTGGTTTGGTCGAATTGGTTGGGGAATGTAACTTTTGTTGTGGTGCATTACAGTGTGAAGTATTAAGTTTTTGTTTCTATTTTTTTCTTTTTGGGTATGACATTAACTAGAATTTCAAAAACAGATGTCATAGGCAAAGCCATCTGTACTTTTTAGAGGGGAATTGTCCTTTTTCTTTTGATTTTTTTTTTTCATAGCCTGAAGGTTTTACAACTATAAAATATACGAACTTCTTGAGATGAAATTAAAGGAAATGAAATGTTTATCAATTACTCTCTGGTCTTAATTACTCTCTAAGTAGTTTATATTGAATTTTGATATTTGTACTAAAAACAGTATAAATTTAAAAATTTAAAGTGAACAAAATTTTTTTTAGGATAGAGGGAATATAACGTATTTTAACTCGTCATAATTATATTTAATATATTATTTTAATTTAAAATAAAAAATCTTTGTATTTTCATATTTAGTATTTTCTTCTAATTATTATTATAAAATATTTTTAAAATTTTATTTTTAATTGAAAAAATATATTAAATAAAGTTTAAACAAATAAAAATAATTTATAATAAAGATCGAATGGGAGTATAATAAAAAAAATTAAAATATTTATAATAAGGACCAAAATGTTTTGCGGGCTGTCGGCAATACGTTGATTAATGCTCTTTGGTGGCGCCTTAAACATCCCTTTTCGGCAGGCTCCCCCGCTCTCTCCTGCAATAGTGCAATGTTATATTTGTTTGTTCTATCTTATGTTATCTCTCTTTCAAAAGAAAATTATATATTAAGTTTCTAAATTTTTATTAAAGATCATAATAATATTAAAATTTAATATGGATTATTTTTTAAATATAGATGGAGTAGAATTTTTCACAAGCTTTTGTTACTAATGTCAAATTCAATGCGGGCACTTTGTTAATTAATTAAGTTCCAACTGTTAAATATATTAGAGGTTTAAGTGTGACAGACTGATAGCATTAGTTTTGCTAACTGTTTAGCCTAGCTAATAAGCTTTAAGAAAACCTGTGATTTCGAAATGAGACGCAAGGGAGACACCATCCCATTTTTGAACCAAAGTACGTATTACAACGTGTGAGAAGACAATCTTATGCTATCAAAATCGCGTCGAAGGTGTGAGAAAGATCACCATCGACATATCAAACTATTTTGTGCATCGGTGCATGCATGTGTTATATTGTATGCTAACCACATTTTGTTACATCTTAATCCTATAATATAAGAAACGGAGCACGTTGTTTCTAAATTAGGTAGATGTATATATAGTAGCAATATTCGTGTTCAATAAATTTGTTTTTAATCAACTATTGCAAAACTAATTTCAAGTAATTGTAATAAAACTTGATTATCTGATCTCGGTATGTTTGTAGGTATATATTTTTTTTAATTAAAAATGTAAAAAAGTGTAATAAAAAATATAAGATAGTATAATAGGATGGGATAGTTATTACTAATAAAAAAGAAAGATGAAAAAAACATTAAAGGAAATTGAACCAAACAAAGCCTGGCAACTATATATTTTACTAATTGTTCTCATGAACCATAATGAAAATTAATACGACTATTGTGTTTTTAAGCAAATTGCAAATACGATGGAATCCAATAGTCACAAAACGAAAAATTCCGTTTTTTATGACCTATTTACATGATTTCCTGGATTTTTTTTAAAATTTTAATTCGTAAACCATGATGTTCTTCTGTCTAATTAATTGCCGCATTGACATTGTGGAGCCTTAATCAATGAGTTTTTTTTTTTTTTTTCCCTCGTAAAACAGTAGTTTGGTTGTTGGTTCATACCTGTTCTATCTAATGTCATGGGTGACATAACGTTACGGGAATCGAATGGTTGATTCTTTCACTTTCATAGTTTCATGTCGGTCACATACTCACAATGATACCTTTGAAGTTTAAATTGCAAAGAGATTTCATAAACTATACTTATTTGAGAATTATTAATGAATCCTCATCATAAAATATATTTTAACCCCCAGTTTATTTATTTAAGGGTCTAAATTTTCTTATTCTAAAACTTAGGGCTATCTGCGGTAACTTATCTGTGATGAATATCTAATACACAATAAGAATTCAAACAAGTATGTATGATATGGTATTTGGATTTCATGAATACGATAATCTAAAATAGTACTCTTTTTGTTTCAAAAAATAGTATATACGAGTTTTAAAGTTTATATTAAGTTTTCATACTCTTTTCATCCAAAAAAAAAAATAGTAATAAAAAATTGAAAACTACCAAAACTTGAGCGGGTGCATAAGCAATTTACATTAGTACTTTGATGTGACGGATCTCCAATTTTCTTGGTCAAGAAGGTAACACGATTCAACACAGCTAATAATATTTGCCTTTCTCCCCCAAAAAAAAAAAAAAAAAAATCCTTTTCGTGAAATTCAACTCTGAATTAGCCGACCGCGGGCTCAGTCGTCGGGTCGACCCTAACCCACCGCCCATAAAAACAGAAATATAGTCCAATTTTTTCGTTTTCTTTCTCGATAATTCTGAAATTTCCTTTTTAGCCCCTTTTCAATTTTTTCCCTCGTGGGCGTAGTTTCGCCGCCCAGCCCAAGCTTCTGCCTCCTCCTCTTCCTATTTTAACATACGCCACCATCGGCCTCTGTCCGAATCATCAAACCCTGTTCCCCTAAAAGAGGAAAAAAAAAAACCCAAAAAACTACGCTGATTAAGGTTGTAAACCTAGATAGATTGAAACAAAAAGGTACAAAATTTATGTTAGGATTTAATTTTGGGGATTATTTATTATCGAGTCGTGTAGTTCAATCGCGTGTTCGTCGGCAATTCGTTGAAAAATGCTCGTCGCCTTTCTTTCGCAACTGCGCCGTAGCTTCCTAGAATTCAGCTCACCTCGTTTGTTTTCTCCGGTTTCGACATGTCGAGGTTCTTTCCCTTTTTCCTCTTCTTGTATTTCATGCGATTCTATTTTTTATTTATTTATTTTTGTACCAATAACAAGCGCCTTATAAATTTGCATTTGCCCTGATTTGATTGGGATGTTTTTCGTTAGATTTTTGTGAAAGCAGCAAAATATTGTCTTTGAAGTTGAATTTACTAGTACAAACTACGCCCTTTTGGATGATTCTGTTGCTATTTTCTAAAATTTGCCCCTGCCGTATCTCTGCCTCCTTGAAGGGCTGATAGATTGCACTTTACTGCTTTGCTCCTGGGCAGCCTGTAATATGAGGCTGTAGTCCAGCATTAGTGATTTTTTGTTTGGCGGTACAAGTAGAACTGATCTTTTTGTTGGATTTTTTTTTTCTCTATTTGGCTATAAATCACTTGTGAAGTTCTTTTCCTTGGGATAGTTGTGAAGTCGGAAATTTCGGTTTTGGAGCAATGTTGACTGTCATGGAATGGTGTTTTGATTACTGTATTGTTTCCAAAACGATAAGACATTAAAATGTTGGGGAGGGAAAGAAAAAGGACTGGAGAGCTGGAATGGGTTTGTGGAGGATTTCTCTGTATTCTTTTTCTTTCCATTTGAGAGGGGGATTGGTTTATTGGTATGGTGTTTCTTTGGGATTGACTTTTGACTCTATTATGAGGTGGTTTTATCTATGGTCGACTTTTGGCTACATTATAAAGCATTGGCAGGTTGAATTTTAATTAACATTGGACTGATGTTCTTGTAATGCAATAAAATATTTTATGACTCTGGTTGATACATATATTGGATCCATCTCTTGTCTTACAAGGGCGATGCAAGTATCCACAAGACTACAATAATGGAACTTTCTTGATTTTGACAGTACTAATTCTCTTAACTAGCAAATGGTATTCTGATTTTCCTTTATGTTTATAATAGCATTATTTTTTTGCGTTATTTCCTCGCTGAGAACTTTGAATTAATAGATGTAGTCCTAAACATATGGCTAAAGTATCTCTCCAATCTTCTATTGGCAGAGATGATGGTAACATAGGATTTATAACCAACCTACAGGGTGATGTACTAGTAGTAATGTCTTTGTGATCTTTGACTGTTGTATGAATGTTTATAAGTATCTGGGTTCTTTGCCTTTGAGCATCATCAGTATTGGCACCTAAATTTCATGGCTGAATCAGTACTATAATTTAGTTTGGTTAAGCAGGTGAGCGTATAGGTTTTTGGCGATTCTAGAGATGGGATTTTTGCTTGAAAATCATAGACACTAAATAATCGGTTTTAAATGATGGTTCTGTGTACCTTATTCATTTTGTACTTGCCAGCGCACTTCAAGAGGTTTTGCTTGACATTGTTGTTGGTAATGCAGATTTTTGACCCTTGGAAAGAGGTTCGCGCAAGCTTTGCACCAGAATCAGATTAGCACCACCTATACGGGAAGGTTGAAGTATGGCCACAATCAGGCTAGCACCATATATTCTGGAGGCTTAAAGTATGGATGGGTTGGTGGAACTGGGTTGTATTCCCCAAACTCCGGACTATACTCACACTATGGGTTGCGCAGTAGTAGACTTCCTTTGTCCTCATTGTTTGGGGCCAGAAATCAGTTATATACTGGGGTGGAGAGATTTTCAGCAGCTTCAAAAGGTAAAATAGTGGCACAAGGTTACCAACATGCTTGGAAGCGTTTCTATAAGAGGTCTTCTTGCAGAACTCAAAGTAGTCTACCTACAAAGGGATTTGCTCAGGCAGTTGGCTTAAGCTTTGCCAGGTTTTATGGCAGTAGACCTGGTTCATTCAAGTTGTTGGGGGACAGAAATCGGTTTCATGGTAAAACATTTGTGCAGCAGGCTCAACTTGCTTGGAGAAGTTTTTACAGGAAATCTTCCAGCAATATGCGAACTAGTCTGCCTATAAGGAGACTTGCTCAGTCTATTAGCATAGGCTTGAGCCGCTCTTCTGTGATCATCCCTGGCTTGTTTGCAATTGCATGTGGAGGAAATGTAGCAGTGGCACAATCTCAAGCATATCCAGATGTAGATTTGATTCAGCAAAGGAAAGCAATCCACTTGGATGCCCGTGAGGGGCATGTTATGGTTGTTTCCTTCGTGATATCTGTATGGCAGGGGATCGTTTTGTTGCTCCGAGCGCTCCATCTAGCATTTCTTTTCTCACCTTGCATTGTGATGGCTCCATTTGCAGATTCTTTTGGACCTCAGTACAGGAAGATTTGGCTTCAGCTTGTCCATCAGACACTGGAAAGAGCAGGTCCCGCATTTATTAAATGGGGCCAGTGGGCTGCATCACGTCCTGATCTTTTTCCCAGGGATTTATGTGCTGAGCTCTCCAAACTTCACACAAAAGCACCTGAGCATAGCTTTGCCTACACAAAAAAGACAATTGAAAAGGCTTTTGGACGCAAGATAACTGAGATTTTTGAAGACTTTGAGGAGGCACCTGTAGCATCAGGAAGTATTGCTCAGGTGCACCGAGCTACTTTGAAATATCGATATCACGGTCGTCAGATGAAGCCTATGGTAGTCGCTGTAAAGGTTAGACACCCTGGTGTTGGTGAATCAATTAAAAGAGATTTTGAAATCATCAACATTGTTGCTAGGTTATCAAAGTTCATACCCACACTAAATTGGCTGAGATTGGATGAGAGTGTTCAACAATTTGCAGTTTTTATGATGTCCCAAGTTGATCTTGCAAGAGAAGCTGCCCACCTCAGCCGTTTCATTTATAATTTTCGCAGCTGGAAAAATGTCTCATTCCCAAAGCCAGTATACCCACTGGTGCATCCAGCTGTGCTAGTGGAAACTTTTGAGCAAGGAGAATGTGTGTCTCACTATGTTGATGAGCTTCAGGGTCATGAACGACTTAAAAGTACACTTGCTCATATTGGGACCCATGCATTATTGAAGATGCTTCTGGTAACAATTTCGATTATGAACCAGCTTGCATACTTTTATCTAAGTTTAATGATGGCTCTGTGCTCATCATTATGTGAAGTTACACATATTTTTATTCCATTAGTTCAGTTGCGTGTTTACCCCCATTGAATAGTGTTGTTCTCTTTTTCGATATTTCCCTCCTTGCATTCCAGGTGGACAACTTCATTCATGCTGATATGCATCCTGGGAACATCCTTGTTCGGGAGGGTCAGAGCAAGGCTTCTCGCAAACGACGACTTTTCAAGTCTAAGCCTCATGTCATTTTCCTTGATGTAGGAATGACAGCTGAGCTTTCTAAAAGTGATCGTAGTAACTTAGTTGAGTTTTTTAAGGCTGTTGCTCGTCGAGATGGTCAGACCGCCGCTGAGTGCACATTAAGATTATCAAAGAGACAGAACTGTCCTAATCCTAAGGCCTTCATTGCAGTAAGTATCAATATTTGGATATTTGTTCGTCTTTGTGTGGTTTTCTGATTCAGCAGTTTCATTTTTAATTGGACTTTATCTGATACAAAAATTCATGAATGTTATGCACTCAAAAGCTTATTTTGGGATTGTTGTTGATGCATGGATATGTCCTGGCGAAAACCCTAAAAATACTTCAAAGTTGCATTTGCCTTCATTTTTAATTGGCTGCATTATTTCCTTGGGCAATCTTATCCTCTCTAATGTTTCCTCATTATTCATGCTTTTATAGGAAGTGAAAGAGTCTTTTGATTTTTGGGGCACTCCTGAAGGTGATTTGGTTCATCCAGCTGATTGCATGCAACAGTTACTAGAACAAGTTCGTCGACATAGAGTAAATATTGATGGCAATGTGTGCACTGTAATGGTTACAACTTTGGTCCTTGAGGTATTTGTACTCCTCTATCAGTGATATAGATGTGCATTTTTGCTCAAAGTGAAAGTACCATATGGACTTGCATACTCGTTTTTCCAATTTGAACTTCATTGGTATTGAGTTTCAATAATTCTTATTGGCTCGTGTTGGTTTCTTATAGGGTTGGCAAAGGAAGCTTGACCCAGATTATGATGTCATGCATACGCTTCAGACAATTCTGCTCAAAGCTGATTGGGCAAAGTCACTTTCTTACACGATTGAAGGCCTCATGGCTCCCTAGAGAAGTTCTTTTTGTCACTAACATAAAACCCGCAAGTCTTCTTATGATGGAAGATACCTCCATGATGTATATTATATACCTTAGAATACCCCTAGCCGCAAATTTTGTAATGGGGAAATTTTGCTCCGTTATGGTGATTTCTTTTTGAAAGACACTATTGACTCTGAGATCTTTACCATTCAAACAAGTCATTCTCAGAAAAGAAGCATATAGTAGAGTTTGTATTCCCTTTCAGTTTGTTATTTCACAATAAGTATGTATTATTGGATCAGTGCTTAATCACAACTCTTTTCTTTGTTCAGTGCCCTTAGCTATTGCTTTCTATCGCCTATCAGAGTACTGAAAAGGGTTGCCGGGGAAAAAGCAACAAGCTTTATTATTTATCTTTCATTGATACAATCTGTACAAAAAAAAAGTAAGTTCCAGGATGTACACGAGATCTGTAATTACATGATTCACGGCCACAAAATGCCGCAGGTAAAAAGATTCATCACTACACAAATTTGGGGGGAAAATCTGAAGCAAAAATATTATTTTCCTAACGGCACAGCTACACAGTACACCTGTGGTTCCTCTGTGGCACTGCAAAGCTCTAATCTATTAGGTAGTCTTGACTAAAATTTACATTAATGAAAGAATGATTAATCATGAAAAACTAACATAAAAAGAATCATCAAACTCTTAAGCAAAGTTTTGGCACCTATCCTAGTGTACAGGTATAATCCCATCTAACGTCAAGAGCAGCAACATATGATTTATGAAGCCAGTCTCACATAATGGCAATGGTGTTTCTTGTTATTCTACGTTTAAAACAGCACACTCACCCAAAGTGAGAGGTTGCTGATATCCTTGCATCTATGCCACATTCAGTGATAGGGAAACTACCCACAACCTACAGACGACCATAATGTAAGCTGCAGCCAGAAGTCAGAAATGTGTAGTAGGCCCAAGGAAATTACCGACTTGCTGATGTCGAATGGGGGGATGAGCGATTTCCTTGTCAAGTTTTGGAAGCACCACATGAACTATCGAATCGGATGTTCCCCATACACCATCTGTACAAATTTCAAGGGTAGCCGAATGCTGTGTACCATTGTGTAGGAAAAGAGTCATTGACATGCCAATCCAAAATTTAAAGAGCATAATAAAACAGGAAGATTCTGTCTTGATGATGTTAATGTTGAAAATAGAATACTATTTCCACCTTAATACTGACGTGTGGCAGTCAAAACCCATACTGCTGAATATGATGCTGAAATGAGCAGATGCTATGAACCATTACAGTTTTCTCAGTAAAGTTGCAAGCTTCAGACTCTCCTGACTACACCGGCTTGGCATCATTCCTGGATTCAATAGTATAAATGAACTCAAGGAAGGAAACAATACAAAGCAATCTTCAAAGCTAGGTGGCAAATTTCACGTCAAAATGACAAAGAAGGTATCTCACAGCAAATAAAGGGAACTTTCAGAATCAGAACTATTACAATTCGATTCAAACAGACATACAAAAGTGCAGCAATGTGTGTTATGCACTTGCACCCAATGCCAGTAAAGTTGATCTACGACAGAATTAATGCAACCTACAGTCTCTTGAAAATATTTTGTACTTCAGCCTACAGCGAGAAAAAAGGAGGGAACAAAAAAGGAACTCTTCTTTTGATCAGCGAAGATATACTCAACTAAATAAAACTGCAGTTTACTCAAGAGCTATCAATTTCTTCGTGTTTTGCCTAAATCACACCACGCCGGAACATGGTAAGCCTTGCATCTAATATGTCCAGAGTCATCTGAACTCTGAAGAGCTCCTTGAAGTGACAAATTAGTGAAGAACTAAATTCAACGATTTAAGAAATCGGCACCTCAACTAGTTGTTAGCTGCACATTCAATGCACATCAAACAGAGACAGTTGAAAATCAAAGAAATTCAACGAAGCAAATGGAACAGAACATGGAACACGATACTTCAATTCAAATTTTCATGAATATTTATTGCATTTAATTCTCCAGTTCTCAGCTAAGGGATGGTGTTATAGAGATCAAGCTAGGACAAAAGATCTCCAGTAAACAAGCAACTAAAAAAGACATTTCACATATTTGTAGATAGAGCTGCGAGAAGCATTATACCAAGACAGTAACAGAAGATAAGGCACATCAAAACATATCTTATAACATAAAGAGTTCCCAGGAGGGCTTACTCTTTGCACATTAGTTTTTGGATATCTTCAATTGCTGCACTGATTCCACGAATAGTCATCTTCCTAACCTGGAAAAAAAAAAAAAAGGAAAAAAAAAGAGAATTCAAAAAATGTTCAGCTGCTAGAATTAAAACATAATATAAGTAGAAGAGTAAACTTAGTGCAAATCACCTCCAATACTTTTTCTCTAGCTTTGTGGCTCAGTGGAAGACAGCGTATTTCATCACTCAAACGGACACATTCAGCTGCACTTTCAGGTGAGATGAAGTCTACCACAATGTTGACACATGACTGCAGATCGAAGTATCAAATGTTGAGAAGCTCGCAGTTATACAGTGTAAGTCAAATCTCGATGAAAACAATAAAAAGTACAATGCTTATTTGAAACATATGTACAAATCAATAGGCAAAGTGGGAACCTAGATACACATGACAGAAACATTCTAAGGTATATCAGAAGCTTGCTTAGATGCAACATCACTAGTAAGTATAAAAGGGCTCAACTGACTTCCTTATCTTTGTCATCCCTTAGACACCTATTACCTCGTCCTAGAGTACATGTTTTGCCTATCCATTGCCTATCCAGTGCAACGTTGTTTGGCTTGGTTACCACACTTCAAATCACAATCACATTACACAAGTAGATATATAGACCTCAGTCCAATAAAAGATCTGACGCAGCCACAGAAAGCGTAAGACATAGTCAACCAAAAAAAATACATCCTATATCTGTAAAGACCACATAATAACACCAATAAGGTAGACGATGTCTTTCGACCTACCAAACCCATGCCATAAAAAATCAGTGGAGAAAACAGTTATTACAAGCTTTCATAAGTTAAGGAAAAATTTCATGACCATGGAGTCAAAAGTCACTAGCACAGTGCATAAAGCTGCAATTACACAGAAAAATTGAGGAATTATTATCCATCAATATATTTTGAACATTTGAAAATTCAGTGACAGTGGAGCCGCATGTTGCTAAAAGCTACGCAAAAACATTACATAAGCTACCCATGTAGATCTATGCGCTGCCGTCATTAGTTTACAAGATTACCTTAAGTTTTCGAATTTGATACGGACATCCTGCTGGAATCATGACTGCTTCTCCTTGGTGTTGCTCGAAGGTCCATGGCTGAACATCTGACAACAAGAAAAGGTGGATCCAATGTAAGGAGTTATCCATTAATTTAAGCAAAAAATAAAAGTTTACAAACTTACCAAACTCTTCCTTAAGTCTCAACTTGTGAAATGCATCAAGGAAAAAACTTTGATCGAGAATCGGATGAACTACCTGCAACATACACAAACAAGAGCAATAAACAACTTGCTCCAGCATTCTTCCAATTAAATTAAGAAAATTATTGCCTTCCAAGTGTTTTACATGTGTTGGATTGCAATGTGCAGCCTGCAATTCATCAGAATGTCTCCTCAGATACTCCAGAAGTTTTGGCACATCTTGTCTACGAAAAATATCCCATTGAGCACCACAAACATTAGTTAATTCCTTCTCAGAAGAGGGACCAGAGTTTTCCAGATCTTTAAAGAAACATTCATCCTCTGAGTCTTCAGATCCTTGAATATTTCCAGAGCAAAGCATTGAAGCATCCGAATCACAGTCAGACTCATCTTCGGAGTCAGGGAGCAATTCACCCTTTCCAAATGACATTTGTCCTTCAATCGAGTGGCCAGAATAAAAAGGTACTTTCGCAATTCCATCAGGTAAGCTCAACCTCTCTCCCATCATGTCCTGCAAGCCCGATTCTTCACTTTCATCCCCAAGTAAAGATGACTTTCCTTTCACTTCAGTGGAGTTGCTGCTTGACTGTAAACAATCTTGATCCTTGTCCTTTCTGCTAGAATGTGAACAATCCCGATTCTTGTACTTTTTCATTAAAATTTTAATATTTTTTAACTGTTCTGCAGAGATTGGAACATCTGTAGCATATGCAAGAATATTGACCTGAGATAAAAAGGCAGATACTGTTAATCAAAAAAATTTAGAACTTCCCAAGAATCCTACTGGTTTAGGCTACAATTTCAGTTACAGTGCAGCCCGAAGAAAAGGCCGAACACATATAAAAATTTGGAATAAAATCAATAATAGATCATCTCTCTTATGTACCCTGGTGTCAGCATAAATGATGGCAAGTTCTCAAAACATCATTAAGGAATTCAAAATCAATAAGTTTGGCACTTTTAAGTCTTGTAACTAAAATAAAAACCCTGCCAAACCTTTGACTCGATGAACCATTAATTTTAAGCCCACCACACAATGGGATAGCTGCGAAAGAAGTTGTCACACCATATATTATGAAGGTGGTAGTTTTCTATCTAATAGTTTTGCAAAAATTGACGAAGACGATTTTTTCTTCAACGTGCACTGAATTATACCACCCCTGAAAACCACTCATGTTCTATGAAATATAACAGCAGCCACTTTATCTTTTTTTCAAACATAAACATCAGCCTTAAAAAGGGGGCAAAATCCTTCAACATACTGGAACATTTGCAGCTTACCACATCATTTGAGTCATAGCAGAGTTTCATCAAAAAATCATTGCGCATGAAATCTTCAGGGCTGCCACAAGAGATATGGATGCAAGGACCAATTTCACGCTTAGGTGCTTCAGGTGGCAACTTGAGAGCTACATTCAGAAGACCAGAAATCGGATTGACGTAATCTTGAAGTGGCAATGCTTGCATGAGCTCTGCATGGTGAGAAGGAAATTGCTCCTGAAACAAATAGGAAGAAAGCCAGGATTTAATTTTTAGGGTCTGGTGGCGGATATTCACATGTGCATCTTCTGACATGGATCCCATGAATATCTGTTTTGCAGAAATTTCCACCTGGAAGAGAAAAAGGATATTCTTATCACAACATGTTGACCTTCAAATTAAAACAAAATGATTTAAGTTTTTTTTTTTTTTTAATCCACAAAAAGTACATATTGGACAAACTGAGCAACCGCCAGAGAAAGCATAATAGCAGAAAGTTCAGTTACGAGGAAGCTCAAAAGCTAGCACAAAAAGTCATTTCTGTATGACAATTTCAAGGTAGCCAATAGGACATACAATACTATGAAAGAGAAACTAAAACACTGACCTCACACCAATCTAAGCAAGTCCTTCCTTTAATGGCAGCCTTCTTATTTCTAGATTCAGAACATGTCTTTTCAAGGTAAGTGCAAAACATTAAAACTGGATCCCATTTGCTAGCTGATATTCCTTGAATAACGTTTCGCACGATAATGGGATGGCCTTTAATCCAGTGTTGCTGGAAATGTCCAAGACTCTCCTTATTCAGATCTTTTAAAGTGGGACAATAGAGAATGTTGTCACTAGATTCGACTCTCATAGCAACTTTCCGGATTTTTTTACTTTCAACATCATCGTCAGTTGCCTCAGATGATGAATGACAAGAACATAAATCTGAACTTTCTGGAAAATCATAATTCTGAATTAGTCCTGCTGCTCCAGCTTCCAGTTCTTTCATCCAACTTGATGGGAAAATGCATCTCAGGTCTAGGTTTCTCTCCGCACAGCCACCAAAATTTACCGGAGGGCATGATACATTACCATCAGAGCGGGCTTCCAAGTTTTGCAGCATGGCTGGGGAGAAAGTACCCATCTCACAAGGACTTCTAGAAGGGTTTCTGACTTGATTGATTTTCAACCGCACACCATCTGTGCATAAAAGGTTTTCCTTCACACTTCCAACTTTGGTTTTAAGTTTCTGATTTGAATGGCTTCTACAAAATTCCCAGCAACAATTTAAGCAGAGGGTATAAGAACAGTGTGCACAGCATCGATGATAATCCAAAATGGACATTTTGCAGTTGTTGCTGGTCCAGAATTGAAATGGGCACATGCAAAAGGAAACACCAAAACGGTTATAATCACTCTTTTATCTGCATTGAAAGGACCCAGACGTAAAAGGACATACCAGCGACATAACTTCATGTAATCCAACTCTGACTGATGCATCTGTACTCGGGATGGTATTTTCCCTGTAATAGAATATAGTAAAGCAGGGCACAAAGACTATTTCATGTATTTAGAGTAGATATTAAGGGAAATACCAGTAATCGTAGCCTCCATGTCCAGCTCCATTTTCTGGTCCTGATTTATTCGCTTAAGCACAGGAAAAAGCATAGAAATGAAATAATGAAGTAATTGGATATCTTCAATCTTCTTTTTATTTCTACATGACTCCTGAGAGAGTTGCAGATAAATTCATATATGTTAGTCGAGAAAACAAGTGTGTTTGCTGAAGGTCAGAATTGAATATTACTTGCATCTAACCTTTTTAGTGATATCATCTGATTTCTTCCTTTCACAAATCTTACAACTGCAAGTTCCACGACAAACAGGGCATCCCACCTTAATCTCTTTCTTCTCAAATTGTCTAAGAAGTAAAAAATTGTGCAGAGTCACTTATAACAGTCATGGTTGATTTACAAGCACACAAATTAAAGCTGAAGAACAAATACGAATTTTGAAATAAAAGCTAAGGTGGACGTAGATCACAAGTCCAGGCCAATTTTACAAAATGACCACAATTTAAAATCATGCATATCTTGCTGTCAGAAGAAATCCAGCAAATCCTATATAAATGCTCAAATTCTTACCAAAAGAGGCAGCAAAGCCAGTACGCTTCCTCAAGGCCAAAAGGGAATATCCAGTTGTAACCATAAAGTGAGATTACGTAATTTTCACTTTGGGTGTTGACGTCTACTTCTTTGAGAAAATCTATTCTAAATGTGACAATGTGTTAAAGAGGGCCTCTCTAACTATGAAAACCATTTAATTTCCTTACCAAAAATCCTAGGAACTACACAAACGTTCACCCTGTTCCGGCACAATTAAATTCCCAACCTTTTCTTATGAGACATTGCTAACGCTGAAATATGACTAAAAATCTCTCAGGTATCCAATTTGAAGACTACCTGATTTCTACTTTGCAAGCCAATAAAAAGAAAAGGATTATTCAGTTTAAACCAAAAAGAGTTGAACAAAAAGATAGACACATTCAAACGAGGTGAAAGGGGGAAAACGCTGAACTACCTTTCACGAATGCAATCCCCACAGAAAAACTGCTTCCTACATTTCAAACACTTGATCAAATTCACACCAGCATTCCTCCTACACCAGTGGCACTTCCTCAATTTCCTCAGATAATCAGCAGACGGTAAAACCTTTTCACAGAGGCCAAATATAGCAGAATAAGATTACAGAGAAATCTACTACTCCAGTCATTATTGAAAAAACAGCCTATATTACAGCAATTGAAACCTATACTGAATTTTTTTCTATTAAAAAAATAAAAAAAAAAATACAGCAGGATGGAAAATGACATATTTGAGAAAAAGAAACTTAGTGCAATCAACCTGCATTGTACTAATTGGTAGTGGTTCAATATTCTTGGACCGGAAATTCCTCACAGAACGTAACTTTGAAACAGAATTCGACCCAATTTTCACATCAATACCGTCGAAACCATCTACATTATCAGCATTCTTCTGAGAAATGGCCATTACACCATTGGGCAATTCCCGGGTCAACTCGGTTTCACCAGCACACTCAGTATCCTCTTCATTCTTCATCTTTTTCTTCTCGACTTGCCTCTTCAAGAATGCCCTAATCAATTCCAAGTGTAAATCCCCTCTCTTCAGCTTCATCTTCCTCAGGGCCTCATCAAGAACCTCTGAAAGGTTTTTTCTCTTCTTAGCCGACTCAATTTTCGATGATGATGATCTCGAAGAAGAAAGAATGCCGGAAACCCTAACTTTTCCCCCATCTTTACATATTTTCTTGCTCTTCCTTTCAATCTTGAGGGAATCAGGGACTTTCTGCCTCAACTGGCGGCGGCGGCCCTGAAGGTAATGAATATGACAAAGCTTTTTACCGTCCACTACCCGCCGACTGCACCGCCATTGCCGCCCGTCAGTCCTCCGGCACCGGAATTCGTCCGGCGGGATTTCCTCCTTCTTGGGCATTGATCAATTCTGTTTCCCTTGGACCCAATTGACTGTTCTTCAATAAAAATCAAAACTTTACAAAGATTGAACCGTAGAAAGATTATTCTGGGAAAGAAAAAAAGAAAAAAAGGCCAATGTTCTGGGATTCTGCAGACAGTAAAGAAAGTAGGGTTTTGGCTTTTGTTGGAGATTGTGATACTGTGTGAGTGTGTGAAAGAGGGGGGATTTAAAATAGGAAGTATTTGATGTGTATATATGTAGTTGAGAAGCAGGGAGACAGAGTCGTGCGGTGGGATGGAAATTGGGAAGTGTTTTTGGGGGAAAGAAAAATCACAGGTGGAATCTAATGAGGACCTCTGCCAAATGAACAAGAATCGAATTGGTCCAACAGGGCTAAGATGCCATCATCATCATAATCCTGTCCCTATTTTTCTACAGCCCTCAAATTTATACTAGTATACAGGATTATTAATCAATTCTCACAGAAAAATTTGCAGCTCAAATGTGCATCAGTCAATTAATGCAGAGGGAATAAAGATTTGAGGATGGAACTTTGGAGGTGTTTGGATTCTGATTTTTCGGATTTGATCAAATAAGGGGCTGTTTTGGAGTTTGTTTTTTTGGATGATCGAAAGAAAAGAGTACGTGGTTGCTGAGATACTTGGAAAAGATTTTGGCATTAAAGAATTTTAATCAAGAAAAGAGGAAAAAGTAAGAATCTTGAATAATGCGCGTGTTGGAAAGTGGAAAGGCGTGATCTATGTGTAAAAAAGGATTCTTCGGTTCTTGCTAATTGCAGAGTTTCAATCAGTTGGATTGGTGAATAAGGGATTTTTTGCTTTTTGGGCTGTGAGGAATTGTGATTAATCAGAGATGTTAATTGCTGCAGTTCTCAGAAGAACATAAAGTTTGAATTTTAATTGGTCCTATTTATATAGATTATTATCTATAGCGACAGATGATCCATATAACCGTATTTTTGTTTTTGGGGTAATCTTGAGCTTTGATTTTTGTTAAAGATCACAAGTAAACTGAACTAATTAAGAAATGGTAGTAACTTTTAGCCACACGTCTTAGTATGTGTGCAGTTTAAGGGCTACATAGCAGACCAATGATGGATGGTCATATATGTCAGTAATCAGTACTATAAGTGAGTAATTACCAATGTGCAATCCTGCAGGAAAATTGTGGCATTTTGGGCTGTACCTGCAGAATTCTGTACAATAAAGTACCTTCTGTATCCACCTTATGTAAAAGGCATTGAACTATATAAGCAGTGAGTTTTTCCTAGTGCAAAGATGCATTCAGATACTTTATTCCTTGAAAGGGATCTACTAAGTTCGAATTCAGGAGGATTTCGACAGTAGTTTCAAAGACCGGATGCAATATCCGGAAAAAGAAAAAAAAAAAGAAAAAAGAAAAAAAGAGATGCATTCTGATGTGCCGAAAGACCAAAACAATAGTTGAGTTCACAAAACAAAAAGGACATTATTTATTCCAAATGCTTCTATCCTGCCTAGTAAAATGTCTGAGATTCATCTGGTTTATGGTACTCAGGATTATTTATTTACGAATTTAACCATAAAAAACTGTACTGATCTTTGTGGAAATGGCATGATACATGAGGCAATGCAACAGGCCCAATTGGCTTTTATGAATTGGACTAAGAAAACCAGTGTTCAAAAAATCATAACTTTAGAGATCCATGGGCAGATGTGTATCAAGTAACTAAAAAATCAATTTTAACTGTGATGCTCTCGTATAAAATTTTATTTGGTTTATTAGTACCTCTTCGGGATATGGAATCCCAGATAGTAAATTGGACCAAACAGTGTTCCAAGGAAAGCTTAGGAAGCAGTTCCAGTCCTCCACATTTCTGGCTTCTGAATGTTTGAACTTTTCATTATTTGCCTTCAACAAAGTAGTACAGATAACCCAACAAATAATGCAGACATACTCTTTATTTTATTTATTTATTTATTTGGAACAACAGAGCTACTCTTTATTATTCCCAAAATGCCATTTAACCATTAGCATCTAATTAACTCTATATCTAATAGGCAAAGCCAAGCATAATTGATTGCGCGAGTATCCCGAGTCCAAAGCAAGGATATATATATTGTTCCTTTTTTTAACTGATTGTCAGGATTTAAAAAAAAAGAAGCATGTTTTGACGTTCAAGGGTTCTCCTAATATTGTGAAGGTTAATTAATTAGGACCAAAGTCATGATTGAACGCCCATGTAACAACGATCAAATGGAGCTATTCATCATGTTCCAATAATTAGAGAGCTCTTACGGGCAACAAAATCCGACTTTCTAAGAGGAAACACATTCATTAGTTGTCTCCAAAGTTTTTACGGAGTTCACTAGGCTTCGATGATTTATAAACCAGATAAAAAAAAAGTTTTTCTAAAAGTCATACGTGCTATGAACTCCAACTTTTGGAGAGGAATGACATTAACGTAAATAATCAAATCCTAGTTTTTTTGCTATTCTTCCATGATTCCTGACCGAGATAAGGAAAGAAATCTGAACTTGATCCCCACTGTATTGCTCGAAGTTTTTCTAACGTTTTCTAGTAATCTCATGCAACTGCATTCAACACGTGTTCGAAGTTTGGAACAATTCTACATACGTTGCAACTTTCAAACATTGATTATTTTTTTATCGTTTATTTTTGGTTGATCGAATTGTGCATCGGGTATTTAAGCACATGAAATAAACAGCTGCTAGAAACATTATTTTACTTATAGAGCCATGAGGCAACCATGTGGAGTGCAAGAAGGAGCTGAGCTAGGCATCCTAAGTTTCCTGAAACCCTAAAATGGCTAACCTGCAACAAAAAATGCACCCTTAATATAGGTGAAGAACTATTTCAATAACTTTTTGATCCAACTGGCCCTTTTGTCAAATCGTTTAGGCATGTGGAAAGTCACTCCAAATCTGTGAGCCTAAACAATTCAGAGTATGATAGAAAGGCCACATATTATAACTAGAGTACAAATTTAATGGATAATTCCATACAGTTATGAAGAAAGGATACTAATAATATCATAAATAGTTTGCCAACCCAAAAAAAAAAGAAAAGAGAAAGAAAGACTACCAAATGATCTCATAGTTTCTGACTTTCTTCAAATCTCAATCAACAGCCACTGCAATGCTATTTTCACATCATAAAAAGTAAGTTTTCTATATGCAAATTTAATATTTATTATCATGTTTACATCGACCAAAATTTGCAAAAATAAACACATTACCAAACTTATCCCAATAACATTATACTCTATCCACTTTGTATGGTGGAGTTTTTTTTTTTTTTTAAAGAGAAAACAAACTTCATTGAAATTACTGGAAATGATCCAGCAACATTTGATACAAGAACATACTGTCCAAAATGACGTACTCGAACCGTCCTAATGACATACTTACGGTACTAGTCACTGCACTAGTGACTAGACCAATACAATTGCCAAAAAGGTTAACAATCCTATAATGGCATAGTTTTATTGTTGGACATGTCACAGAACATAATAAAATTTTAAAATCGAATATATCACTAATCTGCAAACTGAAGTACAAATTTGTCGTCATTAACGACGAACAACACACATCAAATTTGGACTCGACCAACGGACTCGGTTCCGTTGACGCACTAAATTTGTTCAGTAAAGAATCAATCCGAGATTTATACTGAGGGTGGGCTATCCGAGATCTATACTCAGTATGGTGGAGTTTCTAACCGATGTAAACCACTTAGTACTTGAACCACTAACGACGTCAGATACTGAGGTGCGAAATTTCTAATAAGATTTTATTTCACGAAAATAAGATTTGATTTTGGTTTTTTCTAAATGGGCTTTGAGTACTGTTTTGGAATAAGCAAGTCAGCCCATCGATGGCAAAGATTGGCCCCAATGATCCACTAATAACTGTCAACAAAAAAGCCCGCTTGTTTATCCTTTTTTCGTTTGAACCGTACTTCTGAAAGAAAGAAAAAAATCATTATAAGAAAAAGAAAAGGACGACGGTGCCGGGTGGAGAAGAGGCCGTGGCTCAACCCTCTGGACAATCCAGGGTTTACAATCTGCTTTAAACCTCAAAGATATTTTCCCTCCTTTACCTTAAACATCAGGCGATAATCCCTTTCCTCCGGCCACTCTGAACCCTAGAATTTCAAATTCCCCAACTCAAATTACCTCAGAAAGTTAAAAAAAACTCATTACAATGGCGCTGGTTGATACGTCGCCGCTTTCCACGGCGGCGACACCTTCCAAAGATCTTTACCCCAGCGAACAATTCTTGCAATACGAAGAAGAGGTGCTTCGGAATCAGTACAGTTTGAAGCTGTGGTGGCGCTATCTCATTGCGTTAACCGACGCTCCGTTCGTGAAGAGGCAAGTTATTTACGAGCGTGCACTCAAGTACCTGCCGGGGAGCTACAAGATTTGGTACGCCTATCTCCGGGAACGTCTCGAACTGGTTAGAAACCTTCCTGTTACTCATTATAAGAATGAATCTCTCAACAATACTTTTGAAAGAGCCCTCGTCACTATGCATAAGATGCCTCGAATTTGGATTATGTACCTCGAGTTTTTAACTAAGCAGAAACTTGTTACAGTCACCCGTAGGACTTTCGATCGAGCGCTCTGTGCGTTGCCTGTTACTCAGCATGAACGAATTTGGGGTCCTTATTTAAAGTTTGTCGGTCAAAATGGCATTCCCATTGAGACTTCACTTAGGGTTTACCGTAGGTACTTGATGTTTGATCCCAGTCACGTCGAGGACTTTATTGATTTTCTTAAGCATTCAGAGCGTTGGCAAGAGGCTGCTGAGAGGTTGGCCGGGGTTTTGAACGATGACAAGTTTTATTCCATCAAGGGGAAGACCAAGCATCAGTTGTGGTTGGAGTTGTGTGATTTGTTGACTCAACACGCCGCGGAAATTTCTGGGTTGAATGTGGATGCCATTATTAGAGGCGGGATTAGGAAATTCACTGATGAGGTTGGGAGGTTGTGGGCAGCTTTGGCTGAATATTATGTCCGGAGGGGATTGTTCGAGAAGGCTAGGGACATTTTTGAGGAAGGAATGACTACTGTGGTGACTGTTCGGGATTTCAGTGTGATTTTTGATGCATATTCTCAGTTTGAAGAGACTACACTTTCTACCATCATGGAAACTATGAGTGAGAGTGAAGATGAGTCTGAAGCTGAGGACGATGATGAGAGCGAGGCGAATGGAGAAGAGGAGGAAGATCCATTTAATGTGGATAAGTTGATCAAGAATCTTAAGACTTTTTGGTTAGCAGAGGATGTCATGATGAAAGATGTTGATTTGAGGCTGGCAAGGTTGGACCATTTGATGGACAGGAGGCCAGAATTAGCCAACAGTGTTCTTCTGAGGCAGAACCCGCACAATGTGGAGCAGTGGCATAGGAGGGTGAAACTTTTTGAGGGCAATCCCACGAAACAAATATTGACTTACACAGAAGCTGTGAAGACAATCGACCCTATGAAAGCTGTAGGAAAGCCACATACTTTGTGGGTTGCTTTTGCGATGCTTTATGAGAGCCACAATGACATTAAAAATGCTCGTGTGATTTTTGACAAGGCTGTGCAAGTCAACTATAAGGCTGTGGATCATTTGGCTAGTGTTTGGTGTGAATGGGCAGAGATGGAGGTGAGACACAAAAATTTCAAGGGTGCATTGGACTTGATGAGGCGTGCTACTGCAGTGCCATCAGTCGAGGTCAAACGACGAGGTAATGAATCCTGGTGCTATCTAGATTTAGATGTTTGTGATTTACATGTTCCAGTAATTATTTTGTAGGGCATAGGAAAATTTGAATATAGATTTCTAACTGAATTTATATTTTGTGAATTTGAGATCGTTCATATGTCATGTGGTTTGTGGTTAGAACTGTAAATAATTTTCCACAACCATCAGCATTGGTGTGTACCTGAGATGTTTGTGCTTGCTTATTACTTTGGATCTGTTTATTGATTTTTTTCTGGAAATTGAAACACACCTAATAGATATTTGGTCATGAGGCTGTGGTTTTTGATGTGTCAAAGGATTTGCTGCACTGCAACTAAAAGTTGTTATCTTCACCTTGCTGCTGTCTTTCTGTGGTACTTCAAAGAGATCTTTCATGGTATATGTCCTTTTGCGTGAAATCTGATTGAAGAAGTATCAATGTTGTCTGAGCTTGATGTTGTGTTCTACTGTTGCCTTGGGTAAACTAATGAAGATACAATATGAACTGCTAGATCTAATATTAAAAGGAAAGCAAGAGTACCGCCAGAGAGCATGCCGCTTATCTTAATGGTTGCTACAAATAACAATCTTTTGCTTTCCTACTGCCAGTTTGATTATTAGGGTTCTATATCTTTTAGTTTCACTGACCTTCACATAATTTGGTGAAGAATTGGTTGCCTTATGGTGATGAAATTTTACTTAAACAATGAAATTGTTGAACTGTTTCAGTGGCAGCTGATGGCAATGAACCAGTGCAGATGAAGATTCACAAATCTTTAAAATTGTGGAGTTTTTATGTTGACTTGGAGGAAAGCCTGGGGACTCTGGAGTCCACTCGGGAAGTGTATGAGAGTATATTGGATCTCAAGATCGCAACACCTCAAATTATTATTAACTATGCTATGCTTTTAGAGGTATTGATATTGCCTTCTAGACATGTTTTTTTTTTATTGTCAGTTGCCTTTTCTTCTATTCACTATATTCAGAAGTCTAACGGTTCATGATTTTATGCCAGGATCATAAGTACTTTGAGGATGCTTTCAAAGTCTATGAAAGAGGGGTGAAGATTTTCAAATATCCACATGCAAAAGATATCTGGGTGACTTACCTTACTAAGTTTGTTGCAAGATACGGGAGGTCAAAGCTTGAAAGGGCTCGGGAACTATTTGAGCATGCAGTTGAAGTGGTAAGTTCATGTCTATCTTGTTTTTAGTGTTTATTAATTTCATAAGCAGCATGATTTAAAGGCCCTAACTTGTAACTGTTTAGGCTCCTGCAGAGGTTGTCAAGCCATTATATTTGCAATATGCCAAGTTGGAAGAAGACTTTGGCTTGGCCAAGCGAGCAATGAGGGTATATGATCAAGCCACGAAGGCTGTTCCTGCTGCAGAGAAATTAAGCATGTATGAAATTTACATCGCTCGCGCTGCTGAGATTTTTGGTGTTCCAAAAACAAGAGAAATATATGAACAGGCAATTGAGTCTGGTCTGCCAGACAAGGATGTAAAGATAATGTGCTTGAAGTATGCTGAACTTGAGAAAAGCTTGGGAGAAATTGATCGTGCCCGTGCTTTATACAAGCACTCATCTCAGTTTGTGGACCCCAGATCTGATCCTGACTTCTGGTTGAAATGGCATGAGTTTGAGGTGCAGCATGGTAATGAGGACACATTCCGGGAAATGCTCCGTGTTAAAAGGAGTGTTTCTGCAAGCTATAGCCAGGTGCTTGATTATTCCTAACTGTGTTCTAATTTTCCTTTCATACTTCCTAGGCTTGTAGGCGTTGCTAATTATTGCTAAATCAGGCCCCTCTTGAGCTTCTTATCTGTTGGAACTAGTGTATGTCTTTAATATTTGTTCAATGCCATAGTTGTCAATCTGGTTAGCTGCTGTAGTCATTTACTTGATTAGAAACATGCCAAGTAGTTTGCTCTACACTTGCTCTGTGTTAACCTTTTGTAAGTTGATCATTCCATCTTGTTCTTTTTTGTGCAGACGCATTTCATCCTTCCGGAGTATTTGATGCAAAAAGATCAAGTGCAGACACTTGAGGATGCAAAAGACGCGTTGAAGAAAGCGGGTGTTGCTGATGATGAAATGGCAGCGCTGGAAAGGCAGGTGATGCCTGCTGCAAGTGAGTCCGTTAGAGATTCCAATCGCGTGCTTGGCTTTGTCAGTGCCGGTGTTCAGTCGGCTGGTGATGGTGCTCAACAGAATATGACAACTGAGGATATTGAGCTGCCTGAAGAAAGTGATTCTGAAGATGATGAGAATGTCGAGATTGCACAAAAGGATGTTCCAACTGCCGTCTTTGGAGGTCTTGTACGGAAAAGAGAAGAGACTGATGCTGTTGATGGTGATGCTGGTACTGGTGATGCAGAAGGAGGTTTGGGAGCTCTTGCTAGAATTAAAAGGAGCCGGGGTGCTTGATGATGATAAATGGAGATCACCCAGAAATTACAGGTTCAACACTTAAACATCCACTTTGTCGAAGGAGATTTTTGTAGTGTTGTGCATGTATCACAGGTTCCAGTACCTAACCCTGCATGGACTTGTTAAATTAGTTTTACTTCCTTCATGAGATGCAGGTTGTTTGGACCCGAAAAAGGAAGGGGAGCATAGGGGAAAAGTGTTCTGAACCTCGGTTCCATATTAACTGATACTGAATACTGTATGTTGTGTGGTTTTCCGCTCATTTCTCCTTTTTGAGACGGAAGATTGGGTTTAATGTTGAACATGTAGTTATCCTTTTCAAGCCTTAGTGATAAATATTGAGTTGTATATCCAATGGATGAGGATTTAGGAATTTGATTCTCAAAAGTTTTTGCCTTTGACTTTTAGGGAAACAATAGATTACTATGGTTCATTCCTTAGTCCATATATAGACAACGTTTCCCGCACCCCTCTTTCCCTTTTAGGCCCCTTTTATAGAGTACTTGTGCCGTTACCTATTCATGTCCATCAATCCTTATTGATTAATCAAAGTGAGACTTTTTGAGTTGTTGTTACAAGTTAATATCTCGATTATGAATGGCTTTTGCTGCATATAATTTCTCCACACTTATGTTTCGGCTTCTTTTGGTTGTTGCATGCAAGGGATAATTATTAATTGGATCTGTCCTCTTGTTTGCTTGCATTGGAAACTAGATGAGATACTTTGATTATTTTCTTATATTTTTAAGTCTTTTATTATTGAACTGGTTCTGCTTTGGTGAATCTATAAACTCCTGCCCGTACAACAAATCAGATGTGTTCATACCTCTGGCAGATTCATCCTTCGTTACTCTCATTTTTGTGTGAAGTCAGGATTCGGCAGGGAAATTTGAGTTAATCATCTTAGTAGCAATATCCACTGTTATCTTCTTTAGTAACTTGAAGTTGACTTTGAATTCCTCTTGCAGAAAGAAAGATCTACATCTAAGCATTACCTATTTTCTATCTTGATTTGGTTCTATGGACATTTATAAACTGGTAGGTGATTGCATCATCACCTAAATCTAGGATGTTTGTGAGGATATTTGTGAATTTCAATAAGGTTAAGATTAAGAACTAAGAAAAGAGGATAGAGTAGTTCTATGAAATTCCAGTTCATCTTCTTCGAAGAAATGTCTTGCCCTGAGCATCCTCATGAACAATTCTCATTACTTCTTTAGGAGGAGTGTGCTGCCAAATTTGAGGGGTTTTTAGATGATATCCCATCTGTGCCAACTTGTCAGCAGCTCTATTCCCTTCTCTATAAATATGTGTTATTAGGCAGTTATGAAGTTCTGGAATGATTTGATTTATACTGCCAACATATTTTTGCACTTCTACGCACTTAACTCTTCTCTTTTGTGCAATAATTTGGACTAACGATTTGGAATCTCCTTCGATCCATACATCTCTCCAACCGTGTTCCACAACAAGCTCCAGCCCTCTTTTAAGAGCAACCAATTCTGCAATGGTGCTGTTTGTTCGGCCGATGATGGATTCTGCATAGCCGAGCAAGAACTCAGCCTCATGGTCCCTGAGAACGCCTCCAATGCTTCCCCTTCCTGTCTTACACTTGCAGGAGCCATCAAAGTTTAACTTTGTCCAGCCTTTCTCTGGTTTTGCCCATGTCACTGGAATTGGTTCCTTGTGCCAGTCTCTGACCAAAAGTCGAACTGGCTTCTGCATTTGTCTGGCAAATGCAAAGGTTTTTGGGAAAACGAGCATCATCTTCTCAATTCTGTATCTATTCCGAAGCTTGCTTACAATGGAATGCGTTAAAAATTTGGGAAGCTAGAGGGTCTTTTGAGACTAACTTTTACAAATCATCTGGAAAGAAATGCAAGAAAAGTAGATGTTTGTACTGCTAACATTGACGGCTTAATATCCTTAAATGACAAAAACTAGAATGGTTGTCCCAAGCAACATAGTAAGCATTTCCGTAGGAATTTGGGAAGACCCTTAACATTGGAGATGCCTTTACGCTTTCTCCCAAAGGAAATTTGGAATCTGGAATTCAAGCAATCGGCCAAGGAAGGAATGAATTTTAAGCAAAAAAGAAATAAATTGGAAAAAAAAAACTGTAAATGTAAGTATAAATATTGAAGTTCAGATTGTAGGAAATTATGGTATGAAGGATGTTAGTGGATAAATTTGAAGGGAGGAAGACCATTGACCCCTAACCACCAAGACTGATGGTTTTTATTAGCTACTAGTATAATTTCATTATCTGAAATAAGGTATCCTGTTTTGTGCCACAAATACTAAAAATTACAGCACTGGTAAAATATATATCTCCCCGAGAGAATTATTTGTATGTTGACTTTGTTGGACCTCTCATTTTCTTACAGTATCATTTGGTCTCAGTAAATCGTCTATCATTAGTTAATTTCCTTATTTTTTTTTAAATTTTTTATTTTTTCGCTTTATTCAAGGGTATTTGGGAGGAGAAATTTGCCTACTAATTACAACTCACAGTATTTTTATTATCTTTCTTTCCTTTGTCGCCGAAATTTACAACAGTCGGGTGTGGTGTACCAGTTTGTTTACCTTAACTCTAAAGTTAAACCGTAAAGACAAAAAGTAGAAAACACGAAACAGAAGTTACTTGCACGTGAAATGACAATTTTCATTTCGTTGAAGAACCACAAAGTATAAATTTCTATTGGCAAATGTCCCCTAAAGATAGGATTTTCCTAAAGCGAGTAAAGATTGTTTGCTACAATTCCAAAAACAATATATGCACAACCAAGATCGAAGACTGATCTTTTTGAAGCAGCATCTGAATGTAGTCCGTCCTCCTACCTAAAATGTTCCATTTCCAATAATCCATAACCAATCAAGAGCCACTCCAGAAAATATGCCACCAAGCAAAAACACGATTAACAAGTTCCCTAAAGCATTTTGCTCCGGCCCCTGAAACACAACACACGAATTAGGCACTTCCATTTTATTGATACGATGAATGAAATGTATTGAACACTTGGGATTTGTACTGACCTTGTAGCCTTCTGGAGCAGCAACCATTACACAAACAGTTAGGTAGCCATTGGTTAGTCCTAGGAAGGATACGAGAAATATCATCCACCCTTGATCACCGTATTTTGCAGTGAAATAGAAACAAGGGATGAGCAAGAAACGAGCAAGTGTAGCAAACATGAGGCCCTTTCGTGATTTTATCCGGATGCAGTCAATTAATGGGATGTATCTTGATATTAAATCCCAGACGTTGTACATTGCAATCAAAACAAGGGCATACCTGCAATAACCATCGCAGAAGTATCAGTATGGAACTGGATCTTTAATACAGTGAAACCCTATAATCTTCTTTCTGGGTTTGAAAAGAACAGGATTACAGATAAGCTTTCCTGTTGGCTTTAGCAAGTTCACTAGTAACAGCCTGGTTTCAAAAGTGTTCGGGGAGCTACAAATATTCTGAGTAACAGATTACAAAGCTATCTGTGTATAATCGCCTACAATTTTCCAAAGTTTATCAATTACATCAATTGGCAACCCAGGGAGATTATGTTCTTCTCCATAATAAACAATGACAAAATCAAAGAAACAAGAAACAGTATTTAACTCTTGAATGATAGCACTTACCAGTCGCCCAACTTGTGGTGCCCCGTGTTTTCGTACAGAAATCCAGGGAAAATTGATAAAGTCAGGACATAAATCAGATAGAGATCAAGACAATAATCCCAGTTCTGAATGAGCAATTGTTTGATGCTCAACCGCTCCAGGGATTTGTCATCCTGTAGGCATTGCAAAAGCTGTTCTTACAGATTTTTAAAGAAAAGTTCATTAATGAACTTAGAAAAAGAGCGAGAAGAGACGTCCATACTCTTTGATTTGCTTCTTTCTTAATGCCAGCAGCAGCAAGATCAGCAGAGACAGTTTTTGATCCTTCCGAAGCTGCCTTAGCGCGGTAGTATTTTACAATTGGCAGCTTAGGGAAGACATAAGCGTATAGCAAAATACACAGAAACTCAAAGAATGCAGAGATGGCAAGAAATAGAACTGCAAATAAAAAAACACATTTTTAGTTTGATTGATGCAACTGGCTAATTTCCTAATAAATCATACAGTTCATTGTGAAGAAAAAAAAAATCACCAAAATAAACATCAGTTGTCCCTGAAAAAGAAAAGTAGTATGATAATTTTGAAATCCCAGAAAAAATAGTTTACAGTTCAGCATTTGAATCGAGATATTATATTAAGCCTTTAAGCAAACAGTTCTCTGTCCATGATCTTATATGAGATCACAAAAGCATGACTTTAAGGGAACCAAAAGTGAACAGTTCCAGTGACTGGAAGTTCATCAAGTCGGGAGAAAGCTACTTACTGACACCCTTGCGAAGGCCATTGTTAGAGTTTTCAAAGGCTGCTTTTGTCATTAGCCTTAAACCAGACGTGAGAGCACCTGATGCAGCAAGGCCGCAAAAGAAGGACTGCATGGTCACGGAACTAAAAATAAACTCCACGATCATAAATTATACAGATAAACACTAAAAAGTAATTTGATATGATAAGAAACTTAACCGAGGCTAACCTGGACGTAGTCAGGGCGCATCAAGGATAGGTCACCAACCATTCCACCTTGAACGTGGGCATCTGCAACTCCAAAAGCACCAACAAGAATACAAATACCTATAAAATTTCCGAGTCCTCCTTTTCCCGAAGTGCCCAGATCTAGCTGCAGTAGATGGCATCAAATTAAGTCACAGGTTGAAATTGAATTGTGAAATTAGCAAACAGAAAATGGCCAAATGGATAACATACCAGTAGTAGAGCCAATGTGCTGAGAAAGAATAGTGTATAGCCCGCTAAATTTCTTTTCCTTGTATTCAGCTTTGCTTCATGATATGCAAGGATTGAGATTGTTCCAACAGCAAATGGTTGATAAACCAGAGTAAGTACCCTTGAGGGATGGTAATCCTTCAAGAAACAAACAAGCAACCATGTTTGAGAATACTGACGAGGCAATTTACTCCACAGTGAAGATAACAAATAAAACAGAAAACTTGCGTTAGTTTCATTGGTCCAACAATATAAGAGCATACAACAATCTAAATCTAGAGTTTATATAATCTAACCCATTATTACACTATTGGGTATCCATAACAAACACATTTTAATACAACCAGCCAAAAGCTATAGGATGGTAGACTAACAGAGTGATGACTGATATCAAAGAAAGGCTTCCCAAATACAGAATAGAGCTTTAAGTGCACTTCAAAACTCCAAGAAGGCTTGCACAAATGGTTCATAAAAATCAAGTTCCCCTCCTCTTCAAAAAATCAAAGAAAAACAATAACGTTTAATTTAAAACTCATTTGCCAGATTGAATGGCAGCTCTTCTAAATCAAGCAAATCCAGGATAGTCAAACCTGAATTTCCAAATATGTGTGAAGATGGCACTGCACAAACAATCCCCAAAGTTTTCCAACTGCAAAAACGTTTATTTTACGTAAGGATGAGATATACTCACTGGGAACAAGGCGTAATAGTAGTCCCCAATGGTGAGCATACTATTCCAGGATACCAGAGACCCCAGTCCAAGAAACCAACATACTACCATTGCAGCTGCGTTCCCCTGAATATAGCAGAGAAATTTAGTCCATTAAGTAATTTTTCCTGACAACAAATTTCCCATTGCATTGAAGAGGCAAGATAATTGGAGATACCTCAAGCCTGGCTGGGGTTGACCCATTTGAACCACCACCATCCATGGACTTTTTGTAGAAGAATCTAGCCTGCAGGCAGTATGATGTCAAAGAAATGAGTGATTCTATTCACTCCCCTTTCAAGAAAAGGTAAGAACCAGATTCAGATTATTCCAGAGGGTATGATAATTATCAGAAACAAACAAATTGGTACCACATTGATATATAGGCAAAAAAGAAGCAAGCGAATTGGAAAGGCTTTAATCAGGAACAAGTGATACTAACAAGAAAAGCAGATTAACTATAACGGAAAACTCTGTTTCGCCTCCTGCCAATTTTGGTTGCAAAATTCAGAAAGGACCAAGAGCACACAAAATATTATACGCCAATCCTCAATAACTGGAAACAGTAGGAATGAAATTACACAACGATCACCAATTAGAAAGGACAATAAAAACGACAAGAGAGGCAGCAGAGTCTGCGCGTGTATCCAAAACAAACCTTGAACAATGATTACTTGAGAAAGAACAAGAAAAGATGGGTTCTTTATATCAAATCTTTTTCAACTTTTGCAAATTGCATGGAATGGTTGGTTTCTATCGGCTTCCCGTTGAATTTCTCTTAAAAAAGTTTCGCCTTTTTTTTTTTTTTCTGGGTTTGACTCCAAAGTGTGAAAGAGAACGAAATCACTACCAACCAAAGGGAGATAGATTCATGTAATCAAACACATCACACACTTTCAATGGACTCCGCCGTTTTGAGATGGCTATATTTAAAAGCAAAAGGGGGAAAAACTTTGGTCTTGGAATTTATTATGACAGTATAATATTTATATAATATATATAATACTCCTATATTGGGAGGAAGAAAGGAAGGGGGAGCTTTGAATTTTTCATGCGGCTGAGGTGATAAGATTCTTCTTGTAAAAAAGGATCATCAAACAGAATCTTTTCCGAAATGTACGGTATTTGACTAAATGCAGGATTCTTCTTTTCAGATTTGGAAACTCATAAATTAGGTTGGTTTCGACTCCCATGAGCGTACGCAATTGCAATGATTTTTCCATTGGCGTGTGAATGCCGGGTTGATGAACCATCATTATTAGTACAAATGTACTACTACAACTGTTGCGTTGGATTTCGGGGAACTGATTATGATTCTTCCCATATATATATATATATATATATATATATATATATATAGCTCAATGATCCAAAACAAAAATTAGCATCCAGGACAAAAATTTGATCTAATACCAAAATTACCCCTTAAGAGTTGGAAGAGTTATTTTTCTCCATTAATCTTCTTTTCTCCCCTTTTCGCTTTCACGTCTAAAAGCAACCCTAGATAAAAAATTAAAATTAAAAAAATGCAGCCAATCCAACACAATTGCAGAATCTTCGTTTGTGAATAATTATAGGGATTGTGTTGTCCATAACCGTTTGAGATAATTAAAAAAACGCACAAAAGAAAAAAAACCCCTATTTCAATAATTTCTCCCATGTTTGAAAATAATTCAAATTCGAAGTCTCCGAAGAGACCGTGACTTCAAAGCGCAAACAATCACAAATAAAAAATTAAATTGAACTAATTAGCAAAAGAATAAGGTTTCTAGTTGATCTCTACTCTGATTCCAACATCCAACATGAAAAGACAAGGGGAAAAAAAAAGACCAGCAACTCTCTTTCTCATTATTGTTTAACTTCATCTTGATAAAAAAAATCGACAACCAATGATATATTGTGAATCAACTGTTAGAAAAATATAAATATCACTACCATCTCTGATTGTGTATTAGAAGGTGTTTCGCTTATTGCTTTGATTGCTAATTTTTGTTTTAGCAAAATCACCCGCCTATAATATATATTCTATATAGGCATTCTTACAAAGATTCCATGGTACTTGTTGTCGGGTTAAAACTTTAAAAAGACCAACTAAATATGTTACCAAAAAAAAAAAAAAACTAAAATGTTAGGCTACATACAACCTATTTTGCTTATTTAGTACTCTCTCTGTCCCATAATTATTGTCCAGTTTTAGTTTTCATTTTTAGTTTAAATTATACTAAAAGTGAAATCTCAAACAGAACAATAATTTTGGGACAGAGGGAGTATTTACTATTTCATTCTTTTTCTGGTAAAACTCTACAATCACTTTCAGGAAGGAACAAATGGACAACATTAAAGATACTAACCTTTATTCCACTAATTTAGTAGGGAATTTTATGCGCAATGGTCTTAGAATTTTATAACTTGTTGCGTTAATCTTCCTTAACACTATTTGAAATTTTGTCAAAATGTCTCTTTACGAAGTTACTCAACTGAATTAAGCATCCAAATTAATTATTGATATTTTTAAAACTATGGCCAATGACCTTACCCCAAAAAAATAATCAAAATTAATGCTAAATTTTTTTTTAATCAGAAAGTTGAAATCATAATATCAACATTAATGTTGATTCGAGTTTTTTGCACCAAAAAAAAAAAAATAAATAAACTCAAACATATTAAATATGTTAAATATCTTAACATTTTGAATTAGGTTGTAAATTAGACTAAAATATTTTAAACTCAAACATATTAAATATATTAAATATCTTAATATTTTGAATTAGGATTATCTTAACATATAATCTTGATTTTTTATTAATTAGGTTGTAAATTAGACTAAAATATCTTAACATTTGAATTTTAAAATTCGATTTGAATTATGATAAGCATTAATCGCGTTTAATTTTAGCGTTTCATTAAAAATTGAAATCTCTAAACTTCAGGGATTTTATTCGGTCAGTATATATATATATATATATATATTTGTAACAAAATTTAAATTATTTTTAAGGTGGGGCAAATAATGCATTATCGATTACATATGCTTAGACGTAGAAGGTGAAGGAAGAGTACAATATATTTGATTTACTACAGCCCATTTGGAAACAGAATGGTCGTTTATAGTATTAGTGGATAAAATGAGTCCTTCAAACGTATCAATTTCTTGAAACTAATATATCATAATCTCTTCCAATTATTTTAATTCTACAAAAATAAAAAATATTTTTTTAATACACATTATTTTTATCTTTGTATATAATTTATCTATCCCGCACGATTGATATTTTTAGAACATAGTAGCTGATTTTTCATAAGCTTCCACTGAACTATAATTGGTAAGATATAAGGAGGTAGAAATCACTAATTTAGTATGGCATATAAGAAAATCGAAATTTTATTAAGATAAAGCTGAGCTCTAACCATATCTAATATAATAATAATAATAAAAAATGAAATGCACCTATCGAACTAGTAGTAGTATTTTGGATATAGTTATTGATACTAATCCAAAAATGAAAGTAGTAGTATTAATTAAGTAGCTTCCCCATTATCCCAATGTTTCAGTATCAAAGAAATTGATTGTGTATGGCTCAAGTGGTCGTATTTGACAGACGGAATAATTGTAATTCTAATGTAGTATTTTGGGAAGGCAATAGTACGATTAAAAATAATAATTAATGGGCACATATCTTTTGCTTATTTTCAACTTATTATTTATTAAATTTACTGACGGATGTGAAAGGGAAAAGAAGGTGCAGAGTCAATTCATTCCTACATTTGTGGTTTGCCATATTTTTGTCATTAATAATTGTGTTTCCATACATTGAAATGCGAGAACTGATCTGGTCTCAGGTGATAAAGTCACGAGCATGAATGAATATATATGTTGCATCGTCCTTATTTTATTATTATTAAAATATATAATAATACAGTGGTAAATTTTTTTGATTAGTTGAATGAACCTCAAATATGAATTTTAATAATGAGTATTTTAATTGGCTCCCATGTGGGCATAATAATAATAATATTAGGAGATTCTACTAGTCACTTGTTGCATAGATAATATTTTTTTTTCTTTTTAACTGGTCACAATTATTAAGACTTAGGAATTCTAATCAGTAAATTATTGACGTTACTTGTCGTTGTGGAACTTTGTTGGACCATCCTTTTTACTGAATTCTTAACTACGGAATGGGTCTGATCATAAAATAATAGTATCTTTTTGGATTTTCTAAATAGAGCTAACACCAGTGGAAGTTCAAGAATTATGATTTCCTAATAATGGAAAATGAGATGGCCCCTGAAAATATAATATTCCCTCCATTTCAAAATATATATGATTGGAGTAAAACCAATTCTTCTTGTAATTATAAATATCGTTTTCGTATATCTATACATATTTTGTCAATTTCTTCCAACATTGTTCCTATACAGCATATTGTAATTGTATTTAAAGTAGAAATGTATTACAATTAAGAGATATTGAGAATAGAATTGTATTGTGAATAAATGAGGGTAGTTTGGTATTTTAACTAAATATTTATTGTCTCCTTAAACTTTGTGAAACTCTTTCGACGATATATATTTTGGAATGGAGGGAGTAGCAATATACAGAGAACTAAGAATGGTTTAAGAAACGAAAATGAAAAATCACTTTCCTAGGAAAAACCTATCCACAGAATAATAATTAATAAACGTATTTCAATTCCCTCACAACCAGACTCACAACTTCCTTCTCAATACAGTCAAGAGTGTATTCACACTTGGTTTAAAAACTTCCATTGCCAATCAGCCACAACCAATCCAATGCCACACCTGCAAAAATGCCTCCCAGAAGGAACACCACCAACAGATTCCCTAGTGCGTTTTGCTCTGGTCCCTGTAAAATGAATCGAAAATTTTAGGCATTTGGATCACTTACATGAAGATAATTTATAGGCTCAGTACACAAATTGATGCAATTTTACTCACCTTGTAGCCTTTGGGAGCTGCTGTGAATACACATACAGTAAGGTGACCATTTGTTAGTCCCAACAAGGATGTCAGCATTATCATCCATCCCTGATCACCGTATTTCGCTGTAAAGTAGAATGCAGGGATGAACAAGACACGCAACAGTATTGCCAGCATTAGACCTTTCCGGTTTTCTATCTTCAGGCATTCAATAAGAGGAGTGAATCGCCCGACGAGGTCCAATACATTGTACATTGCTATCAAAACGAGGGGATACCTATTGCCAGGAATCAGTGTCAGTGAAAACCACTTTATGAACATGACTATAATTTTTTTCCGCAAAAGATAAATTACCATGAGCCCAATTGGTGAGTTCCCGTGTTCTCGTACAAAAATCCAGGAAAGATTGACAAAGTTAGGACGTATATCAGGAAAAGGTCCAGTGCATAATCAATGTTCTGCAGCAGGAGTTGCTTGTTGCTCAACCTATCCGCTTCTTTTTCCTCATCAACCTTAATTGATGATAACAGAAGACATTAACATTTCAACAAGATAACAGCATAGTGAACTATACAGCTGAGAAACTTCTGAGTAAATCACTTGCCTGTTTTTGGATTCCAGCCACAGCAAGATCAGATACCACAGTTTTTGATCCTTCTGATGCGGCCTTCGCCCGAAAATGCTTCACAATTGGTATCTTAGGGAAGACGAATGCATATAGAATAAAGCAAAGAAGCTCGATGATGGTGGAGATGGCTAGAAACAAGACTGCAGGAAAATTGAATTATAATATTAGAAAATCAGAGCAGATATCTCTAGAAAGAATGTCTAAACAGTCATGAATGCTAAAAGTGTGAAAACTTACTAACGCCTTTGCGAAGACCATCATGTGTATTATCAAAGGCTGCTTTGGTCATCAACCTCAAACCAGATGTCAAAGCTCCGGAGGCAGCAAAACCAATCAAAAATGACTGCCAAAATTTTTTCAAGAAAAAATTATCGCAATAAATCAGATTTCCATAACAACGTTGTAATTTTGCAGCATTTATTAGTATCTAATGCAGAGAAGATAATTTGTTGAAGAAGAACTTTACTTGGATAAACTCAGGACACATGAACGAAAGATCCCCAACCATTCCACCTTCAATATGTGCATCAGCGATTCCAAAAACAGCAACTATAACACATATCCCAATGTAAATCCCAATTCCTCCTCTCCCAGATGAGGCAATATCTAACTGTAACAGTTTTTGAATTGTTCAACAGCATTAGAAAAGCACAGTATCCAACAAGAGAAACATGAACTTCATACTCACAATGCCAAAAAAAACAGCTTACGATGAGGAGAGCGAATGTGCTCAGAGAGAAAAGGCCAAATCCAGCCAAGTTGCGCTTCCTTGTATCAATCGTTGCTTCTTTGTAAGACAGATAAATCATTGTCGCAAGTGCAAATGGCTGATAAACTAGGGTAAGTACCCTTGAAGGGTGATACCGCTGAAGAAAGGAACAGAAGGAGAAATCAGGATCTTCTCGAGGTAATTTTGTGCAGAAATCACTAAACTTCAGCTTTAGAGTGGCTAATTCAAGTAGAATAGCATCAATGTAAAATTCAGAACCATTCGCAGGGATTTCAGAAGAACCCGTTTCCTATTATCAGAACATAATGTAGTATCTTTGGTTCTTTTCCACCTTTTCTGGTATTGTTTTATGTAACTTGGAAGCTAAAAGAGATTCCTGCAACTTCTAAAGACTATTTTTTGACTAATATAACTGAGGCTTTTGGCCCTGAACTAAGGGATTTAAAGATTCAATGTCACTCAAAAATTGCACAAGAAAAGGCCGGAAAGAAACAGCGAAAAAGCTGCTTGAAATCTACAGGAAGAAAATCATTCACTGGAGGAAGATATGAAACAGTAGCTCAAAACTCTCTTCATCAAAAGGATTTAAACTCAAACATGAAGTGCCAGAAGAACTCACAGGGAACAATGCATAGTAATAGTCTCCAATTGTCAGCATACTATTCCAAGCAATAAGGGATCCCAATCCCAGAAACCAACACACCACAATTGCAGTCCATTTGCCCTGTAAAATTCAAACTCAATATCAACAAAAAAAATTTACCAGTGACAAACTAAGCAAAAAGGGTCAAAATATTAACACAAACCTGAAGTCTGGTCGGAGAAGCAGATCCATTTACGTCAGACATGGTCTTATCTGGTTTTTCTGCAAAACGGTAACTTAAAAGGTTTTATAAAAAAAAAAAAAAACTTCACCCCTTCTACAGTATTTCGGGGAAGAAAAAATCTCTACACACTGCGTGTGTGTGTGTTTATGTCCGAAACAAAAGTAAGCCCTTCGTTATCTTCAATAAAGGAATTCTTTTTGGGCATATCTTAATAGAAACAAAATACAAAACTCCACCATATAAAACACGAAACAGCTTTTCTCGCATTGATATGTCGTGTTGGGATTGTTATGAACAAGATGATAACTTTAGGAAGAAAAGGGTTGACAGTTGACACCATTCTTGTGAAAACATCAAAAGCAACAACAGATAAAAACAAACTTATGATAAAACAATTAAAAATTACCTGAAAAGTTCATGGAAAAAAGAGGGCAGAGAATCAAGTATGAAGAACACAAGACTGCCCAGTTGCCCTGTTCCTACAAGGGTTGGTCGACAACTGATATTTAAGCAGCTTCTGATAGTTACCGGGGCTGGCTAGTCTGAAAACTCAATCCGAAAAGGTATCAGGATTCACATGTACTATCAATGTTTTTCTATTTGGATTCGAATTTTTTAGAATCTATGTCCTGCTGTTAGACAGGTTATTGAATAATAATGATTGATTGATTTGAATAAGTGTGAATCTTTTTTTCTTTATGACTAATATTTTTTTTTTGGGTAATAAATAAGACAGCTGATGATGTAGTATTGCTTCCGGATTCCTGCAAGAATTTTTCCGAATTTCTCGTGTGGAAATATGGGAATCAGAAATCCTTTTTAAACTCAATTTGAAACTAACAAGTACCTAACAACGTAGTAGTAGTTCATGGTCAAAAAAGTGACGCATCTATAAATGTTTATACTGTCATTATCTAGGATTCGTTGACTGCCGACTGAATCTGTAGCCCTTACTTGTATAGGTTGGTCTATAATTTTAATTATATTTTGGGACGAGAAGAAAAAAAAATAAAATTCGTATAATGTAAATTAACCATATTCTGTTTCAAACTTTCAAGAACATGAATCACCATTCACGAGTCAACATTCTATTGTAGATTGTCTGATGTGAAAATACATAAATTAAGTTTTATTTTTATTTTTTTTTAAAAAGAAAGATAAAGCATACTGGAATTTGTACTGAAAATATTTTTTAAAATATCCATTAATTAATTAGTTTTTTTTTCCAAAAATAAGACACAGAGAGATGTTTTAACAGCGGAATTCATTAATTAATTAGTAAGAGAAACTGAAAAAGAAAAAAGATAGTTTACCATCTTTCATGGATACAGACAAAAAAAAAAAAAAAAGAATCAAAGCGTCCAGTTGTTCTTGCCCACCTTACCATACTTAGCAGATTTCCCTGTCGTCATATCTTTTCTGTATCAAAATCGCCTCATGCATTTACTTAATATAATACTACTTCATTTTTTCTTTGTGTTTTTTGGTTTCTTTAAATCAAGAAAACAGCTATCTGAAGAGTCCATATAAGCTTTGCTAACTCATCCTTACACCATCATCTTTTCAAACTAGTTCCATAACTAGCTCCGACATTGGTTTCTACTTTCTGGAGTCAAAATCCCATTACTTGCAAATTTATTTTCTACAAACTTAATTCTTAATTACTAGAATTTATTTATTTTTTTTTTTTAGAAAAAAAAAGAGTTTCGCAGCCGACAAAAGTCATTTGTAAGAACACTTTCAATCATCCTTTGATGCAAACATATATAACCTTCTTCAATATGCTCGTTTTTATGGTTACAGGAATTCAACACCCACGCGAGTGGGTAAAAATCCTTGAATTTTCACATATAGTAAAATTGTTGATTTTTTCACTGTATTAAAAATACTGATAACCATGAACAAGACTTTAATACAATAATAATAATAATAATTAAAAAAAAAATCAACGAAGAGAAGCAAAATGTCCCACTTCTGACCTCGTGCATGATGTGGGTTAATAACAACTATTCCCTCCGTCTCATAATTATTATCCAGTTTGTGTTTTTATTTTTAGTTTAAACTATACTAAATTAAAGTATCAAATTGGATAATAATTTTGGGACGATAGAGTACTTTAGTTAATAAGAGAGAAATGATTGCAAATTTGCAATCTATATCTTCATCATCAGCGCTCCATTCCCACATTTAGCCACTAATCTAAACTCTAACACTAATCTGTGCCCACACTTCTGTGAAGATAACAATCATTTGTATTAATCAAATGGGCCTAATCATTCTTTCCCGTGGCTCTGGTGGGCCTTATATTTTCAGTGGTCGTACAAGTTGTAATAATGATTTTGTCACTATTTTAATGGCCCATCCTGTTATGATACCACTCATAATTTGGCTTTTCTTCGTATTTTCTGGAAAAAAAAAATCCCAATTAGAATATGATGATCATAAGAACGCCTAATGTTGTTCTTTATATATTTAGTGAATTGAACAAGAATTCATTAAACACAGTGAATTATGGGTAAAGTGTGGTAAAATCTCTATGAATTGAATATAATTAAAACTGGACGTTGAATTTTCATCCAATTTTATGAGGTTAAAATTTTAATACAACATTAGTACGCAAGTCGGACAAGCATTTGATAGGAGGACGAATTTTTTTTTGAAAAAAAGTTTGTTGAAGAACTGTTTATCTTTGAAAACAATTAGAATGCATCTGGGTCAACATTGGTGATCAAACAATGAGTACCTTTTGAACTCTATATTCCAAACATCACGAAAGGAATCATCAAAATGATCGAAACATGACATGAGCTTAAGTGCATATATACATATGAAGATATATAGAAGGCACTCTCTAGGTGAGAAATTAAGCAATTTCGGGTTGACAATAAGCACTGTATGAAATTGTTACTATCTATTAAAATCATAACCCATAATAACTAAAGAAAAGGGAAGAAGCAAGGCAAAATACTGTATCAAAAACAAAAACCATTCAAAAAGGAAAAATCCCCCTCAACAAAGACATCAAGTTCTACTGGAACGAAGAAAATTTGAAAAGTAATAATTTTTATTTTTTTATTTTTTTATTTTTTTTTAAAAAATTAGATGATCCTAGTGAGAATCGAATTCTCGACCTTCCGGTAAGAACCATCCCCAATTATTGAAGTGCGTTTTAGATGTATAGGAAAACTACACACGCAAATAAATAATAAAAACCTTATTTGCACGCACTCAAGACCCAAGAGGAAGCCCGTCGTTGTGTCGTGCAAGAAAGAGTCGATCCCACGAGGAGGCTATTTCCTATACTAGTGCTAAATTGTGAGAGGTTGAGAGCAAGAGATGATTTCACAAGAACAAAATATTAAACACACAAACAATGAAAGACTAAGGATAGCAACGAAGTAGCAAGAAAAAGTAATTAATACAAAGAAAGTAGGGTTAGGGCAATAGAAAAGGCAACAAGGTTACTAATTTATTCCTAAGATGTGATGAAGGTAATGTTCATTCAACCTAACTATGTCAATAAAATTTTGAAGATTACGGAGCCATTGCCTTTTACACCCCTAACTTCTATTCCTGGTTGTTAGAACTCAATGCTAAAATCTTCTTTCGATCTCATCTAGTCATTAGATTAAGTGTGGTGGTTTAAGCCCATTGATTCACTCTTTACACAAAAACCTATAACGCACAAGCATGCATTTCATATTTTCTCATTGGACTCAAAGCAATAATTCATACAAAATTACCAATGAGAGGTGTTTCATTAAGGGATGATGTTGCTTTTCTCTCTAGTTTCTATACCTAGTCCCTAGAATGGTATGACCAACCCCCTATGCCTAGGTGACCTTAGCCAATTAGATTAAGCACATTAACATCTTTTATCCACTCATTCATTCTATTTATACCTAAAGTAGAATTACAAGAGTTTCAATAATTAATGTCACACCTTCATGAAGATAAAAAATCATCTACAAAGGTCCAAAAGCATTCAATTCAAAGGAACCATTCAAATTATATGGTATAACACTAAAGAGCTAATTATTGCACTCAAATCACACACATCTCATGGCTTACATGGCAAAAGTTAAGAGAAAGAACAACGAAACATCTACTTAGAAACTATGCATTTTAAACAACCATAATCAAGGATAAACACAACTCATAATATATAGATCACAAGTGAAGATAAAAAGGATAAGAAAAGCTCCATTTTCCGAAGAGAAACTAAATTCATACTCCAATTTTCTTCACAATCCAAACTCTTTATAAAGAGTGATAGAGCTCGTGTTTTCCCTAATCATGGACCTTGAACAAAAACCCTAGGCTAATGTCTAAGCCCCTTGATTAATTACATACTAAAAAGTCTTAGTTTAATCACAGAATTAACCCTAGCTAAGAATTGAAGCAAAGGAGGAGAAAATATGCTAAGAATTGTCTAAAGTTGAACTAAAGAGGAGATTCTTCTAAATTTGGTACACAATGGGCTATTTATAGGCAAATTGGACGTGGGGACTGAAGTGCATAAGTAGGTGAAGTTTCCAGGCGCAATTGAATGTCCTTTGAAATCAAAAGTCTAACTCTAGGTACTGAGCTCTGTAACATCTCGAACTTAAGGGCCACTTTTGCAATACGCTGAAAACTTAGAGCCTTTAGTTTGCAAGAACTTTTTGACAGTTGGGCTTTTCCGAAATTTACAAAAAGTTATTTCTTCTTCTTCGATCTGAATTTCAGCCACCGTTACCGCTGCAATTCGGACGCCGGCGGCGGTCAGGTCTTCACCGATTCTGCGTGAAATTCAAATCATTAGTTCCTAGCATCCATTGAATTAATTTTGAGTTTTCATCCTGGAAAATGGCTGGCTCAAGTGCGGTCATTCAACCCTTTGCCGGATTTCATCACTTCCGTTGTTCTCTCTGATTTGTGAACCAATAACCACGAAATCAGCATCAAACTTCACCGTATGATCTCATCTAGACGGCCCATGGACGCTTTCAGCCTTTTGTTTGAGTTCTCGATTCGAATGCAAGATGGTCTAGGGCTTTCATTCAAAGTATATGCTGAAATTTCCTTCACTTCCAGACTGTCTGAGCATTTTCTTGGCCATTTTCGTCCTCTGTAGAGTGACATTTTGGTGCTTTTTTCTTCAAAAAAGTTAAAGATCTTTCTTTTAGCTTCAAAATGGTACCTTAAGCACTGAAATTGGAGCTGTGGATCGAGAGTTATGGCCTCTGACAGGTGGATGACTTTTCCTGAAAATCTGCATATTTTCTGGACAGAATTGATCGCTGAACTTCATATGCATTGTTGACCATTGTATCGTCTGAGTTGGGATAAGTGTTCTTCATGACATCTGTGGCTCTATCTTTCCTCTTTGCAACGGTATAAAGAACTTCCAAATTCGAGCTTTGAAGATCAAGTTATGGCATCCAAGATTCGGCTGATTGTTGCTGAAGTTCTGCAGTTTTTACTTCAGTTCTGACACTTGAATTTCAACTCCGTTTTTTGCCATTCTAGGATCTGATTTTGGAAAAGTTCTCTGCATGAAAGTCGTAGCTCTCTCTTTCGGCTTCGCAATGACATTTAGATCACTCCAAACAGAGGCTCCTAGCATAAGTTATGAATCATCAAATCTTGATTGTTCGTCTTATTCAACACAAGAGCATTTTTCAGCACTTTTGATAGGTTTTGCTCCGTTTCAACACCATTTGCTCGTCCTACCAAAGATAAACAACAAAGCATAAGAAATGTGCACTTTTGGCTCTCAACACCATCCAAATGAGCCTACATACAATGAAATGAGTTGTGAAATCTCATATAAATACATGTATATTTGACTCACATCAC